GTGGGTGGTGGTTACGGAGGTGAGAAAGGGCAGAAGGGGGAACCTGCAGTCATTGAGCCGGTAAGACCCACTTCTCTGTTTTACTAAATCCAGCTGCAAACTGAGCAAAAACAGCAGCATAACATGTTTATTTTATTTCACACCAATAAAATCCATCCAGTTTCCTTTTTGGAGGTTTTTTATCTGTGCTGTTCCCCCTTTGGAGGACTTTTATCTGTGCTGTTCCCCTTTTGGAGGACTTTTATCTGTGCTGTTCCCCTTTTGGAGGACTTTTATCTGTGCTCTTCTTCTTTTAGAGGATTTTTAGCAGTGCTCTTCTCCTGTTAGACCATTTTTATCTGTGCTGTTTTCCTGTTTTCACCTGTGCTCTTCTCTTTTTGGAGGATTTTTAGCTGTGCTGTTCTCATTTTGGAGGATTTTTAGCTGTGCTGTTTTCATTTTGGAGGATTTTTAGCTGTGCTGTTCTCATATTGGAGGATTTTTAGCTGTGCTGTTCTCTTTTTGGAGGATTTTTAGCTGTGCTGTTCTCATTTTGGAGGATTTTAGCCATGAGGTTCTAATATTGTTAGCTGTGCTCTTCTTCTTTTGGTGGGTTTTTAGCTGTACTGTTCTAATATTGGAGGATGTTTAGCTGTGCTGTTCTCCTTTTGGTGGATTTTAGCCATTCTGTTCTCTTTTTGTTGGATTTTTAGTTGTGCTGTTCTCTGTTTGGTGGCTTTTTAGCTGTTTTGCTTTAGAATTAGTGCATTTTTAGCTGTGCTTTTCTAATATTGGGGGATTTTTAGCTGGGCTGTTCTCTTTTTGGTGGCTTTTTAGCTGTTTTGCTTTAAAATGAGTGGATTTTTAGCTGTGCTGTTCTAATATTAGGGCATTTTTAGCTGTGCTGTTCCCCTTTTGGTGGATTTTTAACGGTGCTCTGCTCCTTTTGGTGGATTTTTAACGGTGCTCTGCTCCTTTTGGTGGATTTTTAACGGTGCTCTGCTCCTTTTGGAGGATTTTTAACGGTGCTCTGCTCCTTTTGGTGGATTTTTAGCCATGCTGTTCTCCTTTTGTGTGAATTTTCAGACATACTGTTCTAATATTGTGGATTTACAGCTGTGCCGTTTGCCTTTGAGAGGATTTTAGCTGTGCTTTTCGAATATTCATTTTCCTGTTGGTGGAATTTTTTAGCTGTGAAATAAAATTATTGGTGAAGTAATTTTTCCTCCCCTGCTGGTGCGCAGTGACCTCATCACAAATCAGAACGTTTTAGTGGTGGGGCTCTATATCTCTGTATTTTGATGATAGATTACAGAAAATGGGAATTTACTGTTTTAAATGATATATAATGGATCATGCTTTAAAATGAGCAGGAACACAAACTAACAACGTTAAAAAAAAAGGTTTGTTTTGGTTTCAGGCTGACTTTAAGGCAGAGTGCCGTGGCTTTGGCTGCTCAGAGTGCTGAATCATGGCACATAACACCAGAGCATGACAAACATGTGTTTGAGCAGTTTGTTCTCATTATGGTACATCTAGTTTCTGCCTGTTTTCGTTGAGTTGGCAGAGTGGTCACTCTGACTAGCCAGTAAATTTTTACATGCTAGCTGGCGTTGCAGCGCTGCAGAAGTAGCAGGTAGTTGGGGGGGAAACAACACTGAACACCTTTAAAATCTCGCTGTCCATTCTCAAATGTGAGTTTTGGCAGAGTTTGGTCTTTCGTCACCTTCTGAAACGGTGGAAAATCCGGTGTAGAACGAGCTTCATCTCTGCCTTCTTCTCGGCTTTCACTGCTTTTTTTTCTTTTACTTTTTTCCATCCTGCTCTCACTCAGATTTACAGCCTGCCCGTAAATGCTACTGTATTCAGTTTTTCCTTCTCACGCTCGTTCTGCTTCCATTGTTTTGCAGGGGATGCTTATAGAAGGAGCCCAAGGACCTCCCGGTGCTCCTGTGAGTAAATGACCCAAACTCTCCTCCCACAGGAACGAGAGCACTTCTGGGAAGTAATGCCTTAAATCTCTTAGACCATGAGGGTGTAATTCAGAATTTTAATAATAATTAATCAATCTTCTATAAATTCTTCAGTAGCTGCTATAAATTATTCAGTACCTACTTTGAATTATTCAATAGTTACTATGCATTATTTTGTATCTACTGTTAATCATTCAGTATCTGGTATAAGTTGTTCAGAAATCCCTAAAAGTTTATTGAGTAATGACTATGAATTGTATGGTAGCCGTTATGAATTATTAAATAACTATTGTGACTTTTTCAGGAACAACCATGAATTACACAATGGCTGTTATGAATTTGTCAGTAACTACACTGAATCTAATCTGTATTATAGTTCAGCCAAAAATCAAACACATCCTGTTTTCCCTCTTTGCTCCAATCGCTAGCTAACAAGTAATGAAATCTTATAACCCACCAAGATTCTAGGAATCCCTTCAAACCAACACAAAAAGTGTTCTCTACTTTTTTTCTAAATAATGCAGTTCCTGAATGTTGTTGCTGAGTTTCGTTTGATTGATCAATAACGTGACCTAACAAAACTGAAATTCCAGAGAATTTGTATTTAGTGTGTCATAAAGGACCTTCTGGACCAAGAAAACACATGAATAGAATAAGTCACACAGTAGATGCGCTTTATTGTTACTCTGATTAAACAAATCAATAATCATCAATTCAGACTGCTCTCTCTATGAGCTCGCTCACTCACTCTAAAGCTGCTTTCACACTGAATGTGGAAAATTACCGCCGCATTACTTCAGTGTGGTTCACGGAGCGCAGGGTCAATAAAAGTTATAATATTTATAATTTTTTGCATGACACACTTCAGCCAATAGGAGAGCAGTAGGCGTGTCTGGTAGTTCCTGTCGCGCTCAGCTGGCGAGCACTGCTCAACCTGCGAAAACAGCTTAACAAAATACGGTGCGTCCAACTCTGAAGGAACACTCCTGCATCTTTTAAACAGTGATAGGCAGCACAGTAGCTCACAGAAAGCTCCAGTTCTACACTGAAATTCATAAAATGATTTTACTGTTGCCAACAAGAACACACATGCACTGTAACTCCCATGGAAGCAGATTAATCCCTTAACAAGCCAGGGGCCCGACGGCAGGCCCAAAGTATTATTACACACTTCTGTAACCTAAGAATAGCTCCATTAGTTTGCATTGAAGTCCATGTAGTTACTGTATAATAAGCCTTAGTATGCAATAAGCCTGGATTATTAAGGGGTTAAACTAGCGGCTTTGTTTTTTTGGGGGGGCTTGATAGTGTACCTGCTGTGTTCATAAGGATATACAGTTAGCATGATGCTAATTGGTGGGGAATAGACTTTCATTGCTTGTTAGCTACACTAGCCTCATAACTCCAGTCATAAAAGAAAAGGTGCGAATGTTTTAAATGATTGTTTGCAGTAAGAAATTTCACTTTTGTACAAACGGTCGCTTTAAAAGAAAGCAAAATCCAGTGACACATGCATGGTGTTGTGTGTATCTGTGTGTCTCTTCTGCAGGGTATTCCTGGTGCTCCAGGCATCCAGGGTCCTCCAGGACTTCGTGGAGATCCCGGTGAGAAAGTGAGTAGGAGTTTAAGTTTTGCAGCGGAACCAGCTGATAGCTTTCACTTTCACAGAGTGATAGCTGTGTGGAAACTGCAGAACAGACTCGGTTTATATCACAATATCTACATTTAGAGTCAGTTATTCATTCAGCCTAATGAGAAACTGTAGAACAGACTCAGTTTATATCACAATACCTACATTTAGAGTCAGTTATTCATTCAGCCTAATGAGAAACTGTAGAACAGACTCAGTTTATATCACAATACCTACATTTAGAGTCGGTTATTCATTCAGCCTAATGAGAAACTGTAGAACAGACTCAGTTTATATCACAATACCTACATTTAGAGTCGGTTATTCATTCAGCCTAATGAGAAACTGTAGAACAGACTGAGTTTATATCACAATACCTACATTTAGAGTCGGTTATTCATTCAGCCTAATGAGAAACTGTAGAACAGACTCAGTTTATATCACAATACCTACATTTAGAGTCAGTTATTCATTCAGCCTAATGAGAAACTGTAGAACAGACTCAGTTTATATCACAATACCTACATTTAGAGTCAGTTATTCATTCAGCCTAATGAGAAACTGTAGAACAGACTCAGTTTATATCACAATACCTACATTTAGAGTCAGTTATTCATTCAGCCTAATGATGCATAAAACAGAATAAAATGTCTGTTGATTTGATGATAAAACACTGCTGGTGGTTTTACACTCTGAGCTGAAAGTCCTCGTCAGCTGAGGCAACTTAATTTTAGCACTTGTCTGTTTATCTGAAAGACTGTCTGCCTTTCTTTATGTAAATTTAAAGCCACATGTGATTTACTGTGGCTTTCTATGGTCTCAGTATGGCTTTAATTTAATGTAGTAGAGGTGCTGTGTGGTGCACTGTGATGCACTGAGAAGTGAACAGTGCTCAAAGACATGGGGTGCCGGCGCATGTCAGCATCATTAAAACCATTGAGCTTCGTTCTCCAGTATCTTCCTAAGTCTATTCTTAAGTGTGTTCTTGCGAAAGTTCCTAAGAAAAAGTCTGTGTCAGATTCATGACGTGTTCTTAAAGCGCAGAACCGTTCTCACCAATGTGCTCTTGAGTTTGTGTAGATTCTGTTCTTACCCAAGAATTAATCCCACCTAAGAAAACATTGGTGAGTCAGAGTCTTCGAGAAAACTGCGTAAGTGGGTTTTAAGAAGAAACTTCTTAAGAACGGTTGGTGAATGAGGCCCAATGATCTTAAATTTTGCCGTGGCCTGTGTGTGGTGACCTTAATGATCGTCTGTATTCCTCTGTGTAAATAGTCAAATTTGTGTATTCAGTATAGTTTTGTTTTGGGCTTTTGCCCAATTTTCTCCCAAACTTTGGCCCAGTCCCATTTCTTCTGTTTACTCCTACCCCTTGTTTTCCAGTGTCTCCTTGTCTCTTGGAGCTGAGTTACAGGGTAGTGGTTGAAATCTTCCCTCTGAAATGAGACCCTCAAATAAAAAGAGCATCACTTCATTAACAGCTACCAGCACTGCTCTGTAGGAGACCCTGCCAGTCTGCAGTGACAGCAGAGGAGGGTAGAGTTCAGCTCCTCACTGCTGGGCTTTAGTTACATTTAGGGATCATATGATCTTCAAAGAGGGGGGGCAATTATTTATCACCCACCCCTAATTCTTCAGTGAGATGAAGCTGAAGTCAGATATTCAACAGATTCTTGTTCAGATTTTCCTGTTCCACCTTAAATGGTGCAGCAGTTACATTCTGGCGCTTCGGGCGTCAGAACTGCTGGACTGTTTAAGGTGGAACGGGAAATTTAGCTAGTTAGCATGCTATTAGCAATTTTATATGCTTGTAATGAAGAAAACGACCATAATACAGTAAAACGACATTAAACTAAGACAATAATATGGTTATTGTAATTTTTAATAGAGAAAATTCTCACATTTGTGTGTTCCTTTGGTCTCTTGTTCAGCCATCTTACCAGTTTTTTCTTTTTTTTCTGCATATCACTCTGTTTGGAGGGTCATGTAGCCCTAACACTTCACCCTACCCCTCTATCTCAAGAATCGGGACACCCTACCCCGTAGACGTGAACGCGCAAAAGTAGGGCAGAGTGGTCAGGGAGAGGGGTGAAATGGGACTGGGCTTTAGTCATGTAAATTTTCACTGGTTATCTAAGTCCCCCTCTATCACATAATGCTGCCACGCTGGCAGGGTGAAGGTCAGCATGTTCTTCCTCTAAAACACATGAAGCTCCACTAATGCAACGTCATTGGGGCTCAACACGCTCTGAGGAGAACACTAACCGTTACGTCGGCTGACAGACGCCTGCATTGGCTAGTGCTGGAGGAAGGAGGAGGCCAGTTATCTTCTCTTAGTCTCCACATGGAAGTACTTAAATGGAGCTGGTGAACTTTAACCTGAGATCATGATGCCGTGCATCTTATCAGTTCAAACTGTTGTAAGGTCACAGATTTATCTGTGAAAGTTTGCTTTGATGACCAACTTGTAGCTGCTGATTCTTGTTCTTCCTCTCTGTGGAAACGTGTTCTCGCCATTCCTGATTGTTCCAAACAGAAAACCTGCCCCCTCCTCATTTTACTGAAGTCTGGCTAGCGGTTTATTTTTCCTCACCGCGGTGGAACTCTGCCTCCTCCCCTCCTGCTCCCGCGGGATTAACCCCTTCCATTGCATTCTGGGAAGGGAAAGGATGGCTGTCCCACGTCCCTCAACACAAAGGGCTTTCTGTCTGAGAGGGGAAATGATTACACTCTCCCTCCCCCCCTCTCTTTGATCATCACTAGGTCCCGTCTGAGAGAGAGCAACAGAGAGAGGTGTCTTATATATTTTCTTCAATAATATTTTCGCTATTGATAATTATTAAGCATATTGATAATAGTTAAGAAATGAGAATAACTTTTATTGCTTTGGCAACAGTTGAGAAATAGAGTTCATGACAAAAAGCCATTTGAAAGTGAGAGAGAGAAAGAGAGAGAGACATAGAGAGACAAAGAGAGAGAGACAAAGAGAAAGAGAGAGAGAGACATAGAGAAAGAGAAGGAGGAAGAGAGTAAAAGAAAAAGATAAACATTGATTCTGGAACGCATACAGTGAGCACTAGGTGGCAGTGTGTTTGGAGTTCTGCATCTTCAGCAGTTCTAACACTCTCTCTCTCTCTCTCTCTCTCTCTCTCTCTCTCTCTCTCTCTCTCATATGGGAGTAATTTAGAGGGTCGTTTGAGAAAGAAGCGTGACGCCTGCTAAAGAAATCACAGTATAGACTTTCTTCATTCTGATGAGTTCTTCAGGGGTTCTTTAGCAACAACAATGGTTCTATATATACCCATGAACACTCAAAGAACCGTTTGCATGCTTACAGTGTTCTCTGCATGGTGAAAGTGTTCTTCAGATTGATGGAGAATGCTTCAGTCAAGAACTAAAAAGTGTTTTTCTATTTTTACAGGCTTGACATTTTAACAATAGCAGAACCTTTTAGTGGTATATAGAACCCTTTTCAACCAGGTTCTATATAGAAGCATATACAACACATTTTCCATCAATCTGTAGAACCATTTAAGGATGCAAAAACAATTGCGCACCACATTCAGCTCATAAACGTCAGAATAGCTGTTTGTTGGTTGTTCCTTAAAACAACTATTAATCTTCTTTAAATACTTTCAAAAGTATTAAGCAGAAACCAAACTGTGTTCATGCAGACACTGACGTGTTTTATTCACCCTGTGGAATAATGTTATTAGAGGATCATATAAACACACACACACACACACACACACACACACACACACACACACACACACACTCTCACATTGTGGGAAATTAGAGCCTTAAATAACACAAAACACACACAATCCTGAGTGAAGGTTTAAAGAGAAATGAAAGTTAATGTGAGGTTGAGCAGTAATGATGGGGTGATGAGGAAATGAGCTGTTTTTACTGTTGGGTGTAAACACACATTATAGAACTACTGCGTGGCGCAGAAACGCTCTTTTATTTCCATTGATTATTCCGGTTCATCTACAGTTTACAGTTTACGTTGCGCCTGGACAACGCTAAAAATAATTAGCACTGAATTGTTTTGTTAAAAAATCATAAGGATTTCCAGTAATCTCCAAATTTTCAGCGCAAACACATACACGCGGTTGGCTGCAGCTTAGACCCATTTTCTGTACTGTGAACTCCTGCTGGTGTGGGTTCATGGTAACTCATTTGCTAATGGTGCCCCCTGCTGGAGAGGCTTGAGCCTGCAACACTTGCTCTAAATGAGTGAAACACAAAGCCACGTCCACGTGCTTTACGTGTTAAAAAACTGGGTGTTTTCTGTTGTTATAGAATGGAGGAATTCTGCTATGTGGGGAAACCATTCAGTATAAAATTTCATAATTTTACTGCTCATCTAAGCCACTGATACATTTAAGCTGTACGAGAAATGCTGAGAATTTCCCTCAGGCGATATGTATCACTCAGGGAAACCTGCAGGATTTCTCTTTTACTCTATTTGCTCTACAACAGCATAACAAAAGATTAATGTCCTACATTAATGATTTATTTTAGTTTATTGTTTAAAATTAGTTCTCTCTAGTTTTCTATTACATCGCTGCATCTTACAGGCCTGGTTTACAGTGCACTTTTGAATTAGATTTTTATTATTAGTGTCTTTTTGGTGGCAGAATTGCTGTATTGCTCTTTTTTGTATTTATATTTTATTCCCCTCTTCATTTTCTCAGGGTCCTGCTGGGCGTCCGGGTCTTCCTGGTGCTGATGGAGCTCCAGGTCCTTCTGGCACTGTCATCATGCTGCCGGTAACCTCTCCTCACACAAACACACACCCTGATCACAAAGCAGCTACTGTATTTGCCTAGTGTTCATTTTTATATCTGTAATTTGATTGATTCTGGGAAGGATTCCGGTCACACGGCCAGAGTTTGCCAGCCATAAACAGTAAAAACAGAAAGTGTGATTATGCCAAGTACTTTTATGCTCACGAGTGCACAGTGCTGCACAGAGTAGCAATAAAGTCTAACTGATGTGGTTAGTAGCAGAGAAGTGAGTGGCGTGCAGCATGTAGCCAAGAAGCTAACCTAGCAGTTAGCAAGCTGCCAATTCATCTACCATAAACAACAAAATCGATAAAAGGCAAAGATATGATCAAATACAGCTAATTAACTGATGGTGTATTAAGCTGCCCCTTTTTATGGATTTATTTACAGCCAGTTGGGTAGAGCTATATAAAGATTTGTGTTTATACAATGTTAAAATTAGCATTTTAGTAAACTGTGTCAAAGTTCACCAACATTGCTTGTGAAATTTACTCTGGAAATCTGCAACATGAAAAGAGATGAGAAGGAAATTGGAATTTTGCTGTAAAAATCTAGTATGACAAGATCATAATGCTGTGAAAGCCGTTACTGACTAGACTACACCTCTAATGTGTGTTGTTCTTTCATGGCGATTTAGAGGTCAGCTCTGTAATCTTAGGGGTGGAGTGACAGGGACTCATCTCAGCTCCAGCTAAATGCATGTCTGCATGTGGTGTAAACGTGTTAAAATAAGACTGTGCTTGTTTGGTTTTCCCTGACAGTTCCGGGCCGGTGGAGAGGCGTCTAAAGGCCCTGTGGTGACGGCGCAGGAGGCCCAGGCCCAGGCCATCCTCGCCCAGGCCAGGGTAAGTGCCACTTCAGCAGGGGAGCTTCTGTTTGTTGGCCCACCGCACCAGTGAGTCACGCTTCATGCACTTAACGGCGTGCGGCTGGATTGAATGCGTTAAGCACCGGTTGTGTATGTGAGCAGTTTTAAGGAGGCTGTTAAAACTAGCCTGAAATTTATAGGCTCTGAAACGTCCTGTGGCACATAAAGCAAAGCTGGTGCAGTTTGATAGCTGTGCATTGAACAGGGAGGAGAATGGACGCTCTATAATGGGTCCAGCTTTTGAGAATCAGGTCTGGGTTTACACTACATAACTTTTAAAACCTTAACAGATTGATAAAACGGAGAGCATCGCAAAGTTAACGTCGGTTTGGCACAGAATTTCTTCTCTTTTTGTAGTGATATCCCAGATCCCCTCAGATCACATGACTTAAACAAAGCTAAACTTACTTAAAGCTAAACTTAACACCTGTTTGTGCTTTAATGTGCAGCGAAAGTGTAAACTGGGGATTAATATGTGGTGAGAAAGTTAGATACAGTGAGACCTGGATATAATTATTATTCCACTACAAACTGGCAGCTGAGCTGAAACTGTAAAGTGACCTGATGTCTGGATCAACATTATAAACATGATATCTCAGCTCCTCTGTTCAGGCGGCATTCATGCGCATCTCTTCGCCTGTTTTCTCCACTCTTCCAGCTCTCTGATTGGCTGTTTGACTCCATCACTGAGTTCATCTCTGACCATCTCACACTGCAGGAGTGATGAATGTTTTGATTTGTAAATATCACACATGTTTGATAATATCGGAGGGGCTCCAATCACTCCAGAGCTCGTTTAGGGCTAAAGATTCACTCGTTTCTCCTCTTACTGTCAGGCTATGAGAACAAATCAGATGCTTGTGGCCATCCATAAACAAGAAACAGGAACAGACCAAGGTCAAAAGTAGCTAACAGTGCATGAGGGCACAAAAGAGAGGTTGGGAGAAGTCCAAAGTCAAAAAAAGCAAAAGAGATCACAATCAGCAAAAAGGGGATCAACAAACAAAACACAACTAAGTTGGTACATAAGCAGAGACATAGACAGGAAAGAGCGCTCAGTGTGCACAGTGGAGCAACACTTCGCAAATAGACTAGACTAAAGCCTGGACTTAAATACTCCGCTGAATGAGTAAAGACAAATCAGATGTGCACATCAGAACTCCAGTGATGTTGAACAAGGAAGTCAAAATCTGTCCTTGTAGGCTAAAAATGATGGCGGTGTCATGTGACTCCCTGATGGCTCCTGGGTAATGCAGTTTATACTATAGTCCAGGGTTTCTCAACCTCTGGTCCACAGACCGCCAGTGGGCTGCAAAGCACCCTGTAGTGGTCTGTGGGCTGAACTTTGGGAAGGCAGTAGTTCGTAGTAGGCCGGTCACTTTAACGTCATAAAACCATAAGTGGAAAAATGATTGACTGAAGAATCTAGATCTGATTTCAGATTGTAACCAACATACGTACAAATAAAAACACTGCACGTCATCAGTTTGTTACAACACAGCTGCGATGCCGACAGCGAGTCAGAGATGGAGAAGTTTGTCAGGGCGCTTTCACACCCTCATTGTTTGTTGTGGACCTATTGGACTTTTTTATGATCTCATCTTTTTCAGGCTCCGATTCTCAGGTTTTCAACTTCAGCACTTAAGAAAAGACAAAGAAAATTGTGTTTAAAAAGTTGATTTCATTTTTTTCCTGTGGGCTGCGATTCTCTGTATTTATAAAAAAGTGGGCCTCGGGGCAGGAAAGGGTGAAAACTCCTACTATAGTCCATTGACTCAAGTGAGCCAGCATGGAAGAGAAACATTGCCGTGAGTGGGAAGCGTGACACTCACACTATTAGATCATCCTCAGCGTCAGCCACTTCCGATCGAGCTCCCAACCTGGACAAAATTGTCACAAGGGGCAAATCAGGGTTAAAATCAGGCAAAAGTTGTGTAGAGTAGGCCCAGCTTAGAGACAGGAACAGTTTGGTGGAAAATCAATTTTATACAAGTTTGCTTCTTCTGGATCTACAAAGCTAATGTAGCTTTAAAGTGTATGTCTAAACCATCACACAGTCACTTCAAACCCTGTCAAGTTCATGCAGAGGCTGGCTTACGAGGTTTCCAGAACTGCTATCCATAAACATGGACAAAAGTACTTTACATAGCTGCAACTGCAATCTTTCATCCTGAGGCCTGAATTTTGTTCTTGTGTGTGTTTTTGTAGACAATGTGTTACAGAGTCACAAACTACACAAGCAGCTCAGTTTGAGGCGAGCGTGTGATGGTTTAAGCACTCAGTTAGCACCATGCTAATTGGTGGGGTGTGCACTACATAAGCCTGATAGCTCCAGAGCTAAAACTAAAGAAACAAACTTCAGACAGCAACCAAGTCTGATCGATTATACTTAGGGTAACAAGGGGAAACCTGGTTTTGGGGTTTTATTTGTTTTAGTTGTTTTTGACCAAACCATTCAATTAAGCTCATTTGTGATGTAGCTTAAACAATAGGCCGGTGGAAAATGGATCACTGCTGTCTTCTGATTGGTTGCTTTGTTTCCACAGCTGGCCATGAGAGGCCCCCCTGGGCCAATGGGATTGACGGGAAGAGCCGGTCCAGTGGTAAGTGTCTCCAAACATCACAACTGCTATTGATGTAAAACACAGAGCGAGACAGATATGCTAATGAGCACTCTGGCTCTTTTCAGTGAGTCAGATTAATTGGCTCAGGCCAAACGGCTCTTTGTTCAGTAGCACTGCCAGTTTGATTCCCACAAAAAGCTGCTAAGTGAGCAATATAATCTATCGTTTCATTTTCAGTCGATCTTTCTACCTTCTTTCATTAGACCCCTACCTTCAAATTAGCCAAGTAACAAAACATATTATATTTGTAATAAATGACTTTATCAAATTAGTGTGAAACTTTCAAGATATGAGAACAAAACACAACATCTTCCCTGTTCTTGCTATATTTGGCGAAGTCCTCTATGAATGGGTGTTGAGAAATAGTTTGATCGGCTGCATTTCATTAGTGCTGCATGTGGCCAAGCGAGGTGAGACACGATGCAGGAGTGAGAGTTAGTAGGAAAATCCAAAAACCAAACTGGAAATTATGACCGAAGTCAGAGGCAGGAGTCAGTGGATGAGGATACGGACACAGTGCGAATCCATTTCTAAAGTCAGAAATCTTGAGGACTAACGAGGCACACATGTACATAAACAACAGCAAGAACTAAACCAGGAGGGAACCAATAACCCGCAGAACAAAGATGAATTTTCAGCTGCTGTGTCGTAGGATTGCTTTGTCTTAATTGGCTCCTGAATGTGAGTCGGTTCCCAACGTTCGCCTAAAAGAGCCAACTGGTTCGCAGGTAGCACATCAGTAGCTGGAGGACGTTGATATACTGTTCTGCAGTGTGTGTATATGTACACACACACACACACACACACACACACTGCGCCTATCGATCTGTCATTGTTATTTTTTCTCTCTGCCTTTCGGGGCTGGTTTAGTACTCTGGCTCTTAGCGCACAGTTCAGCTCATGTGTTAAACTCATACGGCTGTGATTTACGAGCAGAAGACACACACTGGTTGTCAGACGCTGAGGTGCGCTCTCGGTTTCTCTGCTGTTTTGGCCTCCTGTTCTCACTCCTGATGTCTTTTTCCAATTTTTCTCCATTTTCTCTTTCAACCACACGAGATGACACACCAAGAACGCTTCTGGAAATTTTCCAAACCAGTGTGTCTGAAAAATCTCAGCCGAGGAGCGTGTTGAGTAGACAGGAGGGTCAATAACAAAGATGCTGGTGTTTGTTAAAGGGGTGAAGAGTCTGAGCCGTGTGTGTGTGTGTGTGTGTGGTGTGTGTGTGTGTGTGTGTTTCAGGGTGGTCCTGGAGCACCTGGTCTTAAAGGAGACGCTGGTGATTCTGGCCCTCCGGTAAGTAGCGTTTATAATAATCTGTCCAGCTGCTAAAGATCTGTTTAATCTCCTTCACTAGAGGGATAGTTTGCCTTCCATAAGTATCGGGACAGTGAAATGAGGGGTGTGTATTTGGCAGACATTGCGAATATCGTTGTGTATTGTCAGCATTTTGTGTTTACTGGTAAACGCAGTTTAAATCAGAATCACTTTATTTGGCCAAATGTGTTACACATTCAGGATATCAGCCTTGGTGAGTCACACATGTATGACATTAACACACTGAACAGACCAGACAAACACAGAGAGACAAATACAATAAATATAATAAAGAATAGAGAATACATCATAATAAAGAGCTAAAGGGAAGTCTTATACTGACGTATACTATAAAAACTATTAGATACACAATCACAGAATGATAAGAATATTTGCAGAAATTTAACATCTGTACAGCTGTGCAAATAGCATTATGTTACTGTAATTACTGTAAAAAATAACTATAATAAAAAATAGTTAAAGAATCACTATAATACTGTAAAAATCACCTTCTCAACCAGCACATGAATTAAGGAACTTAAGATACCTTCCTAAGTAAAATTAGTCATTCAAGCACCTTTCAAAATAACATATTAATTGAAGGAAACTTTCCCAAATACCGAATGATTTTAAGGGAGTTTAATTTCCTTCTCAAATAGACACACAGTCAAATAACATTAACACAGGAGAGCTTATGGTACCTTGCTAAATAACCAATGAATGTCTGAAACAACAAATTAACTTAAGGAAACTAAAGGTACCTTCACAAATAATAAATGAACTTAAGAGAACTTAAGGTTCTTTCTCAAACATCACATAGCAAATAATTGTAAGACATGTTGCCAAATAGCATATTGACTGGAAGAACCCTAGGGTGCCTTGATGAATAACAAATGACCTTAAGATACTTTTCCAAATACCATATGATTTTAAGGCAACTTAAGATACCTTCTCAAATAACAAATGGACTTAAGAAACCTTTCCAAATAAACAAACGGACTTAAGAAACCTTCCCAAATAACAAACAAACTTAAGAAACCTTCCCAAATAACAAACGGACTTAAGAAACCTTTCCAAATAACAAACGGACTTAAGAAACCTTTCCAAATAACAAACGAACTTAAGAAACCTTCCCAAATAACAAACAGACTTAAGAAACCTTCCCAAATAACAAATGGACTTAAGGGACCTTTCCAAATAAAAAACGGACTTAAGAAACCTTTCCAAATAACAAACAGACTTAAGAAACCTTCCCAAATAACAAACGGACTTAAGAAACCTTTCCAAATAAAAAACGGACTTAAGAAATCTTTTCAAATAACAAACGGACTTAAGAAACCTTCCCAAATAACAAACGGACTTAAGAAACCTTTCCAAATAACAAAACAGACTTAAGAAACTTTTCAAATAACAAACGGACTTAAGAAACCTTTCCAAATAACAAAACGGACTTAAGAAACCTTCCCAAATACAAAGACTTAAGAAACCTTTCCAAATAACAAACAGACTTAAGAAATCTTCCCAAATAACAAATGGACTTAAGAAATCTTTCCAAATAACAAACAGACTTAAGATACCTTCCCAAATAGCAAATGAACTGAAGGGAAACTAAGACCTTCCCAAATAACAGAAAGCAATTGAACATAAGAGACACTGCAGAATAACATATGAACTTAAGAGAATTTATGGTGCCTTGCTAAATAACAACTGGACTTTGCCAGCACCACATGGATTTAAGGGATCTTAAATTGGCCACACTCTTCCCTGAGATGTGTTTCAGAGTCTTTTTATGAAACATTTTTGGCTCTGGTCTTCAGTCACAGCAGTCGGGGATCTTGATTGGCTGAGGTATCTAAAGGTCTGGAACAGAGTTAGAGTGAGTTCAGCCACAGACGTCAGTCTGTCACTCTGCTGTTACTGTATTTCACAGATGATGTTCTGAAGCGCTTTTAACCTCCATATCACTGCCAGAGGTTCATCTCCACCCTGTTTGTCCATAAAACCTGGTTCCAGACTGCCGTGAGCTCTGGACTGTAGTCTGACCTGTTTGGTATTAATGTGAGGTTCTATCTGGCAGTGCAGCTTCACTATTTCACTTTTTGGACTTTGTCTGTGGCTTCAGTGAAAGTTGTCGTAAGGTTTTAACTCTCAGCTCTGCTTTTTCTGTCCGACCGCAGCTCATTCGGCTGCTGATGGTTAGATACGCTCACATCTTTTCAAGAATGGTTGGTTTTGCTTTGAGCTGCGGTTCCTCTTTAGCACCCAAATGACTTGTTTTTCTCCTACGCACTTAAAAAAGGGTTCTTTAGCAAAGCTAATGATTCTATATAGAACCATGAACACTCAAAGAACGTTTTGCATGATTTACTGGCTCCTTGCATGGTGAAACGGTTCTTCAGATCTATGGGGAATATGCCATATGGTTCTATATAACACCAAAAAAAGGTCTGCTATTTTTACAAGCTTGGCATCATCACAATAACAGAACCATTTTTGGTGCTATATACAACACATGAAGAACCGTTTCACCATGCAAAGAACCATTTAATCATGCAAAAGGTTCTTTGAGTGTTCTATACAGAACGACTTTCTTTAGTAAGGAACCTTCTTTTTTAAAAGTGTATAGTCAGCTCTTTACACGAGGGCTTGCTTTCATTTACTTGTAGTTCCAAAATTTAATTTTTCTATTAATTTATTTTTCCTTTATTTTGCCAACGAGTCTCACTGAGATCAAAGAATCTCTTTTATTAGAGAGACCTGACCAAGATAGCAGCCATGCAGCCTCACAACATATTAAAATACAACATATATGACGTAAAATACGACATATACAAAACGATATACAATGCAGCTAATTAAAATGAGCTTTGAGCAGAATTCCCCATAAAATAATTACTGTAAAAAATGACAGAGTTACTGTAATACTGTAAAAATAACCTTCTCAAACAGCACATGAATTAAAAGGAACTTAAGATACCTTTCCAAATAAGATTAGTCATTGAAGTACCTTCCAAAATAACATATCAATTCAAAGAAAACTTAAGGTACTTTTCCAAATACCAAATGATTTTAAGGGAATTTAAGGTGGCTTCTCAAAGAGATGCATTGCCAAACAATATGTTAACTAATTTAAGGTATCTCGATAATTAACAAATGAACTTAAGAAATCTTCGGAAACATTAAATTAACTAAATGAAACTCTTCATTTGTTATTGTACCTTTACAAATAACAAATGAACTTAAGAGAACTTTTAAGAGAGAAAATTACTTGTTTAACTCACTTTTAACCAAAATCTGTAAAATATTTGACATATATGCACATGCAGAGCTGCTACTGTCACACATTAGTACTGTTTAATTGCTGTTATCTTTGATTTGTGGTTTATTTGTGGTTTATTTGGTTTATAAGTTATACTGACTGCTTATTTTTGTATTTTTGTATTTTAGGGTCCAAGAGGCCTTCAGGGTCCCACTGGGTCACCTGGCAAATCAGGAAAGAGGGTAAGCCAGTTCATGTGCAAAGCCAGTTCATGTCACCAGCAGACATTTTAAATCCCATTTAAGCTCAGTTACGTGCTCACTTTAGCGTAATGACGGTCAGCGGTTTGAAGTGGTTTGTCAGTGGACCAGAGCAAGACGTGGGATAAAGACGGAGAGGTTAAATATATACGTTGGAGACGTTTGGCTCTGGACAGCTTGTTGGAAACATATTCTTAAGTTACAGACTGAGGGCTACCCCATAATCTGAAGTCAACGACCAAAGCATTGAGATGTACACTTCCCGTCAGACGTTTCCTATGAAATTTTCTGAGTGATGTTTGATTTCTGTAGTTATTTTTAAATGAACTGAGGAGAAATCGCTGCAGAGGTTTAGTTGACCATAAATTAGCTCTGTGCTGATGCTTCATCTTTTCCAAAGTATTGTTAAAAGCTCATATTTGAAACTCTTCTGGCCCAAATGTGGGTTAACCACCTGAAAGGCTTGAGTGCTGACATCATAACGAAGGGATAAACAGGGATGGTTGGTTTTACCTTGAGCTGTGGTTCCTCTTTAGCACCCCAATGACTTAATTTTCTCCTATGCACTTAAAATAGACGGTTCCTCAAGGATTCTTTAGCCAAGACGGTCCCACTTTGTATTAAGTGCCTCTAACTGTGTAGTTACACATTAACAATATATGCTGTTAATTTGTAATTACACAGTTATTAGACACAATATAAAGTGGGACTGCAAAGACATTGATTCGATATAGAACCATGAACACTCAAAGAACTATTTGCATGACTAAATGGTTCTCTGTATGGTGAAATGGTTCTTCAGATTGATGGAGAATGTGATGTACATGGCTCTGAGATCATCACAATAGAAGAACCATTTTGGTGCTACGTAGAACACATTCTCCATCAATCTGAAGAACCATTTCACCATGAAAAGAACCGTTTAAATCATGCAAAGGGTTCTTCGAGTGTTTATAGTTCTATCTAGAACCATTTTCTTTACTAAGGAACCATCTTTCTTAAGAGTGTGTGGTCAGCTCTTTACACAAGGGCTAACTTTCGTTTACCTGTATTTTATTATATTTTTATTAATATATTTTTCCTTTATTTTGCCATCAGTTCACATTGAGATCAAAGAATCTCTTTTAAAAGAGAGACGTGACCAAGACAGCAGCTTCACAACACATTAAAATACAACATATATGGCATAAAGTGGGTGTAGCCTTTGGCTTCATTGCCAAAGTAGCACTGTCGCTAACATTGACACAAACATTTGCACATCTGATGCTGTTTACTCTAAATAAACCTTCTTAGGTGCTGTTTGGACAGGAGTAGTTTCGTCCTGGTTTAGCCAAGGGGAGGCCGCGGAGGTGGGGGGGGCAGTGCCACCCTGGTATGAAGCGTGGCCCCCCCTACTGGCCACCCAAGTTATGGAAAGTGAGACGGTCATGGAGTGGGAAACGTAATGCCTGCACACTGCTGAAAAGTCAGAGCCTAGCAAAAATATATATTGATTGGATTAATTAGAGAACAAAACACAAAACGAGCGAACATTTCAACTTCTTGCTTTCATCAGTGCTCATAAAGCATCACTCTCAACCTTTGATGACCCAAACAAACTGCCCTCTCCTGTGTAGGGCTTTTTCTTGTTTATTTTATGACCACAGACAGATAATACATGAGGCAAACAAATAAAGTGAAAAAGCAAGACAAGCCAAACATAAAGACAGACATATACTGAACAAATAAAGTAAATAAATATGTTTATGCATATACACATATAAACCCATACACACATTCAGTGTCTTTGTACCAAAAATACAATAGTCTGCTCTAGTAATCTGTGTCAGTAATAATTAGGTAATATTGCTTTGCTGTACAGAAGAAATGGAGAGCCAGGTCTTGTTTAAGGGTGTAAGGTAAGGCGTTGAAGATCAGGCAGAAAACATTTATTTCTAAACATTTTTCAACGCTAAACGTTCTGAAACGTTTGACATGAAACATCCCAACATTTCCGTCTCATTCTCAAGATTTTTTGATCTTCTGCTTGGACATTTCGTCTTTTATACTGAACACTACATTAAGCCTCTTAGCCTCAACAGAAAAGTCAGATGTCTCTACATTATTCCACCAAATGTCAGACAGATGCTTCTTTGACATAGTTTACTAATAAATACTGTAATAACTTCAAACTTCCAGGCTCTTTTGGAGCCTCGTAGACTCAACACATTCCCCTCACGCTACCTTTGGTCCACTTTCCCACCTAAAAGCACCTCAGAGTCTCCCACAGATGTCCACAGTTGTTTAAAAACATATGTTATGCACATTAGCCTTCTGGCACCACGTGATTCTGGGTAACGATGTTCCTACAGGGCCGCTCCGGAGCGGACGGAGCCAGAGGAATGCCTGGTGAACCGGGAGCCAAGGTAGGCTTACTAACTCACTCGCAGCCTTCAGTTTTTTATGTGGTACTCTGGGAGGAATAAAGATGAGCGTCTGGTGCTGATAATGCTGCCACTATCACTGTCCTCCTGTCCTAACAGGGTGACCGAGGATTCGACGGCCTTCCAGGTTTACCTGGTGAGAAAGGACACAGGGTAAGTCCTGAGATAAAAGGAAAACTGTCAGATTTAAAAACAAAAGTCCTACTTTTCTGTGTTTTTACACCACTGTGTGAACATTTCAGGATGAATGGACAAGTAGAAATGGTCCAGAACTGTTGTTACCTTAACAAACATTAACGTAGGAACGTTTTTAATTCTATCTTAAAGTTTCCATTTCATAGAAATGAGGTTTTCTCATCACAGCAACAAACTGAACGACCACTAAATCACCTCATTTTGGTGTTATTGATAATGTTGGACATCGGTAAGTTCTAAAATAAAATAAAGTAAAACTGTCAGATTTAAAAACAAGTCCTACTTTTTGTGTGTTTTTACACCGTTTAAGAACTTTACAGTGTGTAAACATTGAGGAAGATTCACAGGATGAATGGAAAAATAGAAATGGTCCAAAATTATTGGGAATAAAATCTTGTTACCTTAATTTACATTAACTTAGGAACATTTTTAACTCGTTTAAAGTTTCCATTTCATAGATATGAGGTTTCTCATCACAGCAACAAACTGAATGACCACTAAGTCACCGCATTAGATAAAGAATACCAGCAGCTGTTTAATCACACATACATTTTGGTGCTATTGATACTGTTGTCAAGTTTGACAGTAAGTCAGAGTATTAAATACAGTATATCATCCAGCAGAGCCACTCAAGGCACGGTATTGCTATGAGATTTACACCATGCAGTAAAGCTGGAAATGCGCTGATGTTGAAGTGACGTTGAACGTCTTGCTCAAGATGACAAAGAAAAGTCGGAAATTTTGAAAAATATAGGCTATACTTTTTAAAAATCATGTTTATATCCCCCCTTTTCCTACATGAGATGTGTTCTTTGCTCTTTTCTACAGGCCTAGATTTGATATACACTCTTAAAAAAGGTGATTCTTCAAGGGTTTTTTAGAAAAAACAAAACTCAAAGAAGCATTTGCATGTTTATGGTCCTTTGTATCGGGAATTTTCTTTCTGTAGCAAGAAAAAGGGCTACAAACTTGACATCATAACAACAGCAGAACCCTTTTTGGTGCTACACTGAACCATTTTCAAAAAGGTTCTACACATTCTCTACTATTCTGAAGAACCCTTTCACCATGCAAAGAACCATGCAGATTGTTCTTTGAGTTTCCATGGTCCCCCTTGAAGAACCATCTGTTTTAAGTGTTTTATACTGAACTGATACTGATCATTTACAGCAGCTTAATTCCTAAAAATATGCTGCAAATAACTGTGTTATTACTGAGCTCCTTCTGGTGTGGGTTCATGGTGGCGTGCATGCTAACAGTGCTCCCTGCTGGAGAAACTTCAGACTGCAAGTGATTTCCGATTTTTCCATTGTTACATCTGCATTTCTATAATTCAGCACTTAATCTGTACAGTCATAGATGAGGATCAGAGGAACTTCCTCTCCAGGTTGGAGTTAACTGAGCCACTCTACACTAACTTTGTCATTGTAGCTCAATTTTTTCTACTGCAGAAAGTCACTTTGAGTCATGAGCTTCAAAGCATGTCAGCATTTATTTTCGAATCCATTCACATAAAGTGAATTAAGATGAATCTGTGCGGTAAAGCCAGCATTACAGTGCGTAGCAGAGAGAAATAACACAGGCAGTTTCCAAGAAGTGAACCCACATTTCTCAAAGATAAACTCCAGTTTCCCAGCATATTTTTAAACATCTTTAATGGCAAATTATTCTTCTCGAATTCTCTTGGTTCTTTTACCAAAACAGTGATCATCGCCTTTTTCGCATCGCCATCGCTTTACTTGTCCATCATCGATGATATCCAATTCCATCGTCCCATCGCCCAGGCCTACTTTACAGAGACTTTTTTTTACGTGTTTAAAGTGTTTAAAGTGTTTAAAGTGTAGACGGCGGGGTCTTTGACACGAGGGGGCCTGCAGGAACAGGCTAACTCAGCGTAAACTCGAGGAGCTCAGGTCAGCGAGTCCGCTCCACAGGAAATGGCCATTTTTCTTACACCTTTACGTCTGCCGGAGTCCATTTTTACTGAGCGTCCACACTCAGTAAAAATACCACAAGCAGCCTTGGACCTTCTCCCCATTTTAGCATCCGTTAGCATGCCGTGCTTGGCCTGCGTTCGTGCCAGAGGAGAACACGGGTGATGGAGGCTGGCGTGTATTTCCAGCCTCCTAACCCAGGCCTGCGTAATTACAGAGAAAAGCCCCATCTGTCACAGCCGCTGCTTAGAAAGAGGAAGCCTTAAATAGCGCTCACGAGCCCCACTTAACAATACAGGCGGGCGAGGAGGATAATAACCACTTTCTCCTTCTGCTCCTCTATCATTTCACTCATTTGCTCCTTCTCATGTCTTTTTTCTCCTCTATTGCTCGCTGGCAGGGGGAGCATGGCCCCATTGGGCCTCCAGGACCTCCAGGAGACGATGGGCCCAGAGTGAGTGGCTTTCTGAGGCGGACGATGGATATTTCTCAGATATTGCACTGTGTTTGTTTGTTTGTTTGTTTGTTATAACGTGTTGTCATTCGCAGGGCGAGGATGGAGAGATCGGGCAGAGGGGAATGCCGGGAGAGAGTGTAAGCTGCTTCATCTCTGACTAGAAATGAGCTTCAGTGCCGAAGTCCTTCAACAGTGTGTCTCTCTGTCTCTCTCTCGCTCTCTCTCGCTCTCATTTTCTCTCCCTCCCTTCCTCTTTCTCTCTCCTTCTCACTATCTTTTTCTCTCCTTTCTTTCTTTTTCTTTCTTTCTTTCTCTGTATGTTTATTTCTCTATACTTCGCTTCGTCTCTATCTTTTAACTCTCTCTTATCTCTGTCTCTCTTTTTAACTCTGTTTTTCTCTCCTTTTGCTTTCCTTCTCTTTATCTCTCACTCTTTTGCTTGCTTACTCTCTCTCTCTGTCTCCCTCTATTCTCTAATCTCTGTTGTATTCTCTCTCTGTCTCACTTCCTCTCTTTTTTCTTCTTTTGCTTTCTTTGCCTCCTCCTCTCTCTTCTCTCTCTCATTCTCTCTCTCTCTCCTTGTACCAGTGTTCTCACATATTTCACTGTAATGCTGAGTAAGTGCCCCATCAGCAGAGTGGAGAGTAGCGAGAGAGAGAGAGAGAGAGAGAGAGAGAGAGAGAGAGAGAGAGAATGCCTCCATTGGCATAAGCATTAGCCTGGGAGGTTTGGGGTTTGTGTTGGAGACCCCCCACTGCCCCCCCACTCAGCACCTCAGGGTCTACAGTGAAAAATAACAGTCTATCAGCCCTTTGTTCTCCTTGTTCTCCTTGCTCTCCTTGTTCTCCTTGTTCTCAGTGCGCTGTGTGTTTGTGCCGTCAGCGTCCTGAGTGAGTAATTCAGAGAGTTTATCTCAGACGAGTGACTGAACAGTTTATTCTCACAGAACTGACTGAGAGTCGTGGAGCGAAATGAAAACAGTCACAGTGCAAATTGTTCATACAGAGCTCAACGAGGAGACGAGAGAGAGACAGACACGCGGAGAGAGGAGAGAGGAGAGAGACAGACACGCAGAGAGAGGAGAGAGACAGACACGCAGAGAGAGGAGAGAGACAGACACGCAGAGAGAGGAGAGAGACAGATACGCAGAGAGAGGAGAGAGGAGAGAGACAGACACGCAGAGAGAGGAGAGAGACAGACACGCAGAGAGAGGAGAGAGGAGAGAGACAGACACGCAGAGAGAGGAGAGAGACAGACACGCAGAGAGAGGAGAGAGACAGACACGCAGAGAGAGGAGAGAGGAGAGAGACAGACACGCAGAGAGAGGAGAGAGACAGATACGCAGAGAGAGGAGAGAGACAGACACGCAGAGAGAGGAGAGAGGAGAGAGACAGACACGCAGAGAGAGGAGAGAGACAGACACGCAGAGAGAGGAGAGAGGAGAGAGACAGACACGCAGAGAGAGGAGAGAGGAGAGAGACAGACACGCAGAGAGAGGAGAGAGACAGGAGGAGCAGCACCAGCGTTACAGCAATCAGATCAGCTCCTTTCATCTGTATACATTTATCATTCATCTGTTCATCCATCCATTTATCCAGTAATCCATCTCTCCATTCATCCATCCATTTATCCAGTAATCCATTTCTCCATTCATCCATCCATCTATCTGTTAATCCATCTCTCCATTCATCCATCCATCTATCCGTAATCCATCTCTCCATTCATCCATCCATCCATTTATCCAGTAATCCATCTCTCCATTCATCCTTCCATTCATCCATCCATTTATCCATCTCTCCATTCATCCATCCATCTATCAGTCCATTAGTCCATATTTCCATTCATCTCTCCGTTCATCCATCCATCCATTTATCCAGTAATCCATCTCTTCATTCATCCAATTATCCATCCATCTATCCAATAATCCATCTCTCCATTCATCCTTCCATCCATCTTTCAATTAATCCATCTCTCCCTCCATGCATGCATCCATCCATCCATACTTCCATCTATCTATCCATGAATCAATTTCTCCATCCATCCATCAATCCATACATCCACCATTCCATGTATCTATCCATTAATCCATCTCTCCATCCATTCATCCATCTATCCACTAATCCATCTCTCTATTCGTCCATCTGTTCCTGAGTGCTGAGTATCAGTTCAGTCTGGTTGCTGTAGTGCTGGTCAGTTGTTCTCTCTTGTTGTTTCGACTCTCACTCTGAGTTATTTACACTGCATTTTTACTGTGTTCAGCACTTAACAGTTGTATTTAAAACATAAATAAAACGCCCTGTGTTCCCACGGATCGTCTGCGGTGGATCAGCAGTGGATCAGCAGTGGATCAGCAGTGGATCAGCAGTGGGTCAGCAGTGGATCAGCAGTGGATCAGCAGTAGGTCAGCAGTAGGTCAGCAGTAGGTCAGCAGTGGATCAGCAGTAGATCAGCAGTGGATCAGCAGTGGGTCAGCAGTAGATCAGCAGTAGGTCAGCAGTAGATCAGCAGTAGATCAGCAGTAGATCACTTTGTCTCCTTCATAAGTCGCTGTGATAAATATGCGAAATGAATGAATGTAAATATGAACATGTGTGTTTTGCTGCTCAGGGTCCCAGAGGTCTGCCCGGCCCCCGGGGCTCCCAGGGTGCCCCTGGTCAGCGGGTACGTACCACACACTTCTACATTCTTTTTTCTTTTGGCTGAAAACTGGACACTGACATGCATTTCTTCTGTACCTACAGGGTCTCTCTGGACTGGACGGTACAGCTGGTCCTAAAGGAAACATGGTAAGATTTCTTTTTCAGGTTTTCCATTAGCTGAGATAAACGATACGCAGGACAGTCTGTGTTATCAGTCTGAGATCACGGACACACGTGGAACAGCACAGAAACAGCAGCCCACTAAAAATTATAGCATCTAGTATCTGTGAAGTTTTGATCAATCAAACTGATGAAAATGATTTGGGTAGAATTCGTTTAGCTGAGGTTTGACCAGCAGGTGGCCACAACACTTTACTTTTGATCCTGTTTGGGTGTGAGCGCTGTCTACAATAATGCAGTGGGTTCGAAATGTATGTAGAAAGTGGTGAGAAGGCGCTCAGCGCTCGGAGCTCCGCTGGAACAGCAATTTACTGTTCCTTGACATTGAATGGGAAATAGTAACCGAGCCGCTGGTCCTGCTCTCCCGTCGTGCTGCAGATAGCGGGTGTGTGTTAAGTGGTGAGAAATACGAGGCCGCGCTCGTCTGGGTGCATATTTTCCAGATGTGCCCTCGGGCTGCGAGTGCTGGAACAGCAGGCTGACTAGCTCACAGCTTTATGTTGAGGTTCCACAATTTTGCCATCTACTGACCGAAGCCGGGGTCTTTCTGATCGCTCAGAGTGCAGGTCGCTCTCTCTGCGGCCGAGTCGGTGGTGAACTGTCTGCCGTCATTACCACACGGCTGTTGTTGGTTCTTTTTAGCTGGACCTACACTCTTAAAAAAAGAAGGTCCTTCAAGGGTCATTGGAACCATTTACATGTTTAAAGGCTTCTTTGCATCATGAAAGCGTTCTTCAGATTGATGGGGAATGTGCAGTGACATTTTTTGAAAAGGGTTCTTCTGTTACAAGCTTGACACTGTAACAACAGAAGAACCCTTTGGCAAAGAAACTTTGTCATGCAGTGGGTTCTTTTGAGTGATTCTTGGTTCTCACAATTTAATTATAATCAAATGTGTTTGTCAAATCAAATTTGTTCATTAACAGTAGTATTTAATACCGCTCTTAAAGATGGTTCTTCAAGGGTTCTTCAGTAAAGAAAATGTTTCTATATAGAACATGAGCACTGATAGGAACCATTTGCATGTTTAAAGGCTTCTTTGCATCATGAAAGCGTTCTACAGTGTTCTTTAGTGGTTTCACCATGTTCCTTAGTGTTCTTTAGTGTTTTCACCACGTTCTTTAGTGTTTTCACCATGTTCTTTAGTGTTCTTTAGTGTTTTCACCATGTTCCTTAGTGTTCTTTAGTGGTTTCACCATGTTCCTTAGTGTTCTTTAGTGTTCTATAGTGTTTTCAGCACGTTCCTTAGTGTTCCCTAGTGTTTTCACCACGTTCCTTAGTGTTCTTTAGTGTTTTCACCATGTTCTTTAGTGTTCTTTAGTGTTTTCACCACGTTCCTTGTGTTCTTTAGTGTTTTCACCACGTTCCTTAGTGTTCTTTAGTGTTTTCACCATGTTCTTTAGTGTTCTTTAGTGTTTTCGCCACGTTCCTTAGTGTTCTTTAGTGTTCTTTAGTGTTTTCACCACGTTCCTTAGCGTTCTTTAGTGTTTTCACCATGTTCCTTAGTGTTCTTTAGTGGTTTCACCATGTTCTTTAGTGTTCTTTAGTGGTTTCACCATGTTCCTTAGTGTTCTTTGGAGAATGGAGAATGCACTGTAGATGGTTCTATATAGATGCTTTTTGAAAATAGTTCTAAGTAACATCAAAAAGGTTCCTCTATTGTTATGATGTCAGGCTTATATACAATAGAAGAACCCTTTCGGGTGCTATATACAGCCATTTTCAAAAAGGTTCTGTGTAGAACTGTCTAACACATTCTCCATCAATCTGCAGAACACTTTCATGATGCAGAGAAGCCTTTAAACATGCAAAGTGTTCTTTAAGTGTTCATGGTTCTATATAGAACTATTTTCTCTACTACAGAACCCTTAGAGAACCATCTAATACTCCTAATCATGGCGTCGTTCATCCTGAGACCCCCCTGACTGTGATGAAGTCAGATGGTTGCTTGCACCTCTGGATGGAGTGGACGTCTAGCGATCTAGACCAGGTTCCTTTTAATTATACTTAGTACAGTGTTCAGTTCTGCTTAGCTAGAACTCTTAGCTACTAAACCTTTTTGGTCAAACTCAGAACTGATTAGACAAATCAGCTGCTGCTGATCATTAACTCGTTAACTCAGTCATCATCACCGTGCTGTGGTGACCATGGTGGTCCCCCATGGTGGTCTCTTAGATGTAGTCAGTATATCTAATCTTTCTCATTATTAGACTGTTGAGATTATTTAACTTATTTCTAGACATTATTTCTAAAATATACGTTTCTATTATTCTGGCCACAAAATCTCTATGTTGGCTGTGAGATTAACTGGCTTGGAGTGACTTTTTATATCTGTCTGCTAACGATTCTGAAACCGAGACCAAAAACGTGATAAAAACATTCACCATCTCGTGACATGGTTCCGGAAGACGGAACCACAATACCCCCCCGCCACAACCCCAACCCACTGCCACAGCTGGTGCAGCCTGTTGAGCTCTCATTACGTTACTAATGTGTTCGTGTCACAACTAACACCAGAATAACACGTTCATACAATAAATCACAAATTATTATTCTCTTTACAGTTGTTCCCCACGTTCCTTAGTGTTCTTTAGTGTTCCTTAGTGTTCTTTAGTGTTTTCACCACGTTCTTTAGTGTTCTTTAGTGTTTTCACCACGTTCCTTAGTGTTCCTTAGTGTTCTTTAGTGTTCTTTAGTGTTTTCACCACGTTCTTTAGTGTTCTACAGTGTTCTTTAGTGTTTTCACCACATTCTTTAGTGTTCTACAGTGTTCTTTAGTGTTTTCACCACATTCTTTAGTGTTCTACAGTGTTCTTTAGTGTTTTCACCACATTCCTTAGTGTTCTTTAGTGTTTTCACCACATTCCTTAGTGTTCTTTAGTGTTTTCACCACATTCCTTAGTGTTCTTTAGTGTTTTCACCATGTTCCTTAGTGTTCTTTAGTTTCTTCACCATGTTCCTTAGTGTTCTTTAGTGTTCTATAGTGTTTTCACCACGTTCCTTAGTGTTCTTTAGTTTCTTCACCACATTCCTTAGTGTTCCTTAGTGTTCTTTAGTGTTTTCACCACGTTCTTTAGTGTTCTTTAGTGTTTTCACCACATTCCTTAGTGTTCCTTAGTGTTCTTTAGTGTTTTCACCACGTTCTTTAGTGTTCTTTAGTGTTCTTTAGTGTTTTCACCACGTTCTTTAGTGTTCTTTAGTGTTTTCACCACGTTCCTTAGTGTTCTTTAGTGTTTTCACCACATTCCTTAGTGTTCTTTAGTTTCTTCACCACGTTCCTTAGTGTTCTTTAGTGGTTTCACCATGTTCTTTAGTGTTCTTTAGTGTTTTCATCACGTTCCTTAGTGTTCCTTAGTGTTTTCACCACGTTCCTTAGTGTTCTTTAGTGTTTTCACCACGTTCCTTAGTGTTCTTTAGTTTCTTCACCACGTTCCTTATTGTTCTTTAGTGTTCTTTAGTGGTTTCACCACGTTCCTTAGTGTTCTTTAGTGTTTCAAATTGTTGGTGATTTAATAAAACCCAGAAAATTTTCCCTGTTTTTTTCTTATTCTATTGGAAAAATTGAGGTCTGAACCAAAACATGGATTTGGAGAATTGTTTCAGCCCTAATCCTCCTGCCTTTAGCATAATTAATTAGCATTAGCGTTCCGTTTTGTGTGCAATATTGTTTTTATATTCACAGTAAATGCGGTTGGCCTTAGCATCGCTAATACAGATCCAAATCAACCAATAAAAATAGCTGGTTTTGTTAAAAAGAACATAAAGTGTGTTTCCCTAACTGGACATGCTCTACTTGTTTTAAACACATCTGGTACAAAAAGGCAGCTGTCACTGACCACAGACTGGTGCAGAGTTCCCACTGACCTTTGACCTCGCCCAAACATACTGGCTAAAGGTCAGGGCTGACTGTGGTCACTTGATTAGAGAGTCACAATTCTGACAGATGATATAACTCAGGATCCCCCCAGAGAATTTAACTTTTGACCCCAAAGAGCAGCAGATAAGAAAAACACAGACTGTGTCAGTAACCGGTTCAGTGTGTTTACACTTAATAATCTGATAGAAAATCAGACTGTGTCAGTAACCGGTTCAGTGTGTTTACACTTAATAATCTGATCACTGCAGAAAATCTGATTGTGTCAGTAACTGGTTCAGTGTGTTTACACTTAATAATCTGATCTCTGCAGAAAATCAGACTGTGTCGGTAACTGGTTCAGTGTGTTTACACTTAATAATCTGATCACTGCAGAAAATCAGATTGTGTCAGTAACCGGTTCAGTGTGTTTACACTTAATAATCTGATCACTGCAGAAAATCAGACTGTCAGTAACAGGTTCAGTGTGTTTACACTCACTTAATGTAAACATGCTCACTGTTAAAAATATCATGTCCAGTAGAAGTTAAAGCCTCTGTAATGCAGGATATGTATTGTTACATTTGGGCCAAAACCTTTTATCTCCATTACTTTAAATGCCAGCTGTTCTTTACAGTGTGTGAACATTGCATGATGAACCAGCCAATGGAAATGATTACATTTAAATGTAATTAGATAATTACATTTTTTTCTTTAAACATTTGGAGATGGTTTTGTTGGGACAGTGTTATACAATGACGTAGTGTTTCTCATTATGAGAATGATTGATTTAAAAATAATAAAAATAATGACTATTTCTAAACATTTCTAGTCTACTTCTATATTTTACTGCGGATAGTTTCAGCTCTGAGGTTCTTACAGTGATCTCATAATGAGAAATATTGGACATATTACCAACATTTAAGATGTTTCCACTTGCCAAGCTGTTTTTTTTTTCCGGTGAAGTCTTGGTGTTCTGTCAAATTCAGCTTTTTTCCAGCTGTAGTAACTGCATGCCTGTCTTTATTTAATTTATGAGTTACACAACTACAGCTAACCTTTCACTTTCTCCTTTTAAGGCTTGAAGCATTTTTATTTCGATGTATATGATTTTAAGATAAAAATTACAGCATAAAACATGAATAAAATGGAGAACCGTCATATGGTCTACTTGTTTTTGTTATATTGTGCCGTTATTAGAAAGCTGTCTTGTTACACCAGCTGCCGTTTCATGACCCAGAAATTCTGACGTTTCCTCTTTTTGTTCATTACGTCTCTCTTAGTCCAGCCGCTGCGCAGCCTGATGCATTTTGGTGTCATTTATCAGGTTTTTCTCTCTTTTTTTTTTCTTTCTTCCAGGGTCCTTCAGGAGAACCAGGCCCTCCTGGACAGCAGGGAATCCCCGGCCCACAGGTCAGCTCAAACACAGCCGTGGAGAAAGTGGAGAGAAAATGACTGACTGAATGGATATTAGTGGAATAGTTAAAGGAATACTGCTGTGTTTAATCCTAATCTCTACCTGCTGCGTCTGTAGCGCATGGTCACTTATCACAAACTGTAACTGCGACATGTTTTCACTGAACCTGCCCACTGTCTTCTATCATACATATGATTTGAGTCAACAGGTGAACCGTAAGGTACAGATGCAGCAGAAACAGATTAGAGTTTTCCTTCAAAGATTCCAGGAACATAAACTGTTTTCTTTCTGTTTAGGTTAATCTTGTTCTTGCAGGCAAACAGTAAACATGTACGAGTATTACACTGCAAAATATGGTATTTTAGCAAGGGAAAAAATCTTAAATCCAGCCAATATATCTAATATTATCTTATTATCTTATAATGAGATTGTTGTAAGGATATTATAAGATTATTTAACTTATTTTTAGACATTTTTACTTGTTTTGAGTAATTTTATCTTATAAAAGTGTTTTATTCCAGTGGCAGATCATTTAACTGGTTTCAAGCATGATTTCTTTAAATAAGTAAAATGATCTGCCAGTGGAATCAGACACTTTTACTGGATAAAATTGCTTAAAACAAGTAAAGATGTCTAGAAATAGGCTAAATAATCTTATAATATGCCAACATTAGTCTCATAAAGAGAAGCATCAGGTATATTGACTAACAGTTTAAGATGTTTTCACTCCCGAAGATGTCATTTTTTGCAGTGTAGGGGTGCGCTGATATGATACTCAGTGTCGGTATCTGTCCGATACTGGCCAAAATCGCTGGATCGGATATCTGAAAGAAAAAAAATAAGTATAATCCGATATGATCCATTAGCCTGAGCGATCACATGCATGCTTAACTGATTAGTATTGCTTAATTGAGTCATATGGTGGGCTGTATTTCCTCCTTTAGGGCAGCAGAATATTTACTTCACAGTTTGAGCTCATTGACATTATTCAGATGGCTAGATTAACCTCTTAAATGGTCAGGACCCGCCAGCAGGCCCAACGCTTTATTACACACTTCTATAATCTGAGAATAGCTCAGCCAGTTTGCACTGAAGTCCCTGTAGTTACTGAATAATAAGCCTTAAGTTTGTAATAAGACTGAGATTTTAAGGAGTTTAGCAAAGTGCACCCAGACACGTATTACTACGGCTTAGTTGTTAAAAGAGAGGAAAAAAGACGGTATCAGATTAGAATCGGTAACGGCAGATATAACATTGCGCATAAATCAGTATCGGTATCGGACATAAGAGTGGTATTGAGCCACCCCTACTAAGTTTACCCTATGAATAATCTCCAATGACCAATAAATGACCGATATATTTGACCATATTTCTCTCCTCTCGATGTAAACTGGTAACCAGTCTTCCATAAGCATTCTCCTGACCAATCACAGGGCTGTGTCTCTGTCCCCGCCCACACAGAACAGTTTCAGAGTCAGAGAAGCTTAGTGAGCTAAAGCTAACCCAGCATAACTAAAAGCCAGCGAGCAAGACCGCCTGTCTGTGGCTGCCTGTCGCCCGTCCACTCGTTTATCAACACCAACATTGTTCTCTTGTATGTTTATTCATTAACTCACTGGACTTCCATCCGTCCATCTGCACGTCTGTTCATCTGTGACTTTTTTCGCACAGGTAGCGTCACATATATATATATATATATAATAACGTTGGCTCTGTATGGGGCGGAGCAGGCTAGGAGTGCTGGACAGAGAGCTGTCAATCAAGCTGCTCATTAGCCACGCCTACACAGTTCTCAGACAGGGCTGATCAGAGCTTTTTAAGCCGTTTTGCATTTATATCTTACATTTTTCATTCAAGCTTTGCTGGATGTTTAGTAGAACACTCCGGTTTAGTGTCGAACACACGTTTAGAATATTTCCCTCCGGTTCTCTGAGGCTTTAATTGAATTATGCTGCTCCAGTCAAACAGTAAGAGAGTCAGAATGTACAGGCTGTAAAAGTGACCTCAACATAAGATGCGATTCCAGTGAATGTTGACATGTTGTCAGTCTGTAAGTTCATTATTTACTTTATCTCTTCATCTCTTTCCTAACTCTCTCTCTTCTCCAGCTCCCTCATCCTTTCCTCATCTTCCTCCCCTCAGTTGGTCAGCAGGGCTCAGTTTGACCTCAGAGAGCTCCTCTGTGTTTTAGTCTTTCAGTTAAAGTTCTGCAGTGTTGCTGTCGTTTCCGTTTGTTTGTTTATTCCCCCCGTTTTTCTCTCATTCATTACATTTGAGATGTTCTACAGTGCTGTAAGACTAGAGACAGAGAAATCACCAGCTGAGTCTTCACGTTTATATATATATATATATATATATATATATATATATATATATATATATATATATATATATATATATATATATATATATGTGTGTGTGTGTCTGTGTGTGTGTATATGTGTATATATATATATATATATATATATATATATATATATATATATATAGTTTAATAATAATGTCTCGTATGCAGGCTGTACACTGTTACAAAACAAAAGAATGGTTCTTTAAGGGTTCTTTAAGGGACACTCAAATAACCATTTGCATGCAGTGGTTCTTCAGATTGATGGAGGATGTGTTGGATATGGTTCTCTACAGCACCAAAACCGGTTCTGCTACTGTTACAAGCTTGACATCATCACAATAGCAGAACCCTTTTTGGTGCTATATAGAACCCTTTCCAAAAGGTTCTATATAGATCCATATACAGCACATTCTCCGCCAATCTGAAGAACCATTAAAGCATCTTTGCTAAAGAACTCTTAAAGAACCATCACCGGTGTACGTTGTTGCACATATGCAGAAAAGATCAATCACGCATGTGAAAGAACGTTCTGACCACACGCTGTGTTTCCTCACTGTCGGAACCGTGTCCTCAGTGTCGTTGTGCAAGTTCTGAAGTGGTTCTTCAGACACTACAGAACGAATCCAAACATCTGTAAACAAAATGAACAAAATAATTTTAATCAAACGCCTGCTGGAAAGCAAGGTCAGCCCAAAAATTGGTCTGGAATTAGAGGCTGAGGCGCCCTCTGCTGGGACGACTGGCTTCGCTGATTCTAGCCTAGTCATCAGATTCATGATGTGTTCTTAAAGCACAGAACTCTTCTCACCTTTGTGTTCTTGAGTGTGTGTAGATTCTGTTCTTACCTAAGAACAAACCCCACCTAAGAGAACACTGGTGAGTCAGAGTCTTCGTCAGGACTGTGTGAGGGGGTTTAAGAAGAGATTTTAACGGTTGGTGAACGAGGCCCGGTGATATTCAACTATTACATTAATTGCTTTTCGGAAATGTGTGAAAGCAGCCATACCATGAATCCTGCTGGTGTGGGTTCATGTGTGGCTTTCACCTCTTTTAATGACTCAGTACTTTAGCGCCCCCTCTTGGAGAAAATGAATTGTATGTATTTCACAAAATTAAAACTAAAATGAAAATGAAAACCCTTTGCTTTTCACATTTAATCGGACAAATTGTTCCGCTTACTGGCCTTAATACTTTTTATTGGTATTATTTTGTAGTTCTTCTCTTGGTGTGACAATATTTCAGTTTGTGCTACAACACTTGCTTTTAACTTTCCCAGCACTGGTGCTCAAAAAAGTATGTACAGGCCTGTATATGTATTATATAAGTACCTGTAGGCCTATGGAATAGGTACGTTCAATATATGCTGTCAGAACACAACTCCATATCTCCATTTTTTCATTTTTCAGTTTTTAACATAATTTTAAATGCCTGTTGCCTGTTGTGCACATTGTGCGTAAATTTCATGATGATTGGATTAAAAGAAACAGTCAAAAGTTATTTGAATTATCTGGTTCCCTTGACTTACATTAAAAGTAAAGTTTTGTTTTTTCCTTCTTCTGTAAAGTGACCATTTTGGAGATCTGAGGTTTTGTGTCAACAGCAGCATAATTTGATATGCCTCTTATAATCTATCACTATTTTCACACAACATGGCTGTGAATGTTATTTATCAGGTTTTTTCCATATTACCTGCTCAGATCACCTTTATTCACCTCTCTATTACTGTTACTAAGCACATCTGTCTACTTCACTCCTGTATTTCAGGGTTTGCCTGGACCTCAAGGACCAATTGGCCCTCCTGGAGAAAAAGTAAGTGTGTGTATACGATACAGAGAGAGAGAGAGAGAGAGAGAGAGAGAGAGAGAGAGATTTTGTTATTACAGACAGATTTTTCTGCCTTGGCCCCCATAAACGATTCAGCAGGCTCATTGGTTTCCAAGCTGTAGGTTCTGAGAAGATCACTGCTGACTAAAGAGAAACCACACACACACACACACACACACACACACACACACACACACACACACACACACACACACACTCAGTGTTTCTGTCAGTGGCGTCTCACTCCAGCAGTTATTCAGATGTGTTTGGAGGACAGCCAGAGCTGTAGCAGCCCATTAGAGTGAAATGTGACCCCAGACGCTGTGGAGTGTTTTAGTGTTTTTACCTCCTCTGTATGATTAGAAATCCGCCGAAATGAGCGCAGGAAGCCGCGATGGAGTGATAACATCATGAAGTGCTTTATGAAACCGTGTTAGTGTTGAACTAAGCTGTGAGGCCGATGGTCACGGCCGTAGCTGAGCGCTCAGCTCTTCTCTCCTGCTCTGTTTCTGTTCGTGTGGGATTCTGTTGTCTCTCTCTGACGCCTGTTCTCTCTCCCTCTTCAGGGTCCTTCAGGGAAACAGGGTCTGCACGGTTTAGCTGGAGCCGACGGTCCTCCTGTGAGTCGTTCTCTCTCCATCTCACCTACTGAGAGACTCGCAACCTCACTGACACTGCGGGGGTCGCTTACTCTCACTCAGCTTGGGGGCAGAACCATGAATATTAGTGCAGTCGAGTCGTCTTTATTAGCATTCCGCAGTATAACTTCTCTGCACTGGAGCGAAATGTGGTTCTTCAGGCCTCAAACACACACCAGCAGCACTTTACACACACTACACACTTTACACACTACACACTATACACACTACACACTTTACACACCAGCAGCACTTTACACACACTACACACTTTACACACTACACACTATACACACTACACACTATACACACCAGCAGCACTTTACACACACTACACACTTTACACACTACACACTTTACACACCAGCAGCACTTTACACACACTACACACTTTACACACTACACACTTTACACACACTACACACTTTACACACCAGCAGCACTTTACACACACTACACACTTTACACACTACACACTTTACACACCAGCAGCACTACACATATTACACACCAGCAGCACTTTACACACTACACACTTTACACACCAGCAGCACTACACACACCACACACTTTACATACCAGCAGCACTTTACACACTTTACACACACTACACACTTTACACACACTACACACTTTACACACCAGCAGCACTTTACACACTACACACTTTACACACCAGCAGCACTTTACACACTTTACACACAATACACACTTTACACACTTTACAACTTTACACACTACACACTTTACACACCAGCAGCACTTTACACACACTACACACTTTACACACCAGCAGCACTTTACACACACTACACACTTTACACACACTACACACTTTACACACCAGCAGCACTTTACACACACTACACACTTTACACACACTACACACTTTACACACCAGCAGCACTTTACACACACTACACACTTTACACACCAGCAGCACTTTACACACACTACACACTTTACACACCAGCAGCACTACACATATTACACACCAGCAGCACTTTACACACTACACACTTTACACACACTACACACTTTACACACACTACACACTTTACACACCAGCAGCACTTTACACACACTACACACTTTACACACTACACACTTTACACACCAGCAGCACTACACACTTTACACACCAGCAGAACTTTACACACTTTACAACTTTACACACACTACACACTTTACACACACTACACACTTTACACACCAGCGGGAACTTTACACACTTTACAACTTTACACACTTTACACACTTTACACACACTACACACACTACACTACACACTTTACACACCAGCAGCACTTTACACACTTTACACACATTACACAGGACTACACAGAGTGCAGATACACAGCAGATTATACAATAAAAACACCAGACGATAATTATACAGATCATAAATATACAGATATACAGGTTTTTTATTCGTGAGTTTATACATTAGCTCACAGTCACCGTCCCAAAATTCAGTCCACTGGGAATTCTCCCGACTCTCCCGATCACCCATTCCAGTGCTGTTCAGTGGATGTGTAAAGCTCCCAACAGTGTTTATCATGAAAACAAGAAAGTTCAAGTCTATAAAGGGTTTTGGAACGAGACCCTTCATATTTCGTCATTTTCGTCCTTCTTGAAATTGTAAAGTTCTGTCTGACTTTTTTGTCAAAGTTGAGTTTTTCACAGATTCTTATTCTGTGACACGTCTTAACATTATGTGGGGTGTTTTTTAAGCTGTGTGCATTTTCGGGCTCTTTATCTAGAAAACAAAAAGGTTCTATCTCCAAACTCTAACTGAGTTCTACAAGGTTCTGTCTGAGCCAATCAGCACTTCGCATACACACAAGAGGACCAATCAGGTTCTGCTTCTTTGTCGTGTCGCGGCTGTGGGAAAGGTTTATAAAACTTTATGAAAGATGAAAAATGTTGCTGGAACTCTGTCTGTCGCCTCTCAGCTCTTTAAACAGTCTCATTGTCTTAAATCCATAAATATTAAGCCTTGAAGGTCATTAAACAGTGAACGTTTGAGCTGATGGGCTTTTAATTACAATATAAACATTAATTAAATTCATTCATCCATCTTTTCTTTTCCTTCTTTCTCCCACAATAAGACATTTTTGGCTCATTAGAGTCACATTTCTGATATAAAACAAAACCTCACACAGCCTTTAGACTGACCGGCTACACTGAACTGCTATTACAGCAGCTGTTTCTGTCTGAATAAAGGAATTTGAAACTAATGGTTCCTAAAACTGACCTCTGCACTGGACAGAATATTTAGCACTGACCTTTATATTTGATCTGCATTTTATTTTTTTTTGAATAAGAAAAAGATGATTTATTCTAAAACAAGAAATAAAGTGTCATAAAAATAAATAAATAATAAAAATAAACGTCATAGAAAGCATTAAATTGAACTTTCTGATAATGTAGACACTGTTAGAATATTATTTATGTTCTAATATAAATTACGATTATAAAGTGTTCATGTTCTTTGAAAATCATCACTTTTTTTCATGTTCTGTCAGATAGAACCTTATAACTCCATGAGAAAGTGAGTTCTCAGGATAAGAAGGTTCCGTCTGCATTGACCTGTTCTAAAAACTTTCCAGGTTTGATAGGATTTTGATTTGGTACATTTAGAATAGATATAAGGTGTCCGTCACTGAGTGTGTTTACATGCACTTAATAATCTGATAACTGCAGAAAATCAGATTTTGTCAGTAATCCAATCCACACGTTTACCTGCACTTGGGAAATCAGATAATGGCGAAACTCTAGGTCTACGTGAGTCAGACAGTAATCAGATTTCTGCTTTACAACCAGCCAATAAACTCACAGAAGAAGACGTGATGTAAACATAATGTAAAACTCAAACTTCATGAGCGGCTTTTTTTTTAAACATACGTCTCTTTACCTGAAAATATGATCATAAATCATCAAGAAGATGAAGGATATTCAACTCCTTTGTTTCATGTTTGGTTTCTCGCTTATTTCCGGTTCCACCGTCTGATCTCGCGCATGCTCAGACTGAGAAATCCGAAAGAAATCAGAGTAAGAGTTTACATGCACTGAGAAATCTGATTACTGAGCTAAAATCCAGCCTCCTTATCAGATTTTTAATAGGATATCTAGATGGAAATAAGGTGAGTATTTGGATAATCAGATAAATGCAGAAATCTGATTATGATGGGATTATTGTACATGTAAACACACTCATTGTTCTATATGAGAGACGTGTTCACATATCAGTTCTGCTATTTCGAATGCAAAATCTTTAAAGCTCAACATCTCAGAACCCTCAGAACGCAGACAGAACCTTATAATTCCAATGGGGCGACTTAACTAAACATATGGATGTTTTGGGAGGACGCTGGTCAGCGCTGTGCGCTCACAGCTGCCCCACACAGGCGTTCAGCCTCTAACAATGACTGCAGTGTTGACGGAGGATGTTTTTGTTGACTGTTGTGGTTTAATTGCATTCTAAACCCCCCGCAGGGTCATCCTGGTAAAGAAGGCCCTCCCGGAGAGAAAGGAGCAGCCGTGAGTGTTTCCGCTCTTTTCTTTCTCTGTTTAAACACAGCTTTAGTTTCGGCACATGAGCTCAAGCTGAAAGCCCTTAAACTCCCCATGAGCGCCAGGAAAGATCCGGAACCGCCGCCGGGCTTCGGGCTGTCTGAGAGCTCTGAGATATAACCCGAGATGTCTGACAGGACTGATCTTCTCTCTTATTCTGCTTGTTTGTGTGATTTTTAGATTAAAACATTTCATTTAAAGCTGAATTAATGATGTTTTAATATGTTTTTTAATAAATTTCGGTCTGTCGTCTGATTTTAGGGTCATTCTGGACCTCAGGGCCCCATCGGCTATCCCGGCCCACGCGGAGTGAAAGTACGTCGTCTTATTGTTCAGAATCAAATCATATCCATAATTCATAATCATTTATATTCATGTATTCGTAATGTACGTTGTGTGTTTATTTATTACGTGTATATATGAATGTCAATGTTCTTTGCTGTAGAACCTAAATTTCCCTGGCAGATCAGTGAAGATCTGTCAGTGTCTTTCTATCCGCCTGTATCTTTTAGTCCTAAATAGTGATTCGATTCAGTTACGATTCTGTAGGAAACGAATTAAATGCATCATGAAATTTCAACATATTTTGATTTGATAAGATTATTTCTGTGAAGGGCTAAATTTAACTGCACTGCAAAAAACAATATCATGTCAAGTGAAATGATCTTAAGTGTAGTCAGTATTTCTAATGTTTCCCATTTTGAGATGGTTGTGCACTTATTATAAGATTATGTATCTTAATTCTAGACATTATTTACTTGTTTTAAGTGATTTTATTAAGTTAAATTATCTCACTATACTGGCAGATAACTTTGCTGGTTTCTAGCACAATTATCTGCTAATTTAGTGAGAATTTTACTCAATAAAATCAACTAAAACAAGGAAAATGTCTAGAAATTAGATAAACAATCTTAAAATAAGCTCACAACAATCTCAACAGGGGAAATATTAGATTTACTGAATAGATTTAATATCATTTTACTTGAAGACACCATTTTTTGCAGTGTGGAGTAAATCTTTACACAGTATTCAAATATACACCGTAAAACTATCTTTGTTTTCAGCTTTTATATTTTTATGTTTGAAAAAAAAATACATTATTAAATATTATTGTGGTAAACTTCTGTAATGTTAATGTTAGCTGGACATTATTTCACAGTATTATAATAATAATAATATAATAATAATAATAATAATTAGTCATGATCATCAATAGAGAATAACTAAAAATCAATTTCAAATCATTAGTATTTACATTAGCTAAAAAGGGTTCTGCTATTGTTACAAGCTTGACATCAGGACAGTAGAAGAACCCTTTTAGATGCTGTATAGACACAATCCGAAGAACCATCTCACCATGCAGAGAACCAGTTAGGCATCCCTCTCATGGGTGCACAGACCTAGGAAGACCAGGTTGGGTGTTGCCACTTCCTGTATCTGTCATTTCAAATTAAAAGCCCTTTTGTAATTCTGACTTCATGACATTTTATGAAATTCTGAAGCAGCAGTGGCAAAATATATACAGCAGAAACTCTACTGTACAAGACTAAACAAGCAATACCACAGTCTGAACATCAGAGTTTTACATTTATTATAATATAATATCACACTTTATTAGTCAGGCTTGATGTTTATCGCTTGTCTAAATCTTTCGCTGTCTAGTAACCAACTAGCGGCCTGCTTCTTTTTCAGATATGCCACTCCTCACGTCTAAAGGGCATCGAGTGGACACTCTCTTACTCTTTAACTCTGCTGCGTTAAATTAAAAGCTCTTTTCTTGTCTGGCTGTGTTGTTCAGGGTGCTGAGGGCGTTCGCGGGTTGAAAGGAGGCAAAGGAGAAAAGGCAAGTGCTCTCAGCGTCCCTTCGTCCTCCCTTCCTAATCAGTCTGAGTGTGGAGTGTTGGTGAAGTGATGAAAGAGTGTGTGTGAGAGAGCAGAGCGGCCTATCAGCCCCGAAAGCGCTTCAGTCGATTGGGCCCTAATGGGCTGTGCAGCATTATGCTGGAATGAGAGTTTTTCTACAGCACGTCTGATTCGGGGCCATTGTTTTTCCATACAGCATCATCTCTAAGTGCCGTCACTCCATCATTCCACTCTACTTTTATTTTTCCCTCCTGTGAGTCAGCACTGTGGAAGCTACGCTGATTTTAGACGGATAAGCCGAGGCTGCAGCGAGTCGTTTTCAGAAGGGAAAGGAAAAGTTGGCTTTGTTCTTATGAGGCCATTATGGAGGAATGTGTTTTATGGCACTTCACACTCTGTGGAGCTGCAGGTTAGCCAAGGCAGCGCAGCAGCTCCAGCTACTATTTCATGCAAGTGAACTGAGCTGTTCAGGCAGTGTTTCCTGTACTGACCACCAGATGTCACTGTTTCCACTAATAAGAGCTCTTCACATTCCTCTAATCTGGAGATGTGCTGTGTTTGATAGGGGAGTGTGGTGAAAAACCCAGAGTTATGAGGGATGTTTTATGGTAAATGAGAGGAACACAACAGACGATGAGATTTTTTACTTGGTATACCAGCCAGAGATCCTCACATTGTACTTGCACTCTTCTCTCTGACCACTAGATGTCAGCATTTAGCCACAAAGCTGTGTTTGCCATCGCAGACAGAAGTGCTTTCTAGCAGAGCTGATCAGTTTATGAATGAAGAGGTAATAAATTGTGGAATTAAATGATAAATATTTATGCTAAACATTCTCCACCAGTCCAAATCTACTGAATATGTTGGTGAGAAACTGTTTGGTGTGTTTGCTGGGTCATGGTTTTATTCTAATATTCTAATATTACCCATTTTGAGATGGTTATGCACTTATTATAACGTTATTTATCTTATTTCTAAACATTGTTTACTTGTTTTAGGTAATTTTATCAATATCTCACTTTAGTGGCAGATAATTTTGCTGGTTTCAAGCACATTTCTTATAAGCACAGTTATCTGCCAAAATAGTGAGATGAATTTACCTAATAAAATCACTTAAAACAGGTAAAAAATGTTTACAACAATCTCAACAGGAGAAATATTAGATTTATTGACTATATTTAAGATCATTTTACTTGACGAGATACTATTTTTTGCTGAGTAGAGGCTTAAAAAACTTTTATTTCCTAAAGGAATGATTAAAATCTCGTCAATTTCAGGGCGAGGACGGTTTCCCAGGGTTCAAGGGCGACATGGGCCCCAAGGGTGACAAGGTGAGTGATGGTGTCATTATGTTCTCCTTCACATCAGCTTAAATGATCCCTTCTTTCAAGAGCGTTTCTAATTTGTTTGGATGTCTGAAATCCAGTCTAGAAACATTTGAGCCCGTTTCTGTAAACAGATCCTGACTTGGTTTAGGAAATGTGGTGCAGAAGCAGTTCAGCGCGCCGATTAGCGGCATCGGCCCTCAGACTGTTTGACTGAAGCGTGAGTGTGTTGTGTTGTTTGTATGTCGTTTGGAGGTTTGTTTAACGTTGTTTATGGTGTTTAGGGAGAGTCTGGTGTTCTTGGGCCCAGAGGAGAAGACGGACCTGAGGGGCCGAAGGGAAAATCTGGGCCCACCGGAGAGGCTGGACCCATGGGTCTGGCTGGAGAAAAGGTGAGCCTGTCTGTAGTACTGTATTTTATTCAGTGTGCATTATGGAGTCACTCCAACATCACACATCAACTTCACTAGAAGCTACCAGCCCTGGAAACAATCACCTCTTATAAACACAGCAGGCAGACATCAACTCTGGAATATACGTCATAGATTAACTCTTTAAATTATAGGGGACTTTTAAGTTTGTACTTATTATTTCCTTAAAATTTAAGAGTCTGTATTTGGTTCCACATTGATAACTGACTACAAATGAGTTTGACAGTTATCATAGTTTTCGTAGTTTTTAGCTATTTGCATAGAGAAATATTGTAATAATGAATAAATAACACTAGTTACTGAATAATTCATGTTAGACACTGAATAGTTCATATTAGATACTGAGTAATTCATAGCAGACACTGAATAATTACGCTTCACATTAATAACTGAATAACACACATACAGTATAAGGGATTGAATGACAGGTGGCATAAGCTGTTAACATGTAAATTGAAAGTAATTTTGTTTATGTTCCATTTTAATGTGTTTGCATAAGAATTCTGCATGTGTCCTCTGGTTCTCTGTCGATTATATATGTTTATGGTTTGTAGTAGTTACTGAATAATTCATACTAAATATTGAAAAAAATCATATTTTTTACAGAATAATTCAAAGCAGGTACTGAATAATTCATAGCAGGTACTGAATAATTCATATAGTTTGTGAATAATTCATAGTAGATACTAAATAATTTGAGCAGATACTGAATAATTCATAGCAAAAACTAAATAATTTATTGTAGATACTGAATAATTTGTAGTAAATACTAAATAATTAGAGCAGAGACTGAATAAATTATAATAGTTATTCAATAGTTCATACTAGATACTGAATAATAAGTCTGAACATTAATAACTGAATAATACACATACAGTTGGATTAAATGAACAGTTGCATAAGTGTTGAAATAACTTTGTTTATTTTATTACATTCCATTTGAATGTGTTTGTGTAAGAGTTCATCATCTGTGCTGCGTCTCTGTAAAGTTTATATGTCCCTGTGTTGCTGTTTGTCTCGTAGGGAAAACTGGGCGTTCCTGGATTACCCGGATATCCAGGACGACAGGGTCCAAAGGTATGACATCACTGACTCCTCTCACTCTCTGGCACTCCATCATTTGTTCCTTTGATTTGTTCTCTAGATCCACAGAGATGCTGCTGTAGAGTCGGTCTCTGCGTCTGGAGCAGATTCGGCTCTTTCTAATCAAACGCAGAACCCGCAAAAATGAGGAGTAAACAGAACAGCAGGCCTGCAGTGCTGACTTCACATGGAGGAGATCAGAATCCTCTCTGACTGTCGCTGCAGAGTCAAGACTCAGCGTCCCTGTTCACACAGCAGACCACGCTCCTAAAGATGGTCCTTCAAGGGTTCTTTAGTTAAGACAATGGTTCTGTTTAGAACCATGAACACTCAAAAAACCATTGGCATGCTTAAATTGATATTTGCTTGGTGAAATGGTTCTTCAGATTGATGGAGAATGTGTTGCGTATGGTTCTGTATAGCACCAACAAGGTCTCTGCTATTATTACAAGCTTGATATTGTAACAAAAGATAATATCAGAACCTTTTTCAGTGCTATCTAGAACCCTTTTTGAAAACCGTATACAACACATTCTGCATTAATCTGTAGAACCATTTCACCACTAAACTGATGGTTCTACATAGAGCCATTTCCTTTACACTCCTAAAAAACGATGGTTTCTTCAAGTGGTTATATTTAGAACCATGAGTTCTGTATAGAACCTCTTATGTGGTGAAATGAGTTTTTAAAATGATTGGGAATGTTCTATATCGAGTCTTTTTGAAAGGGGTTCTATATAGCACCAAGTAGGGTTCTGCTGTTGTTACAAGCTTGACATCATAACAACAGAACCCTGCTTGGTGCTTTATAGAACCATATACAACACATTCTCCATCATTCTGAAGAACCATTTCACTATGCAGAGAACCATTTGAGGGTTCTTTCAGTGTTCATGGTTCTGTATAGACCCACTGTCTTTACTAAAGAGCCCTTGAAGAACCAGAACCATCTGTTTTAAGTGTGTAGCTGAGCTCTGATGGCTTATGTTAACAGCGCTGATAGAAGAACCCGTTTTCTGGCGCTCTGAGCACCTGATCTCCATAACTGTGTGAGGAACTCGCAGTGTGTGGTTCCAGTGTTCTGTTTAGTACAGAGTCAAGCCTGAAAAAAAACAACACATAAAAACTGCCTCCTGATCTGTTGACTTTGCCAGAAATCATGCTAACAGCTACATGGTAACAGTGGATTTTGAGTCGACTCCAAATCCAGCCTTTCCCTCAGAGCTTCGTCCAGAGCGTTAGTTCATAGGTGTGACTCACATCCTCTTTTCTTCAAGCGGAATTGTGTAATAACACAAAGCACGGCTGGATCCCGTTGATTAAAGGGGAATTCCACCAATGTTTCAAACTTTATTCAGAATTCACTCAGAGTGGTTTGGTGTGAAATGGTTCAGATGTCTTTACAGTGGTGCTGATAGGAACCAGGGGTCACCATGACTACAACACAAATATAGACATTTTATTTACTATCCAGAACCACCAGTGAACCTACACGAGTCTTCTGAGTTTATATGGAATGTTGATGATGGAAAATAGAGGAAAATCTGAAATAATAAGTTTTCTTTGGGGACTATTTTGCCTCACAGCGCCCTGCATGTATCCCTCCACCATGAATGGAGTTTAAGTTCTCTAAACTATCATAAAACAGTGTCTCAGTCATCAGGCAGTGAATTCATAACCATTTCATGTAGGAACTTTCTGTGAGGAGCTTTTAGAGGGGGACGTCTGGTTCCTATCACCACCACTGTGAACAGTTCTGACTCGGTAAGTTTATCTAGAACAGAGCGTTTCACACCAAACCACTGTTTGTTTACATCTTAACAACTTAATTATGCAGAAATTTTGAAATGGAATTCCCCTTTCAGAAGGTGCAAGCAGCAACCACTCAAGTTTTTTGTGGATACCATAGCAGCTGCCTAGCAATGCCCTAGCAACTACTTGGGATATCATACCATCTACCTAGCAACACCCAAGTAACCACATGGGATAGCAACCACCTAGCAATACCTTAGCAACCACTTGCAATACCATAGCAACTACCAAACAACCCCCTAGCAACCACATGAGATATGATAGCAGTTGCTGAGCAACACCCTAGCAACTACTTGGGATATCATAACAACTACATAGCAGTATCCTTGCAACCTCATGGGATGCCCTAGCAACTGCCTAGCAACACTGAAGCAATCATTTGCGATACCATAGCAACTGCTGAGGAACATCCTAGCAATCACTTGGGATATTATAGCAACTACCTAGCAACACCCTAGGATGTCATAGCAACCACCTAAAAACAACTTAGAAACCACATGGGATATAATAGCAACTACCTAGCAACACCCTAGCAACCACATGGGATATAATAGCAACTACCTAGCAACACCCTAGCAACCACATGGGATATAATAGCAACTACCTAGCAACACCCTAGCAACCACGTAAAATACCATAGTAACTGCGTGGGCACACTGTAGCGAGCGTCTGGAGGTGTCTAAGCTGTGCAGTGACTCTGCTTTCTCTCCAGGAAATGATCTTTTCTAGTTGTTTACTGTTTACCCTCCTAATGTAACACCTGACTGAGCTGAAACAGAGGAATCCAGTGGATCCAATCAGAGCGGCAATAAAACTCTGCAGGAGATTCAGCTGGAGATAAACGATCAACAGTCACTCACTGCACACACTGTTACCACTATACTGCTCACCTGTCGGAGGAAACCAGCTGTTCTGTGTTCAGCAACATTAGTTCAGCAAAGAATACAACCATGTTTCCAAAAAAGTTGGGACGCTGTGCAAAATATAAATAAAAACAGAATGAATTGATGTGCAAATGATTTAAACCCTGTATTTCATTGAAAATCATACAAAGACAACGTATCAGATGTTGAACCTGAGAAATGTTAGTTTTATGTCCATTTTGAATTTGAGGCCAAAACGGTTTAGCGTGCTGCGCTGGTCTGATCCGATACTAAACCTCTGCGCTCTAACGGTCAGTCCAGCCGTCCAGTTTTCCTTTCTCCCGTATGTGTTTGCGTAACGGCTGTTTGACCGGCCCCATTATCTCAACCCAAACAGTGGAGCGCTGGAGTGTGTCCACTGTGTTAGACTCGGTCCCTGCGCTGATTGTCTCTGTCTGCTCTGCCAAAGTAATTTAACCTTCAGTTCCGTGTCTGTCGTTCTGCCAACGGGTTCTCTCTCTGTTTACTCGCTTCAGTAGCGCAGATTCTGTCTCTCCTGCACAGCATTAACATCACAACAACAAAAACCTGCTGACCGCTTTATCAGGGGCTTCTGTCGGTCAGCTAAAGCACATCTCTCCACAGTGTTTGAGTTCGATCAATCTGAACGCTTTCATGATGCAAAGAACCCTTTGATCATGCAAAGGGTTTGAGTGTTCGTGGTTCTATATAGAACCGTTTCCATTTTCTTTAATAAAGAACCTTTGAAGAATGATCTTTTTTAAGAGTGTATATATAGAGAGAACTATTTTCATGCTTAAATGGTTCTTTACATGGTGAAATGGTTCTTCACATGGTGGAGAATGTTTTGTATGTGGTTGTGTATATAGCCTTTCTGAAAAGGGTTCTAGATAGCACCAAAACAGGCTATTTTATATACATCATATTTTCCATCAGTCTGAAGAACCTTTTTACCATGCAAAGGTCCATGCAAATGGTTCTGTTCATGGTTCTATATAGAACCATTGTCTTTACTAAAGTGCCCTGAAGGACAGTATTTTTTAATAAAGAGAAATAAAAGACCAAAACCAGTTTTTGACCAGATGCTGTGGCACAGTTTCACATACTGATCTAGATAAATGATCTTTCTCTCTCTGCAGGGTTCCACAGGTTTCCCTGGCTTTCCTGGAGCAAACGGAGAGAAAGGAGGGAGGGTAAGCAGAGCCTTCCATAAAATATAACCTCAAACTGCTCAGAGAGGCTGAAGTGGACGGAGCTATACTGTCCCAGAGGGAAGAGGTCAGGGCTTTTGTTGGACTTACAAATCACTAGTTCAGCGTCTGGCATGAAAAGGAACAAAAGGTCAAAGGCAGTGAAACAGAACGCTGACTAGAATGTCAGTGAGCTCCACTCGAAAGTCTCAGAGGTAACATCTGTCAGCATCGGCTCTCACAGAGCTGCTGCTGAGAAGAGAGGCGGAGGTGTGGAGAAGCAGACGAGAGGCTGTTCAAGCAGTGCTCACTGTTACAGTACACAGTATTACTGTACAGATAAACAGATGTTAATTGAGTATCATGTACAGTTGTACTGTAAACAGGATGTGTAATAGACTAGTGACCACTTTGTGGAAGCTAATAGGATCAGAATAAAGAATGAAGGATGTGCATTGAATACTGTGTACAACTGTTACGACCCCATGTTTGGTCTAGACCAGGGGTCAGCAACACGTGGCTCTGGAGCCGCATGCGGCTCTTTTACTGCCCTGTTGTGGCTCCACAGCTGAATTAGGTTTGTAGGTAAAAATAAAATAATCCTCCTTTACAGTAAAATAAAGCTCTGCTGATCGTTCAACACAGTTTAACAAGAAATGGTCTTAAACTCTGGAGTTAATGTAGAACTGCTAATTCACCCTTTAACCCTGAAGATCAGCGCAGACTGCTGGTCACCATAGCAACACAGACAACAGTCTCGCCTAGCTAGTAGCTAACGAAACGGCGAAGAGAGAGATTTAAGATGAACATCGATAATTTAGAGATGAATGGACTTATTTGTGTTTATAATCACTCCAGCTGGTTTCCTGATATGTTTAAACGAGAAACTGAAACACTAAAAAGTCACGAAGATGAAGTTCCTTGTTCAAATTGTCCCGTTCCACCTTAAATGATGCAACAGTTACATTCTACGTTTAAGGTGGAATGGGAGAATTTAAACAAGAAACTTCATCTTCGTGTCTTTGAACAAGAAGCTGGTGAGTGAGAAGCGACTTCAGCCTCGTAAAAAGCCGAACGCTGAGAGACATTTTACAAGAAACTTCTTTACTTTTGAGGAAAAGTTTCCTGCCGGAGATGCGAGAAAAGCGGCTACAGCTGAGCTAAAGCTTAAAGCAGAGCAGAGTAAATCTGCGTTTTTGTTGATATTGCATTTTTGTTAATTTTACTAGCAAATTAACACATACTGAGACATATTTATAGTCAAGATGGTAAAATGGACATTAAATATTGTGGCTCCCAAAGTGGTTAGATTTTTGCTGAAAGGACAAAATGGCTTTTCTTAACATTCGGGTTGTGACCCCTGAACTTGACAGCAGGGTTTTTTTGCAGTCATCAGCGGTTCACGTTTGACCAGCAAGTCATCCAAAGTCCGGCTGAGTTGAAAATGAGCGTAAAAAGGAACGTTTAAAAACATTCTTTTATCAAAACGAAACTCCAGAGATTAGATGAGGGTCCGATTTAAATCTCCCACTCTGCCCTAAACTGAGTTTCCTCTCCTGCAGGGAATCGCTGGCAAAGCAGGACCAAGAGGACAGCGTGGTCCAACGGTATGGAGAAACGCCAGAGCTTGATTCACTGTACAGTGTAAGGAGCTTCAATAAACAGCTTGCAGTATTAATGTAATATTAATGTGTCGTCAGGGTCCACGTGGTGGAAGAGGAGCGAGAGGACCAACAGGAAAGCCGGGGCCGAAGGTGAGAGATCACTCGAACGTTCAGTGACTGTTAGAGATTGAAATATTTGTCTGAACTCAGCTACTCCTGTCTGGGTTTAGACAAGTTTGGATGACAATTATGAAATATTTTCACAGCCCATCTCCAACAATTAATCAGTTTTACTGTGTGTTCACCAAAACTTCATTTTCTCCTTCTTTATCAAGGCTGCAGTCGGGTTCAGATCAAATTCTGTCCGGTTCGAGTCGGTTTTCAGGCAGACTTTAGTGAATGTTGGGTTCAGACTGAAATTTCAAGCCTGATTAAAGCTGATTTTAGTACATCGTAAAGATTTTCTCCTTCTAAACTGGACAGTTTATAGATTTCAAACATAATTTCTCGACATTCCAGATGTTCTCATCCCTTCTAGAGAACTTTCTGACCCTCCTGTTCTCTTTCCTACAGGGTACCTCAGGGAACGACGGGCCTCCAGGTGGTCCTGGAGAAAGAGTGAGCACTTCTAGAATGTCTGCATGTTTTAAGGCTGCCTAGTTTATGGAGCTTCCCATTAAAATTCCTTTGCTTTTTGTTTCGTCTCAGGGGCCTCAAGGACCACAGGGACCTGTCGGGCTCCCAGGACCAAAGGGTCCAAATGTAAGCAGAATGTTTTTTATTCTTAATAATAACTAAGCAGAGCTTTTACACTGATCTTGCTCTTTTACATTTATTCCAGTGTGGATGTGTCTGAATTCCAAATGACCGTTTGTTAGCCGTATTATGCACTGTTGTGCTGCGGGATCCAGTATTTAAATTCCCATGTAGTGCACTGGGAGCTGCTTGAGATTCAGCCCCAGTGTGAGAAGGATTGGTGCTAAATAAGATTCGAGATGGTAATTTTGTTTTTTAATTTTATGTTAATGAGTTAATGACCGCAATATACAATGACAGGCAACTCTGCTTCCCGTCATGCCTAAGAACACCCTTCCCCCCTAAAATCACAGTAACGCACAACCTTTCATGGCTTATTGCTTTAATAAGTATGTAATAAGTGAGATTTTGAGGGGTTAATAATCTGTCATCCTAGTTATCATCGATCTGATTTTGTCTCTCTGCAGGGACCTCCAGGAAAGGATGGGTTGCCAGGTCATCCCGGACAGCGCGGAGAAACCGTAAGTACAGTTTAACTGTCCAGTCGCCTAAGGCTGTGCTCAAAAAGGCAGTACCTGCTGAGGATAATTTAGATGGCATGTCAGCTTTGGTTCGCTGGTAGAACGAAGGTCTTGTTGTGTTCTGGGATGATGAGAATAAACATAAGAGGTTCTGTACAGATACAGATACTTACACACACCTTTAGTCTTTATGAGGAAAAACGAAGTGGACTGCTGGATGCGTTTTGTGTTGCTCTGCCTGTGTTTGTTGACGTGAGCTGTAATTTAATATCTAAATCTGTTTCTCACTACTAGGGTTTCCAAGGAAAGACGGGACCGCCGGGCCCTGGAGGGGTTGTCGGCCCGCAGGTAAACATTCAAAAACAGCAAAACAAGCGAGGCTGCTGATGGAGCGTCTGTATGAGAGCATAAACTCTCATTGTTTAATTCCTCTCTGGTTTATTTGAAAGGGACCTACTGGAGAGACCGGCCCAGTGGGGGAGAGAGGCCATCCTGGATCCCCAGGGCCCCCTGGAGAGCAGGGTCTTCCCGGAGCTGCTGGCAAAGAGGGTGGAAAGGTACAGTCTGTGAAAAATTGCTAAAACCCCCCACAAACCCAGGCATAACCACAGGTGCAAGCATTCTCTGCCACATGTTGCCCGCAGGTGGACAGCACCTGGTGAGGGAACTAAATCACACCTATAACACGTTAATATTACAGTCATTCAGTTCAGTCCAACTTTGTCATTATACATCGGGGGCGTCCAAAGTCCAGCCCCAGGGCTAAATGTTACCCACGGACAGATTTTAATCAGCCTGTATCTTCTGTTTTAGAGTGTGTTATTCGTGCCCTCCAGCCAGTGCGCTGCAGTTCTTCCTTTTACCTCATGGTGGCAGCAGTGCTCTAAGATTGTAATGCCGCACTGTGGTACTGAAGTAGCTAATGGTTGAGTCTTTCTTCTCTGACTGACCTGCAGCTTCACTTACTTGACCACATTTAGTCCAGACTGAGCCCTAAAGCTCAGACTAACACTGAGAGCCGCAGATTTAGATGGGGATTTGAACTTTTTTATCAAGATAATCGAGAATTTAATATCAACAACCATGAAACTAAGCAGCTGCACCTCTGAGTCTCACAGCACTGATGACTTACCAGAGCAGATTCAGCAGCTCAGGAAATATTAACCCTTTAAGACTGAACAGTAACAGCTGTATATGATGATTAATCTGCTTTTCTTTAATAAAGTGATTTCTTATGTATGCATGTGAAGAACATGATCTAACAAAACTGAATATGTATAGATTTTTGTTTAGTTTGTCTCACAAATCATAATTTTTGGGCAAGTAAACACTTGAACAGGAACATAATTAATACATTAGATATGTTTTGTTTTTACTCTTAAACAATTTAGTTATTTGTTTTAAGCGCTTATCAATGCAAAAGGCTCTGAATGAGAAATGGAACAATAACAGAAGCATTGTGCATCTTTTATACAGTGATAGGAAACACAGATTCTAAGCACTAATATTTAATTTATTTTAATTTATTTATTAAGACTTAATGTTTTGAATCATTTGAGATGAACATTTCGGTTCTCAGGTATTTGGACATTTTGACAAAAGTCTGTTATAATACATGCGTTCCTACATATGGGGGGTACAGTATAATGAAACACTTCTCTGGTGCATAAACATTGACAATGACATGAGTGCACATGTACTAGTGGATAACAGACAGCAATATACACACAATAAGTACAAGCAATAATTATAAGTAGACAATAGACATTAAATACAGAACTAGAGGCACAGAAATGTCCTGGAGCAGAGACAGTGTTTATATCGCTGCTGTCGGAACAAAACCTCGTATCTCCAAAAACTTTACAGGAGAAGGAAAAAACATACTTTACTTTTAATGTAAGTCAATGGAACCAGACTTTCTTCCAAGTGATTTTGGGCCGTTTATTTTGGTTTATTCATCATGATATTTGCACACAATGTAAAGGGCAACAAGCATTTTCAAACTATGGCAAAAACTGAAAACATATAAGGTTTTGTTCTGACAGCAGCGAAATGTGTGCAAAATATTTGCAGCAATTTTTTTCAGTGGTCGTGTTCAGTAAACAATGTTAGTTCATATATGCGCTCTAGATAAATGATGTCAGTCTGCAGTTTGGAATAAGATTCACTTCCATATTTTTTCACTTCCGTAATGTTTTCATTTACTGTGACTGTAACATTAAGTATCTTTACTGACTTTTCTACTCATATTTATTAATGGAGATCTGATTTATGTCCTGCCATCGTTAGCAGGTCACCCTTAAAGCTATATTGGCAATAGAGGAGCCCTTCTTGGGGTTGTTCTGTTGGCTGCTTTTAACTTGTTAGTCCATGTTTATGGTCATATTAAACACCATTCATCATTTCAAATGATTGCAAGACTAAATTTGTTTTCTCATAATCTTCCTTTAAAATGTGATGACCTTAGCCCCGCCTCTAAAACGTCATCTGACATCACCGTGCACTAGAAGGGGGAGAAAAGTAATGTTAACAGCTCAGCTCAGAGACCCTCCCTGATACCGAGTTTCACTCACAAGTCCATCCCAGTACATAAGGAGAGCGAGTTACGATACCCCATTCACGCTGGTGATTAATGGACAGCTGACGTCCTCGTGTGTTACAGTATGTGGTGAAATTGGGGAAATGTTGACCTTCTTTGTCGTATTTTGCTCTGAGTTTGCTCCTTTTTTCCCTGCAGGGTGATCCAGGTCCTCAGGGCGGTGCTGGTAAAGTCGGCCCCGCTGGGCTGAAAGGATTCCCGGGGCAGAGGGGGCTGCCCGGCGCTCCGGTAAGAACAAACACGCCGGAGTCACAAACCTGGCCAAATGGTCATTGTCTGCCCAAACGCCTGCTGCTCCACCAAATGCTCATGCAGGCTTTTGGCCTCCACAGAGAGTCATCGCTGAATCAGAGAGTAAACAGTGCAGCGCTCAGAGGAAACGCATCACCCGCAGCAGGAGCTTCGGAACTTAGTTTAGTTTGGAACAGTCGCACTTTACTTATTCACAATAAACGCTCTCCACAGTCTGAAAACGATGGTTCTTCAAGCGTTCTTTAGTAAAGACAGTAGTTCTCTATAGTACCGTGAACACTCCAGGTCATCAGATTGATGGAGAATGTGCTGTAGATGGTTCCATATAGAACCTTTTTGAAAAGGGTTCTATATAGCACCAAAAATGGTTCTTCTATTGTTACAGACTTGATGTTGTAACAGTAGCAGAACTCTTTTTGGTGCTATATAGAACCATATACAACACATTCTCCATCAATCTGAAGAATATTTTCACCAAGCTAAGAACTATTTAATCATGCAAATGGTTCTTTGTGTGTTCACGGTTCTAAATAGAACCAATGTCTTTACTACAGAACCCTTGAAGAACCTTCTTTTTAAAGAGTGTAGTCCTGGAGGCTTAAGATAACCTTGCCTGATTAAGCTTTTCAGATGATGGTCAAGGCCTTTGAAAGTTGAACCGTGTGTGAAGGAATCATTAAAGGGGAATTCCACCAACTTTTCAAAAGTTCCACATAATTAAGCAGTTGAGGCGTAAACAGTCATTCAGAGTGGTTTGGTGTGAAACGCTCTGTTCTAGAGAAACTTACAGAGTCAGAACTGTTCACAGTGGTGGTGATAGGAACCAGACGTCCCCCTCTAAAAGCTCCCTCACAGAAAGTTCCTACAGTAAATGGTTATGAATTCCCTGCCTGATGACTGAGACACTGTTTTATGATAGTTTAGAGAACTTAAACTCCATTCATGGTGGAGGGATACATGCAGGGTGCTGTGAGGCAAAATAGTCCCCAAAGAAAACTTATTATTTCAGATTTTCCACTATTTTCCATCATCAACATCCCATATAAACTCAGAAGACTCGTGTAGGTTCACTGGTGGTTCTGGATAGTAAATAAAATGTCTATATATTTGTGTTGTAGTCATGGCGACCCCTGGTTCCTATCACCACCACTGTAAAGACATCTGAACCATTTCACACCAAACCACTCTGAAAGACTCAGTTGTGCAAAATTTTTTAAAAATCGGTGGAGTTTCCCTGTAAATTGCACAGGTGGGGTTTCGACGTATACTGGTGTAAAAAGACTGGCCTGCACAGTCAGGAGCATTTTGTTGGAACTGTAGGTTAACTTTGTTTTTCTCTGGCTTTACTACAGTCAGAACATTTTTGTGACTTGCAACGTTTACATGCAGACTGATAATCCGTTAATATTCCAACTAATAGTTCAATCGGAATAGAACACGTCCATGTAAACACCTCAATCAGAATAGTCTAGCCTGATTGAGGCCATTCAGAATACAGTCTCTATCCGACTGATCGAGGTGGGTAATCCTGTAAATAATCTGTTAAATAGAAGAATAATATCCGTGTAAACGCCTGTATCTGATTACATTCCCTATCGGAAAGTTTAAGTCCGTTCTGATCATGTTCGTCACGTCATAGTGACAGTTTATACCGTTCAGCATGGCGGAGCAGAAACTGGTCTGCAGAGGAGACGAAGTTTATGCTTCAGACTTTTTTTTAAAAGACTTAAAAATGAGCCCAATAATGAGCTGTTCAGACGAGTTATGAGCAAATGAACACCACAAACTCTGCTCGTCTCACTCTGACTGGACTCACGTGATGCTGGTTGTCATGGTAACATCTACACTAAGTGATGCTCTATGCATAATTTTAATTTTGGATCTGATTACTTGTGGTGTGAATGAGATTTTAGTTAGATTGTTGAGTAGAGTGAGAATAAACACCTCAGTCTTAATCTGTAACTGGAATTCATTTAGTCAGATTGGGGACAATCACTGCATGTAGACACAGACATTGTAACCCCCTCCTTTCTGTTTCAGGGTCCAGGTGGGCTGAAGGGTGGCGAGGGTCCGCAGGGTCCCCCAGGTCCCAACGTAAGTATCTTTGCTAAATTACTCTAGTACGTGTTTGTAGAGACAACTTTCAATGCAAAAGGTGGAAGTTTTCAGATAGTGATAAATTTTATGTTGCTCATTATTTTATTTAATATGTGATTTTCATTACGTTTTGTAAATGTTATAAAGCTTGTATGTCTATAACCTGAATTATGACACAAAAGATTAACGTAGTTTGTAGAAATTAAAACTAGAGAAGCATCAACATTCAGATCAAAGATATTTAGAGATGCTAGTGTAGTGTGGTCCAGATAGTTCCCAGCACATTCTTGGCAAAGTTAAATTCTCAAGCTTTTCTAGTGGAGCAGTTTTAACAATAGGATGTTTGCAAATGATGTCACTGCATTACTGTGGTGGGAACTGCAGACGGAGGGCAGGAAGGGATTTTCTACATAGGAAGCTGTTATATGATCTCAAAATGTCTCTGGTTTGCACTATTATGGTTGTCCAAATCGATCAACCCGATAAACCACGAAGAGCTTTTATCGAGTACTGAAGTTGTTGTTCATAAAAGAGCAAAATGCTAAAAATCGACAGAAGAAACAGCAGCAGAAATGGCTGCATCTGCGGTCGGGAGGGGCGGAGTGTGAGTTCTGCTCAGTTCATCTGTGAGTTTGAAACTGCTGATAGGTTTAAAACAGTAACTACAAGCAGCAGCACGAACACTGAAATCAGGGTTAACAGATTAAACAGACTAAAGCTGTGTCCCAATTCAGGGGCTGCATCCTTCGGAGGAGGTGGTCTATGAAGGCTGTGTAGACCCGCAAAGGCTGAACCGAAATGAGACGGTCTGCTCTATGGCGGATTTCCTGTTTGAGTCACAGCACCGCCGTTCCCGCCCTCCCCGCTGTGTCATGAAACGCAGCTCCTGTCAAGTTCTTTTAAAGTTCTTTAAAGATGGAACCGGAAACTTTGATTTTAGTTTTTATTTTTCGTTTATTAGAGCTGGAGATTCTTCTCTCTGTCGGCTCTTTGCTCCCTAAAACAAAACGTAGCGTAAGTTTTCCTTCAGACCTCGTCGGCTTTTTTAACATTTTTATCGTTGGCTATTCGACTCAGTTTAAACCCAATACTTACATTTAAAGCGTCTCCTCAGACGCCGTTCGCTCCTCTGCTGACGCCACCATGTTCTCGAATCCTCGCGGCACACAGTGAACCCTAGGGTATGTTGGCTGGCAAAGTATCCGCCATTGGATCCTTCGTTTCCATGGAAAAGGAGGACACATTTCTCGGCCACATATGAAGGAGCCTTCGAAATGGGGCTGTCGCACAGCGCTGATGCAATCGGCCTTCAAATGCAGCCTCCGAAGGACGCAGCCCCTGAATTGGGACACAGCTTAAATAACTCACCCTACCATGCCAGCTTTTTGTTCCAATTTTCCAGTTACAGCTCAAAAGGTGCAGCACTTACAGTCTGGCTTCAGGCCTTATAATAATAACTGCTGCACCGTCGTTTAAGGTGGAACGGAAACGTTCGAATCGTAGGCCAGCCTCAGCCTCATAAAGCTGTGCCTCCACACTTCTGTGTGCTTTCATTAGTGTTCTTGAGCAGAAGAACGTCTGGAGGACAAGGTAGCTGCTCATATCTGCTGCCTGGGTAGCAGGAGAGTCTTTCAGTTCAGCTGAAAAATCGCTGCTCTTCATAACAGACGGATCACCTCCAACATCTGCTATGATTTTCTGTTTATACCTTTCTCTCACGATATCGCCTAGACTAGCGCAGTGCGGGCTCGGCTCCATCTCATTTATTCTGCGTTTCACTTCCTGCCCTCCTGGATTTCACAGGTCATCAGCGTGTTAAAGCAGCACTGTACATTTGCTTTAGTTAAAACTGAAAAAAGCATCATGACTGAGTAGAATATGAACACACTAAAATATGCTGAGCGTGCAGAGCTGCTGTGTGTCGCCCTGTAAAGCCTGAAATAATCATCTAAAAGTCAGAGGGTCGAGTTTTTCACCTTGCGTGCAGTTACACATTTCCACCAGAGAGGTCTCCAAATCCCCAAAACGCACATAGTGCAGCTTTAACAGTCGAGTATTCAGCATGTTTTTGAACAGAATTCTGAAGTGTACCAGAAAAATCCACTCGAATTTTGTGAAACTTTGTGAAAACGTAACTGAATCAGACTGCGGGGAGGTCAGAGATGTGCACCCCTCTTGGTTACCATGGCAACACAGAGAGAATCTGCTTCATTCTTGTGCACCTCTCAGCGGAGGGACAGCAGGCACATTCTGGACAGTGGGCTTTCAGCAGGTGGTGAACATAATGACCAGTCACAGTGGAGTGGAGAGGCCAGCACACACACACACACACACACACACTGTGATCCCAGTAAATGAGTCACACACACACTTAGCTCACTTGGTTTTCCAAACATGTAGAATTCATTGACTTTAATACACAACTGTTCAAAAGTTCAACATATCAATGTTTTCAATAATGTCAAACTAATTTAGCGGATTAATGTATAAAATAATTCTAGTACGCTCAGCCAGGAATAGATCTGTAGAAGATTCTAAAACAACGGAAAAAGCTGTAGAACATCCAGAATAAAGTTCTAATAAACTGAATATCCAGAACTGTACTTAAAACATGGTAATCAAATCTCAAGGCAGATAATGTGATGAGTAAGTGATTTTTTAAAAACCAGTTGTGATATTATGTTATAGAACAGGTAAAAATGATAAAACATTATGTATTATGTTTACATATGTTATGTAATTGATTATCAAAATGAACATCAATACGAGAAGCTTTTTGGTGATTTATTTAATCTGCCACTAACGGCTCGTGTTGTCCTGTATAGATTAATTAGTGTAGTAAACTGGTAATAATTAAAGTGGGTGGGTGTTTCTAATAAAGTGGCCAGTTAGTGGAAGCACAAGGTGGGTGTTTCTAATAAAGTGGCCAGTGAATGGAAGCACAAGGTGGGTGTTTCTAATAAAGTGGCCAGTGAGTGGAAGCACAAGGTGGGTGTTTCTAATAAAGTGGCCAGTGAGTGGAAGCACAAGGTGGGTGTTTCTAATAAAGTGGCCAGTGAGTGGAAGCACAAGGTGGGCGTTTCTAATAAAGTGGCCAGTGAGTAGAAGCACAAGGTGGGCATTTCTAATAAAGTGGCCAGTTAGCGAAAGCACAAGGTGGGTGTTTCTAATAAAGTGGCGAGTTAGCGAAAGCACAAGGTGGGTGTTTCTAATAAAGTGGCCAGTTAGTGGAAGCACAAGGTGGGTGTTTCTAATAAAGTGTCCAGTGATTGGAAACAGGAGTGTATAGTAACAGTAATGGCTCTGCTGTAAGTGGTAGCCTTGTTTCTGACCCTGGTCCATCCTCAGGATAGAAGCTACAATTATGGCCTTGAGATTCTGTTCTTTAACAAATTCAAAAGGTTTTTCTGGTCCAGTGGATTGCCAGTGTGTTGGATAAACTTGAATTCCTGAATAATTTCCTGAACGTCAAGTTCAGAGCACTTCCTTTCGCTGTTATCTGTGTGCTGTGAACCTTTACTTTGCACAAAAACACAAAAGCAGTGTCAGTAATTGCTGCCTTGTGGATTTCACAGCGAAGTGAAGACTGTCCGTAATTGGTTTTCTGCTTCAAAACCAGCGAAGTTTCAATTCTGCAGTATGAGAGTCTGTCAGATATGAAGGAGCGACTGGGGACCTCATTGTCTTTCCTGTGTAAAACATGCACAGAACCATGTCAAAGAAACACCACAAAGTGGCAACAACCAGTCCACTCTCAAATGATCACCCCGCCAGCTCATGTGAGCATCTAACAAAGCCACACTGATATCATCAGACAAATAAAATTGATCAGATCCACAGATATTATGGTTCCATGAATTTTTCAGTATTAGTGGATATTCTGTTAATAAAGCACCAACAATGTGTGGGGATTGTTATTCGCTGTTGTCCAAACAAAATCTCCAAAATAGTAACTTTACAGGAGAAGGAAAAACATGTTTTACTTTTAATGTGAGTCAATGGAACCAGACTTTTTCACAAGTAATTCTGGGCCGTTTCTTTTGGTCCATTCATCATGAAATTCACACACAATGTAAAGGACAGCAGGCATTTTCAAATTATGTCAAAAACGACAAAAATGGGGATACAAGGTTTTGTTCCAACAGCAGCGAATTGTATTATGGCACACAAACATAACGGAAGTGGAATAGAACAGCTCCCCTTTAAATGTCTATTCTTAGTGTTAAATGTCTGCAGTTAAGCTAGAGCTGCTACAGCTCAGCACTGTTAGCTTAATGCTAACATAACATACAAACCCCTATTACCAGGCTAGCTGTGTTTTAGCACGTCTAACTGGTAAACAAAAGCTACTTTTTCTAAACGAGGGTTCTGCATGTAATCTCACACCTGCCTGGAACGCAAGACAAGTCACACATGTAGGCTTATGTTCTATACTACCACCCACCACCACCCCCTATCCCACCCCCTCTCCTGAGACAACCCACACAGTGGGTGTTCTTCAGCTCGTATATAGTTCTGCAAAGAACCATTTTGAAAAGGGATCTATATAGCCCCAAAGAGGGTTCTTCTATTGTTACAAGCTTGACATCATAACAGTAGAAGAACCCTTTTTGGTGCTATATAGAACCCTTTTGAAAATGGTGCAATATAGAACCATATACAACACATTCTCCATCAAGCCAAAGAACCATTTCATGCAGCTGGTTCTTTTAGTGCTCATGGTTCTATATAGACCCATTTTCTTTTAAGAACCCATGAAGAACCATCTTTTTTAAGAGTGTAGTTGTGGGTCAACATGGCAAAAATATTATGTTGCGATATTTTAATACATAATGATTCACTCTATATATATATATATAAAATATATATATATATATTTTTTTGATCAGAGGAAAAGAGCCAGTAGTGCTACATTTAAAAAAATACTATCAAAAACTGTGAACACAGTGATTTTTATTCAGTATTTGAGAATAAATCCAGCTCTTTTTTTATAGTGTTATAGTATACTGTGTTATGGCGAAATACCATCACGGCTGTGATTTGGTCGCCGTAGATCATCACAGCCGTGATGTTATTGGCGATCACACACTCCTCGAGTGTTCTATTGCTTTAATACAACAGTTAAATAAATACAGTAATAAATTAATAAACTGGGCCGTGAACGCGGCGTTTAATATGTTTTAATGTTCGCAGTTCCTTCACCAAATTATAGTTCCTTAACGAGCAGCTTGTTGCTACGTCAGAGTAACGAGCTCCGCCCACTCGCTGCACAGTCTGCCTCGCCTTTTGAAGTACAGACTGAGCCATAAAACTGCCGCAATATCAAGTTCAGCTCAGTTTTGTCAGTTTCTGCCAGATCAGTATTAATGTTGTTTTGTTCCAGCCAGTCTGTAAAGCATCTTACAGCCCGTTTAGTTTGGCGAATGGTGTTGGGTTCATTTCTGGCTGATTCCAGGTTGTTCAGCTGTTCTTCTGTCTCAGCTGCCGACTGAAAAGCTGCTCAGTGGTGATGACAGTTTGGGAATTTAGTGTCGTCTCATCTTCAGAGTCTGACCAAATCGGCTGTCGGTCAAATGTGATGTTAAGTGTCCATTTTCTGTTTGTGGCAAAGTAAGAAGTAAAAACGTTCAAATGTCTTTAGCGTCTCCTACAGCTGTCAGAGTCGGCGTCTCAGCGGAGTGATACAGTATTTGTGGGAAAAAAAAACATCTTATTATAAACATGTTATTTCTCCATAACATCACAAGCTTCTCAACCAATCAGCTCGCGTGGCCGGAACTAACTGTTGTATAATGTGACATAATTAATTACAATAACGGTATATATTGTCATATTGCCCCGCCCCACAAAATCAGCACCCAGAAAATGAGCTGTTCCTCACAGTAGAGTAAATGACATCATATGAAGGCTGATTAAGGTTGTTTTTACTCGTCTCAGCTGGAGGAAAGAGTGAAATGTGTCTCCTTTAATTCTTTTCGTTGTAATGAAAGTGTTGTGATGGTTGTGCTGCGTGTCAGCTGTGTATTAGTTGATGGTCCTGTATGTTCTGAACTTGACCCTGGCTGCTGGGAGGCTTTGTGGCTGGTGACTAATGGAGTGGAGGAGCTGAGTGAGAGATGTAGCTGCTGGAGAAAGCGCTGAATGAGGCTCTCTCTCTCTGAAAGCCCTCTTTATGCTGCCTCTTCAATAGATTCTGCTCTAATAGCCGCGCTAATGGGCTGTTTTCCAATACTGACCTGCTCCACTCTGGTCTCGGTTGCGGAGGTGGCCCACATGCTCATTTGTGTGTGTCGAAATGACCGGCGGTTAACAGCACACGCTCCCAAACCTGATCTGATCTGGTGATTCTCAGCTCCAGTCAAACTGTCAGCAAGAGCCTGTAGTTATTCAACACAGTCATAGAAATAAACAGGGGTTTCGTCTCCACGTCTTTCTTTATTAAAGAGCTTAAAAAAGACGGTTCTTCAAGGGTTCTTTAAAAAAGGAATGGTTCTATTCTGAAGTGAGTTTGCTTGATTAGATGGTTCTCTGCATGGTGAAATCGTTCTTCAGACTGATGGAGAATGTCTTGTATATGGTTCCGTAGTGGGTTCTAATGTTCTATGGTTACAAGCTTGACACTGTAACAATGGCAGAACCCTTTTTTGGTGCTATATGGAATGCTTTTCGAAAGGTTCTATACAGAATAATTTACAACACATTCTTCATCAGTCTGTATATAGAACCATTATCTTATATACTATATAGAACCCTTGAACAACCATTTCATTTTCATTTAATGCTTAAAGTGTTCTCTGCATGATGAAATGTCTCTTCAGATTGAGAATGTGTTTATGGTTCTACATAGAACCTTTTTAAAAATGGTTCTATATAGCATCAAAATGGGTTCTGCTATAGTTGTGATGTCAAACCTGTAACAGTAAAAGAACCCTTTTTGGTGCTATATAGAACATTTTACAATACATTCTCCATCAATCTGAAGAACAATTTCACCATACAAAGAACCATAGAACAGACTCAGTTTATATCACAATACCTACATTTAGTCAGTTATTCATTCAGCCTAATGAGAAACTGTAGAACAGACTCAGTTTATATCACAATACCTACATTTAGTCAGTTATTCATTCAGCCTAATGAGAAACTGTAGAACAGACTCAGTTTATATCACAATACCTACATTTAGAGTCGGTTATTCATTCAGCCTAATGAGAAACTGTAGAACAGACTCAGTTTATATCACAATACCTACATTTAGAGTCGGTTATTCATTCAGCCTAATGAGAAACTGTAGAACAGACTCAGTTTATATCACAATACCTACATTTAGAGTCGGTTATTCATTCAGCCTAATGAGAAACTGTAGAACAGACTCAGTTTATATCACAATACCTACATTTAGAGTCGGTTATTCATTCAGCCTAATGAGAAACTGTAGAACAGACTCAGTTTATATCACAATACCTACATTTAGAGTCGGTTATTCATTCAGCCTAATGAGAAACTGTAGAACAGACTCAGTTTATATCACAATACCTACATTTAGAGTCAGTTATTCATTCAGCCTAATGAGAAACTGTAGAACAGACTCAGTTTATATCACAATACCTACATTTAGAGTCGGTTATTCATTCAGCCTAATGAGAAACTGTAGAACAGACTCAGTTTATATCACAATACCTACATTTAGAGTCGGTTATTCATTCAGCCTAATGAGAAACTGTAGAACAGACTGTAAGATTTTGTCTTTAGTGGACTTTGTACTGTACTGACGCTGATATCTGTCTGTGTGTGCACCTTAGGGGTCCCCAGGTGAAAGAGGGCCTGCTGGACCAGGTGGGCCAATTGGATTAACTGGACGCAACGGACCTCAGGGACCCCCAGGACCTGCTGGAGAGAAAGGTGGACCGGTAAGAGTCGCTGTGTTTGTTTACATTGCAGGTTATGCCTACATGTTCTGGAAAACTGTGAGATTTATAGACAAGTTTTCCAGTCATAGGAAACACCTGGAAAATGAGAAAACTGATAAAATCTCCTGGATATATTAGTGACATCCTGGAAAGGTTCGACCACCAGGCCACTGAGATTACATATTTTACCATATTGTCATCAGTTTATCATTTTCTTTGGATGCTGACTGCAGATAATTTCAGTAACCTGCAGTTTCTTCAAACGTTTGTAAACACTTGGTAGCATTTAACTGTTAGCTTAGCTTACCCTGAATGCAGAGCGCTAATGAGCCAAGTGTAGTTTAGCTGTGATTAAGCTCCCCTGATTAACTAACCGCAGATGGACATTGGAAGCTAATGTTGGGCTAATACTGACGCCGGTTCTCTCTGTTGTGTGTCTGCAGGGTGAGAAAGGTCCTCCCGGTCCCGCCGGCCGTGACGGAATCCAGGGTCCAGTTGGCCTTCCAGGACCTGCGGGACCTCAAGGACCACCTGGAGAGGACGGTGATAAGGTACAGGCTCTATTTCACCAGTTCAGTCGGCCTGTTTCTCTCTGTCTCTCAGGTATTCAGTGTATTCAGTGGTTTCACTGCCAGAGTTTCTCCAGTTAAACACAGAGTTCTGCCTGTTATCACTCACAGTGAGCTGCACAGTGATGTTAGCATCGTCATGACAACCTCAGTGTATTTCATTTGTAAATATCTGTCGTATTTCAGGCACACATTGGTAAACATGTTTGTAAAATGAGTGTCATTAGGTTAAAGGTTAAAGTAGAGAAGCTGAGCTGTCTGACTCAGGTGTGCCCTACTTCCCTCTGAAATCTCTGAGGGGTCAAATGTAGACCGCCCCCCCCATCAGATCTCTATCTATCTATCTATCTATCTATCTATCTATCTATCTATCTATCTATCTATCTGTCTATCTATCTGTCTATCTATCTGTCTGTCTGTCTGTCTGTCTGTCTATCTTTGTATCTGTCTGTCTGTTTATCTGCCTATCTAACTATCCATCTATCTGTCTGTCTGTCTATCTCTCTATCTACCTGTCTGTCTGTTTGTCTGTTTAGCTATCTTTCTATCTGTCTTTCGGTCTGTCTGTTTATCTTTGTCTATGTATCTTTTTGTATGTCTATCTCTGTCTATCTGTCTTTTTTGTCTGTCTGTCTATCTCCCAACTATCTGTCTATCCGTCTGTCTGATTGCCTGTCTATATATCTTTCTTTCTATCTGTCTGTCTGTCTGTCTATTCATCTGTCTGTCTGCCTATCTATAAATCTACCTGTCTCTCTGTCTGTTTGCCAATCTTTCTGTCTATCTATCTGTCTATCTATTTATCTGTCTGTCTGTCTAATTATCTGTCTGTCTGTCTAATTATCTATCTAAACTCTCTCTGTGTCTCTCTCTCTCTCACTCTCTCTCTCTCTCTCTCTCTCTCTCTCTCCCTCTCTCCCTCCTCACTGTAACAGCGCTCTCGACTCCTCAGCTTTATCCATCATCCTAACCCGAGATGACGGAGAGTCATTATGGCGCAGCAGTGATGAATGTAAACACACAGTTGCTCGCGCGCGTTTGTAGAAGTAAACAAGTGCGCTTTGAGAGCCGGAGGCGAAAGAGCTGTGCAGCCTGTAATGTATTCACTAATAATTCATGTGTTATTATATTACTATTGCTGCGCTAAGTTTCAGCGCCGTTCTCATTCAGACGCACGTCACGTCCCACGCTGCATTAGGCCTGAACACGCTAACGGCTAAAGCGCTAACGGAGCCAAGTAATCAATTAATGACAAACACACCCCAGCGTCTCTATCTGATTAAGGTCTCGGGGGGATATTCACCACACTGGCAACTTCCAGAAACTTCTGACTGGGTTTAGGTGAGAAACTGGGTCGCAGTGCTTCGGGCTCAGGGCTGATGCTGCGTGTGTTTGTGTTTTTCAGGGAGAGGTTGGAGAACCGGGTCAGAAAGGAAGCAAAGGAGACAAAGGAGAACACGTGAGTGTCTGTCTGTACACGTTCTAACGGGTTTTATGAGGAACCTGGATTGAAAAGATCCTCAATTCCATTCATACATCATACAGTATATAGTTGGAGTGCTGATCCAGGATCAGATTCAGAGTGCACTCTTAAAAAGGATGGGTTCTTTAGTAAAGCAATGGTTCTATATAGAACCATGAACATTTACAGAACCATTTGCATGCTTTATTGGTTCTGTGCATGATGAAATCTTTCTTCAGATTGATGGAGAATGTGTTGTATATGGTTCTACATAGGACCTTTTTGAAAAGGGTTCTATATAGCACCAAAAAGCGTTCTTCTAGTTATGATGTCAAGCTTGGAACAACAGAAGAACGCTTTTTGGTGCTATGTAGAACCATATACAACACATTCCCAATCAATCTTAATAACCATTTAACCATGCAAAGAACCATTTTTAAGCATGCAAGTAGTTCTTTGAGTGTCCATGGTTCTATGAATCCTTTTTTTTTCACTAAAAAACCCTTGAAGAACCATCTTTTTAAAGATGGTTCTTAAAAAAGTAAAAAATAATAAATGCTGAATACTTACAGAGCACTTACATCATTGCTGTTAAGTTATTTAATATGTATTATTAATATTATAGAATAATATATATATATATATATATATATATATTAGATCATAATTACGCACTCTTATACTCTTTAGGATGGTTCTTCAAGAGTTCTTTTGTCAAAACAATGGTTCTATATAGAACCATGAACACTCAAAGAACCATTTGCATGCATAAAGTGTTCTTTGCATGGTGAAATGGTTCTTCAGATTGATGGAGAATGTGTTGTATGTGGTTCTAGATAGCACAAAAAGGGCTCTTCTGTACACTTGACATATTAAATCAAGAAAATGTTCTGAACATTTGAAGATACAGCCGATTTGAAGATATTTCACCATGCAAAGAACCATTTGAGCACGCAGTGGGTTCTTTGAGTGTTCCTGGTTTTATATACAATGATCAGGCATAACATTATGACCACCTCCTTGTTTCTACGCTCAGTGTCCATTTTTTCAACACTGCTGTGTCTGATCCACTCATACCAGCACAACACACACTAACACACCACCACCACGTCAGTGTTACTGCAGTGCTGAGAATGATCCTCCACCCAAATAGTCCCTGCTCTGTGAGGGTCCATGGGGGTCCTGACCACTGAAGAACAGGGTAAAAGGGGGCTAACAAAGTATCAGAGAAACAGATGGACTACAGTCTGTAACTGTAGAACTACAAAGTGCACCTATATAGTAAGTGGAGCTGATTAAATGGACAATGAGTGTAGAAACAAGGAGGTGGTCATAATGTTATGCCTGATCGATGTAGAACCATTGTTTTTACTAAAGAACCCTTGAAGAACCATCTTTTTCAAGTGTATGAGTGCTTATTGGTGATGATCTTACTGACATGAACATTTTCTAAATCAAAATTTTCACAACATTTAAAAGAAAAGTTTGAACAACATTTAAGACTCTTTTATTTCTTTTATATAGAAAAACAAAATTAAATTACAAATAACAGAAAATGTACGTCAGGTTCCAGTTACATTACAAATATTGAACACTGAGAACATTGCTGTTATTAAATTATTAAATATGTATTTTTAAAGGGGAGATCAGTGCACACGTGTGTGTTTTATACTGTGCCAGTTATGTTGACTTCAGGTGCATAAGTTGTACATTACTAATTATAAACTCTTAAATATCTAAAATAAGTTCATGTACAGGTAACAAATTTTGGTTTATATGAAACAATGTAGTTAGAAATGTCTTTCAGATAATGCAGAATACTGTATCTGCATAGGTTACCATCTCTAACTTTCCTTTGTTTGTACTCTTTCTGCCCTCAGGGTCCTCCTGGTCCAGGTGGTCTTCAGGGTCCAGTTGGAGCTCCAGGACCTGCTGTGAGTAAACACCCCTCACACACACACACACACGTTTGAGTGAATTGTGGGAACACTATGACTTTCATTCATTTCCTGGAGGTTTGGCCAAACCTTAAAACACGACTTCACCCTAAAATGCAATGATTTCCCCACAACGTAGTGTATAAACAAGTTTTGGTCCCCACAGCGTGGTATAAACCTGGTAGACAAACACCTCCAAACACACACACACCTCAGAATCTCTTTAATACATAGGGACACATGCATGTCTGAAGTTAGCTTCTCTAACAAGTTACTTTAGCTTTTACCCACCAATTAGCATGATGCTAACTGCATGACACTGTGTGGAGGTGTTCAGCGTCTCTACTAGACGTGATTATGAGGATTCAGACACTGTATGACTCACTGTTATCTATGAACGTAGATGCTGAAAAACACTGAAGAAGCAATTTTCTGACATCAAACCTTTCGGACACACATGTGGTCAGAGGGGGGATAGTATGAATGTGATTTTTCTGTGAAGTGTTCCTTTAAGCTGTACAGCTAAAGACTGAACAATCTGGCCTTCAAGCCTTCTGCTCTCTCTAATTAAAGTCTTCACTAATTTTCAGATAATTACATCTTTTCTTTGACTGGAGAAGCAGCAGTTCAGCTTTTACACTGAACAGGATCTTCGTCCTTTTCAAAGCCAGCCTTTTAACATAAAACACACTGACCTGAACCAACCTGTGGTACCGTAATACCTGCTAGCCCACACTAGCGTGCTCTAAACAGAGCTGGCCTGCATTTATACCTTCTAACCTGCGCAAATTGTAACCCCTGCTAAGTTGCACTTGTACTTTTTAACCTGTGCCACTACCTTGTAACACACACTGACCTGAACTAACCTGCTCTCTCTCTCTCTCTCACTCTCTCTCACTCTCTCTCTCCCCCCCCTCTCTCTCTCCCGCTCTCTTTCTCTCGCTCTCTCTCTTTCTCTCCCCCCCCTCTCTCTCTCCCCCTCTCTCTTCAGTCCATCCACAGATAAGATCCTCTGAAAGCCCTGCAGCTCTACTGTATTAATGTTCAGCATTCAGTTTGTTTAAATTTTAAATGAGGCCTCTCCCTCTCTCTTTCCCCCCTCCCTCCCTCTCCCTCTCTCCCCCCCCTCCCTCCCTCTCCCTCTCTCCCCCCCCCTCCCTCCCTCTCCCTCTCTCCCCCCCCTCTCTCTCTCTCTCTCTCTCTCTCTCTGTCTTTTCTCTCTCTCTCTCTCTCTCTCTCTCTGTTTTTTTCTCTCTCTCTCTCTCTCTCTCTCTTCCCCTCTCTCTCTCTCCCTCTCTCCCCCCCTCTCTCTCTCTCTCTCTCTCTCTCTCTCTCTCTCTCTCTCTCTCTCTCTGTCTTTTCTCTCTCTCTCTCTCTCTCTCTCTCTCTCTCTCTCTCTCTCTGTTTTTTCTCTCTCTCTCTCTCTCTTTCTTCCCCTCTCTCTCTCTCTCTCTTCCCCTCTCTCTCTCTCTCTCTTCCTCTCTCTCTCTTCCTCTCTCTCTTCCTCTCTCTCTCTTTCTCTCTCTCTCTCTCTCTATTCCTCTCTCTCTCTCTCTCTCTCTCTCTCTCTCTCTCTCTATTCCTCTCTCTCTTCCCCTCTCTCTCTCTCTCTCTTCCCCTCTCTCTCTCTCTCTCTTCCTCTCTCTCTCTTCCTCTCTCTCTTCCTCTCTCTCTCTTTCTCTCTCTCTCTCTCTCTATTCCTCTCTCTCTCTCTCTCTCTCTTTCTCTCTCTCTCTCTCTCTATTCCTCTCTCTCTCTCTCTCTCTTTCTCTCTCTCTCTCTCTCTCTCTCTCTCTCTTCCCCCCTCTCTCTCTCTCTCTCTCTCTCTCTCTCTCTCTCTCTCTCTCTCTCTCTCTCTCTCTCTCTCTCTCCCCGTGCTGTGTCAGTAATGCAGTCAGCAGTACTTGTGTTTTTTCCTCCTCTCCTCTGCTGAGCTTCCTGCTGAGGAACACTCCTCCACCTCCTCCACCGTTTCTTCACTTTCTGCTGAATCCTCCTTTCATCTTCCTCCTGAGACCCAGTTCACACATGATCCAGCACACACTCGTCTTTTAGAAAGTTTCCTCTGGATCTCCAGACTCACCGCAGAGTTACGGCTGGACAGTATAGCAATATGTATTATTGTGATTAATGATGTCAGAATACAGTCTGCGCTTCTGATCATATGGTGTTTATCGTCAGTGCTTGTAGACACTGACCAGCTGCATGATTCATTACACGAAGAGCAAAATGAGTCTGTTTAACTGGATTTAGTGACAAATACTGAATCACTGAGTTCACAGGTTCCTCTGTTTCGGCGTTTGTTTGTGTTTTAGGGCAGTGATGGAGAGTCGGGCCCCCGGGGTCAGCAGGGCATGTTCGGGCAGAAAGGGGATGAAGGACCGCGAGGGTTCCCCGGACTTCCGGGACCAATCGGGCTGCAGGTAATAAAACAGTGGATGAGCTTCAAATTGAGCAGCTGAAAAACTGAATAATAATGTAATCAGGACAAAGATAATTAATAGCAATGGATCACATTGTTTTGTGTAGTTGATGACAGTTATGATGACAATAGTAGATCAGTCACTTACATCCTCGGAAGACACGTCACGTCCTTCACGGAGTTTTGACCAAGTTCTCTTTGAATGGTCTTTAAATGCTGTTACACATTTCCACCAGAGGGGTCTCCAAATCCCCAAAATGTGCACAGTGCAGCTTCAACGCTGTATTACTTGAATTTGGATCAATGACATCTATAAAAAACAAATTGCACTTTAACAGATTTCTGCTGAATGTCCAGCACTACTGTCCTACTTTTTCATATTTAGATAATTTATCAGAGAAAAATCAATTTGTCAAATGATTAATAATCTGTTGAATGGAGAAGCAGGAAAAAACTGTAGCTCAGAGTGACTGTACTAAATCACTGTTTACTCTTAAATTACTGCTTGTTGTTGCTTTCTTTGTAATTGAATCTTACAAACATTGAGTTTTTGATTATGAAAATTGAAATTTATTATTGAAATTTTTGATTGTGGAAATTCTGAATTTTTATTTAAATTTTTAATCATGAAATTCAATTTTTGTTGACATTTTTATTTTTAAAATTGTGAAAATTTTATACAATTTTTTGATTGTGAAAATTTTGAAATTTTTGGTAGTGAAAATTGTGTTTTTTTTTTTATTGAAATTTTTGATTTAAATTTTTGATGAAATTTGTGAAATTTTTAACACTCTTTTGTAGTCTTAGAATATCTTTATAGCAGCAGAAGTTTGATATGTTTTTAGATCCTTATAAAGTATTTTCTTTCTTTTTTTGTAGGGATTACCAGGACCTCCGGGTGAGAAGGGAGAGACCGGTGACGTCGGTGCTATGGTTAGTTTCAAAACAGATTCAGTTTTTCCTGTAACTGAAGTGTTTTATATATATATATATATATATATATATATATATATATATATATATATATATGATTATTAATTGCATTAATCAATGTTTTTCTCCTTGTGCTGCTAACAGGGTCCGCCGGGCCCTCCTGGACCGAGAGGCCCTCAGGGGCCCAGCGGAGCTGATGTGAGTTGTTTTTCCTTTAAACTGAGTTTTTCCATATGAAACCGTGGAACGTGGTGCAGGAACAGCTCCACACGTGTTGATGCTGTGTTTATGTTCAGGGAGCTCCAGGCCCTCCTGGTGGTATCGGTGCGATGGGAGGAAACGGAGAAAAGGTGAGAGCGACAATATTGATCAGTAAAGCAGTGATAAGATTGAGATGAACAAAAGAAATCAACCCAAATCTCACAGACCCCTCAGATTAACTCTGCTATGGTCTGTCCAGGCCTTTCTGCTTCTGTAGGGTCTTCATTTCCCTTCAGAGGTCAATAAATAACACCAGTCTGTCTCTATATGTACAGATATAGACAAATAACTAGATTATTTGTTATTACATTATATAAATGTTCAGTTATACTGTACATAATTATCAGATGGGCAGTGCTGTTTGATTTATAAATATAAAATAGTCTAATAAAATCAATCAATTAATCACCTAGAATCTGTCTGCGATCTGTCTGTGTCTGTCGGTCTGTCTGTGTATCTGTCTGTCTGTCTGTGTATCTGTCTGTCTATCTATCTACCTATCTGTCTCTCTGTCTATTTATCCATCTTTCTGTCTATCTCTGTCTATCTATCTGTCTGTCTGTGTATCTATCTGTCTGTCTCTCTGTCTGTCTATTTATCCATCTTTCTGTCTGTCTGTGTGTCTGTCTATTTATCCATCTTTCTGTCTGTCTGTCTGTCTGTGTGTCTGTCTATTTATCCATCTTTCTGTCTGTCTGTCTGTGTATCTATCTATTTATCCATCTGTCTGTCTGTCTATTTATCCATTTTTCTGTCTGTCTGTCTGTCTGTCTGTCTGAGTGTGTATCTATTTATCCATCTTTCTGTCTGTCTGTCTGTCTGTCTGTCTGTCTGAGTGTGTATCTACTTATCCATCTTTCTGTCTGTCTGTCTGTCTGTCTGAGTGTGTATCTATTTATCCATCTTTCTGTCTGTCTATCTGTCCATCTATCTATCTATCCATCTTTCTGTCTGTCTATCTGTCCATCTATCTATCTATCCATCTTTCTGTCTGTCTATCTATCTTTGTGCAAACAAAACAGCATCACTCTGTTCATCTGCCTCTGTTGTTTATCGTGGATATTGGAGATGCTCTTAACATGCAGATTCTGTCGCCATGGCTACAATAAGCTAATGTGATGTTTTCCGCAGGGTGAGACGGGTGAAGCCGGCAACCCGGGACCTCCTGGAGAGCCTGGTCTAGGGGTGAGTGTGTATATGTGTGTGGGGGGGGTGTGTATGTGTGTGTATGTGTGTGTGTGTGTGTGTGGGGGGGTGTGTGTGTATGTGTATATGTGTGTGTGTGTGTATGTGTGTGTGTGTGTATGTGTGTGTGGGGGTGTGTATGTGTGTGTGTGTGTGTGGGGGTGTGTATGTGTGTATGTGTGTGTGTATGTGTGTGTGGGGGTGTGTATGTGTGTGTGTGTGTATGTGTGTGTGGGGGTGTGTATGTGTGTGCGTGTGTGTGGGGGTGTGTGTGTGTGTATGTGTATGTGTGTGTGTGTGTGGGGGTGTGTGTGTGTGTGTATGTGTGTGTGTATGTGTGTGTGTGTGTGGGGGTGTGTATGTGTGTGTGTGTGTGGGGGTGTGTGTGTGTGTGTGTGTATGTGTGTGTGTGTGTGTGTGTGGGGGTGTGTGTGTGTGTGTGTATGTGTGTGTGTGTGTATGTGTGTGTGTGGGGGTGTGTGTGTGTGTGTGTATGTGTGTGTGTGTGTATGTGTGTGTGTGGGGGTGTGTGTGTGGCTGCTTGTTCATGCTCCACAGGCTGTTCAGAAGATAAACCTTGACACACGTATAATTGAGCTTAGCCTGTTGACAGTCAGGGGACACAGCCGCTCTTAGCCCCGCCCACGCGGTGTTAATGACCCTTATGAGTTTATTAATTCAGACTTGTTGATGCATGAATTATGTAGGACATTATGTGTGTTTTCCTGGATCTCCTCTGTGCTACAGTAACTCCTGCACAGGTAAACATCTCTGACAGCTCAGAGTTATTATTGTCTTCTCTGTTTATCAGGTGAGGATTAAACACGCCGCCTGCCCGTCCGCCTGTTTACTGGGTGTCAGCTTCTTCATTATTTCTGATGCTTTGGTCACCTTAGTTTCTAAACCTCTTCATTAACACGTCTGAACTGCTCGCTCTGTACTGGACATCTCTGTGCTCTGATTAGCTGTAGTTGTACTACATAGTTGTATTGTTATGATTTTTGAACCGGTGCCTAAGAGACGGCATCTCCAAAAGGATAAAGAGATACTGTTGCAGTTTTAATGGAATAGTATCATGTTGTTTATCAACAGGTTTGTGTTCAGACTGCAGGCAAATCGGATTTATTTCTCAGATCAGACCTTTTGAGACGACTGTCCACTCTGTTTTTTCCAAGTGATCAGATCAGATTTGTGTGTCCAGACATCACCAGTCTGTTTGCATGGGTTGCCGTGGTAACAACATAGGCGTCAGCAACTACGTAGCTACGCGGATTTCAAGCGCAGATGCAGGAGAGATGGAGGTGCATCATTAGGGAAAGTCTTTGGGCTCAAAACATGGTTAAACGTGCACGTTAACACGTAAAATTGAGTTGTGATAACATGAAAAAAAAACACATTTACACATTGTTTAAGGTTTCCACCAAAAATCGGAAGGTTGCCTCAAATCCGGACGGACATGCATGTTCATAATAGGAATTACTTCACACATTAGAACCAACAGTGAAACTAAAGCGCTATGTGTGAAGCCCTTCATTTCATTTGGATTATTTATGATATAGTGAGCTGAGCGCTGAGCTATGGCTATGCTGAGCCGAGCTCATCAGACAGGAAATGACACAAGAGTAACATCCCCTTTAAGGAGGTGCCAGTAAACTTAAGTGAACCAGGAGGAATCAGAGGAATCGACTGCTCAAACAGTTCTATTATTAAGCCAATCTCAGTATCTGTTAACAACGTGATTTTCAAACAAAAAAGCTGCTCTTTTGTTAGACATGCACTGTAAACCGTTCAGCAATACAGTGCTTATATTTATGCTTAGAAAAATTCTACCAGAAGACATTCTACATTTTTCAGAATATTTTCAAATAAATTAAAAACTAGACTTTTTTCAATTATTTAGTCTGCTGCTTCTGTATGTTAAGCAATAGTGCCACACCAGTAGGTGGCGGTAAAGCATGATTCACAAAGGTTTCCCAACAGCAACAAAATCCAAATACTAAAAATGTGCGCTATTTTAAATATTTTGTGTGTTAACACAACGAGTATTTGTGTTAACACGAAGTTGTTATACGTGTTAACTTAGAGATTCTGACATGTTTTGTGCCCAAAAGCCTGACGTACCTCATCTCCCCTCCAAACCCTTCAGAACTCTCTTCATCCTGAATCTCTGGAGCTCTTCTTGAATCCCAGCACTTCATCACTCTGGATTTGACATTGTCGCTGTTTGTCGTGTTGTGAGTGACACAAAACACACTTTGAAATCTGATCTGAGTGTCCAGAGCGTCCAGACTGAGACACATCTGTAAACATCCGACTGGAATCGCATTTCAAACCACCTCCAAATGTGGTTTAGATCCGATTTGCAAAAATCAGATTTCATTTGTTTTTTTTGGTGTCCAGACTATCAAAACTCAAGGAATAAGGGGGACAGATAGTGAGTGCTACATAAATAAACTTTGACTTGACTTAGTGTAAAAAATTAATAACAGAAACGTAGCATGGCTTTGATATGAAAGCGACAACGATCAGTACAGTTTTACAGGAGAGTTTATGGTGGTTGGTATAGTGTAGTGGGTAACATGTCTGCCTTCTATGCTGTAGACTGGGGTTCAATCCCCCTCCTGGGTAAACACCCTACACTACACCGATAGGAGTCCTTGGGCAAGACTCCCAACACTACCTTCACCCACCTGTGTAAAAATCATCAAGTCGCTCTGGATTAGAGCCTCTGCCAAATACCGTAATTGTAATGGTGTAACTTGGGGCGCTTTAACACTAGAGCTTTTCTCTGGACCCTGGACTGCCCGCTCTTCGAGTTCGGTACATTTGGTCAAGTATGGAAGCTGTTTTCAAGTCTTGGAGCGGAATACAGAACTGATCTCTCATCCTCCTGAAATCGGTGGTCTGGGTTTCGCTTTCAGAGATCTCTGGTGTGGTCCGCTGACCGTGTGGAGGCTATCCGCTCCCGGCACCGTGTGACCGCTTCGCCTTATCGGGTCGATTCCCTTCCTTCTCATACGAGAACGGCCCCTTGTTTGCTGGAGCTCCTGTAGGGTAAAATACCGTGTATCCAAAAAGAGCTGCTCCTCGCCGCTTGAGTGTTTGTATTCAAGCACAGTAACAAAGCAGCAAACAGATGAAGCTGTGCTGACCATTTCACAAACCTGTGCGCAGGAAAGTGACATATGGAATTCTGGAATCGATTCACGGTTTGGATTGGATTATTGTGTGAAAGCAAAGCAGAGATAATGAGCCCCTCCCCCAAACGAGCCCAGAATTGGTCCTGGGTGCGGACTCAAGTGTTCGGGTTGAGTGTGAAACCCCCCCTTCCAGAGACCAGAGAAATATTTAGGTTGAAAGTTACTGTAAAAAAACTGTAAATTGATTTTTCGACTCTGTTTTATCGCTGCACTTTTTCACCACTGCAAAATTGAAATGTAATGCAGCCTTAAAACGATCCCCTAAGCATTTATACTGTATTTAAGACGTTTCACGCAGGTGGCCACAGATAACGATGAAGCGAGCTAAAGCCAGCGTGTGCCTTAAGATTCCCTTTCACTCCTGATGGGCACTCAGGGAGAAGTTCAGAGGTTCATGTCTGCTGGGTGTTTTTAGGGTCCTAAAGGTGAAATTGGAGAGAAGGGAGAGACGGGACCACCTGGAGCTGCCGGACCCGCCGGAGCCCGAGGACCGCCCGGAGACGACGGTCCGAAAGGAAACCCAGTGAGTCTATTGTCAACTTTCCTCTTAAGCACTTTAAAGCATTTAGACGGTCCAGATTAAATGGTACATTCACAGCTGCAGATTCAACAGATCTGTCTCTGCTTTTCCCACTAGGGACCCATTGGCTTCCCTGGAGATCCGGGTCCACCTGGCGAACCTGGTGTTGCTGTAAGTTCAATAAGGAGATGTTTATACAGCTGTTTGCCATGGATAAATTTGTTATTGTGACTCAAATATAACCAATGAAAGGAGAATATATGAACAGCTATGCATAACTTCATTATTGGAAACGTAGCCCTATTCCAGCTGGGTTAGTTTTATGAGAGTAGGAATGTAATTCGTGATTCTGTTTCCCTAAATTACTCCAGAAAAACATCACTGTGCAGATGTTTACGGCAACATTAGGGCACCTACACAGTAGACAGCACTCACAGGCGTCTGTTAGCTGACGTAACAGAACTGGCGGTTAGTGTCTCCTCTGGGCGCGTTCAGCTGTCAGTGACGTTGCGTGAGCAGCAGTTCGAAAAGATGCGGTGGAGCTTCACAGGTCTCGGAGGAAGCCTGTGTTGGCCTTCACCCTCCTAGCGCTGGTAGTATCCTGTGACTGGGGGAGGCCTAACTAGCGGGTGGAATTGGAAACGACTAAATTGGGGAGAAAATTGGGTAAAAAATAAAAAACAACAAAAAACTTGAAATTTTGAGTTCACTGAACTTGTAGCAATAAATTAACAGAATAATAAATTGTTTTTTACGTAACGCTCTCCAGAATGGTAACTTTACAGGAGAAGGAAAAAACAGGCTTTACTTTTAATGTCAGTCAACGGAACCAGAATTTTTTCCAAGTTCTTTTGGGTCGTTTCTTTTGGACCATTCATCATGAAATTTACATGCAATATAAAGGACAACAGGCATTTTCAGATTATGTCAAAAACTAAAAATGGATTTTTATATCACTGAGATGATTTCAATATAACTACACTTAAAGATGGCTCTTCCAGCGTTCTTTAACGAAGAAAATGGTTCTGCTTAGAACCATGAACACTTAAAGAACTCTTTGCATGATTTAAGGGTTCTTTGCATCATAAAAGTGTTCTTCAGGCTGATGGAGAATGTGCTGTAGATGCTTCTGTATAGAACCTTTTTGAAAAGGGTTCTATATAGCACCCAAGAGGGTTCTTCTATTGTTATGGTCTCAACCCTCGTTCATGCACATTCTCCATCAATCTGAAGAACTCTTTAATCATGCAAAGGGTTCTCTGCATCATGAAATGGTTCTTCAGATTGATGGAGAATGTGTTGCATATGGTTCTATATAGAATTTTTTTGAAAAGGGTTCTAAGTAGCACCCAAAAAGGGTTATTCTATTCTTACAAGCTTGACACCATTACAATAGAAGAACCCTTTTGGGCGCTGCATTTCTATAGCACACTCTGAAGAACCCTTTCATGGTGCATAGAACTTTAATCATGCAAAGGGTTCTTTGAGTGTTCATGGTTCTATATAGAACCACTTTCTTTAATAAAGAAGTGTGTAGTATCACTGAGGGAGCTCTGAGTTCAGCCAATCATAGAAGGTAATTATTACTTACCAGACTGTAAAACCTACAGATTCACACTGGATTAAAATCACAGATCCCGTCGGTAACCACTCAGATTACTGCAGCTCCCCAGATTAAACTGATCCAGCTCCAACAGGGCTTATGAATATATGTTTTATGGGTCAGACTATCCCTGCGATGGACTGGTGACCTGTCCAGGGTGTATCCTGCCTTCCGCCCAATGACAGCTGGGATAGGCTCCAGCACCCCACCGCGACCCAGAAGGATAAGCGGTTTAGATGATGGGTGGATGGATGGATGGATGGATCGGACCATGTGTGTGAATGTATGAGTTTTGTGATCGAGACAAAGTTGTGTTAAAGTATTTAAACACTTCCTCTCTTTCAGGGACTCGACGGCCTTACTGGGGATAAAGGAGATGACGGAGAAGCTGGTCAGCCTGTAAGTCAGTGTTTATTCCTGTGGTGCCCATTCGGGTGAGAGTAGAAAGGTGTGCACCATGTATTCGAATGAGGTTCAGGTCTCAGGTGTGCCATACGCCACCCATGACTGAAGGAAACGACTGGTCTCATTCTCATTCTTACAGACAGACTGTAATTTGTCTCCTTTTTATGACCCATGCAGTTGTTCATTGTTCTAGAATTGCTGACCACTCCCATCATAAACTCAGAAAAGTGTGTAATAGAGTCATTTACGATAATAGGGTAATATACGATAATAACGTGTGCGTGTAGTCATGCTCCTCGGCCTTACTTAGGAGAAGTTTAGGTTTTGGAAACAGGCAGCAAAGCAACAAAGCACTTCACTGTGGCTAAATGACATAAACTGTTTAAGCATAAGCATTTTCCTCTAAGCTTGTGACGTGTTTAGCCACAGAGCTGAAACAATGCGTGCAAAAAACATAAATAAACTGAGGTTTTTTCTCCTGGAAAGTGCTTATAGTTTAATAGAAGAGTGAACTAATCCACTGGCATCTGTGTACAGTCAGAACAGACAAGCATGAATAAATCTCCAGCTCTAGTTAAGGATCCCTCATTGATGAAACGGGATGGGGCTTCATTACTGAATGCACAAATGTAATCCATATTCATTCTGCGTGTACTGCAGGGTCCTCCTGGTCCATCTGGTGAAGCCGGCCCACCGGGACCCCCTGGGAAGAGAGTAAGTGCCCTAAAGCTAACGAGTCCGCCGTTTGTTCTGTGGCTTTAATTTTGTTTGTGACAACTGTTTCTGTTGGCGCTGGCGCGGCACGTCTGCTGGGACCCGTTCCTCTAAATGAGTTTTGTGGTGCTCTGTTGTCCGTAAACACTAAAAGTGTGTTTCATGAGCAAAAGTTTAGATTTTTTACTATGTGTTCCAAATTTATTGGCTGTAAATCTTCCGAAAGGAAAACAATGGAGCCCAAAAACTGCCCCAAAGCTCCAAATGGACCCAAAGCAGGAAAAGGCCTCACTGTGGATTGTGAATTAAGCTTCGCTTTCAAATCAAAACTCTAAAAACTGCTCACTAGGGGCAGCACAAGCCAAAATCAGAGCCTCCTCCTAACTCAGTCAGCAGTCAGTTTTTTTTTTTTTATTTTGGTCAACGTAAGGCAGCAGTTTTTTAAAAATAATGGGACAGTGGTAGATTACACAGTCACAAAAGCCTAGTGTAGGCCTGCCAACAGTAAACTTAGAGATTAGTAGAACTCTTTAACATTATATGTCCTCATATTGAAGAACCATTCGATGCCTGAACTCTATTTGCCACCAGAGGGCAGACTTAACTTAACTATCATTCTAAAGACTACTGCACACTGTCTAAAGGCTACTGCAGCCATCTAAAGACTACCACACACAGACTAAAGGCTACTGCAGCCATCTAAAGGCTACTGCACACCGTCTAAAGGCTACTGCAGCCATCTAAAGGCTACCACACACCGTCTAAAGGCTACTGCAGCCATCTAAAGGCTACCACACACAGACTAAAGGCTACTGCAGCCATCTAAAGGCTACTGCACACTGTCTAAAGGCTACTGCAGCCATCTAAAGACTACCACTGCCGCTGTCTAAAGGCTACTGCAGCTGTCCTAATGTTGCCACACATCGTCTAAAGGCTACACACGCCATCTAAAGGCTACTGCAGCTGTCCTAATGCTACCACACTGTCTAAAGCCTACTGCACACCGTCTAAAGGCTGCTGCAGCTGTCTAAAGGCTACTGCAGCTGTCCTAATGCTACCACACACTGTCTAAAGGCTACTGCAGCTGTCCTAATGCTACCACACACTGTCTAAAGGCTACTGCACACCATCTAAAGGCTGCTGCAGCTGTCTAAAGGCTACTGCAGCTCTCCTAATGCTACCTCACACTATCTAAAGGCTACTGCAGCTGTCCTAATGCTACCACACACTGTCTAAAGGCCACTGCAGCTGTCCTAATGCTACCACACACGGTCTAAAGGCTACTGCAGCTGTCCTAATGCTACCTCACACTGTCTAAAGACTACTGCAGCTGTCCTAATGCTACCTCACACTGTCTAAAGACTACTGCAGCTGTCCTAATGCTACCACACACTGTCTAAAGGCCACTGCAGCTGTCCTAATGCTACCTCAGACTGTCTAAAGGCTACTGCAGCTGTCCTAATGCTACCACACACTGTCTAAAGACTACTGCAGCTGTCCTAATGCTACCACACACTGTCTAAAGACTACTGCAGCTGTCCTAATGCTACCACACACTGTCTAAAGACTACTGCAGCTGTTTTAATGCTACCTCAGACTGTCTAAAGGCTACTGCAGCTGTTTTAATGCTACCACATAGCATCTAAAGGCCACCGTACACCATCTAAAGACTACTATAATTGTCTACATGCTTCCGCACACCATCTAAAAACTACCACACACCGTCTAAAGGCCCACCCTTAGGGTACATGTATGTGTTAGATCCTACGCACTACCATTGTCTTTGCCCTCAACCAAGTTTTATTCGCCCTTTTCATTATTTTTTTGAAAGTAACAGGCAACAAAGATATAAGAGTCAATTGATTACTCAGAGGTAGAGTAGTTAAACCCATCCTCCAGTAAAAGTGTTGTTATGAAGCAACGACTGCAGTAAAAGTACCTTTCCAAGAACAGCTAGAGTAAAATTACAGACGGAGCAGCTCAGGACGCTACTCAAGTGCTGAGTACCTTACAGAACTGCAGTGGAACCTCTCAGGACATCTATCAGCATAAGAGCTGTGAGACTGAAATTGGTTTCTTATTCACATTTTCAGTTCCACCTTAAATGGTGCAACTATTACATTCAAATGAGAAGCTGACGGATAAGAATACAGGAACTGAACTCTGTTTTCTCTTTTTAAAAAAAGTGCTAAAGCTCTAAAGTGAGAGTGATAAACAGTAAAGCGGAACAGAAGCTGAAACACAGCAGAATCAAATTAAACCCCAAAAACTAATTAGGAGCTCAGTGTTAATGACTAAAATGGAACTGAGGAAATAGCAGATCACTGAAAATGATCAGGAAAGTATAAATACATCAAACCGCTTACCACCCTCCTCTGCTCAGACCGCTGGGTTTTCCAGATCCGCTCCTGCTGCAGGAGAAGACCGACATTTAGAGCCGTCCTAATAGAATATTGACCGCGGATCAGCTGAGTGACAGCAGTGTGGGAGCGGAATGATATCAGGAGGAAATGAAGTTGTCGTTTTACGTCCTCGAGGCCCAGAATAGATTATTACCTCACAGGAACACAGCGTTTATGACCCGTCCCATTTCAGCGCCGTAACACTTTACTGTTCATATAAAAGCTCTTTATCTGCCGCCGTCAAATGGAAGGCTGGAGCAGCGAGCCAGGAACGAAACTTTAAACGTTTCTTTTAGTTTCTTTAAGTAAAATCCATAAACTTTGAGATTGGCTTAATGTTTACAGATAAAGTAACTAAAATGTAAATTCATTTAACTGTTTATTATTTATTGTTATTTTAATGTACAGGACTGTAAAAAATCTTACAAATAACAAATAAATACAAACAACATTACAACAATAAGTGATGATTTAATGTGCGTCTGTGTGTTTGTTTGAATATTTGCAAGCCTCTCATCGAGGAAGTCCAGTGTTAATTGTAGTCATTGTCCAACACTTGGTTTTGCTAATCAGTACATACTGAACGTAAATCAGGAGCTGCTGACGGGATTCAACAGATCCATGTGATGTCTGGAGTGCAGAGTTTGTTCTGCAGACCTTTTCAGTATGTTTTTAAAAACAAAGTTTTTGTTACTTTTCAATGCATTAATGTTAGATTGCATCTATTTTATATGATATGGTGAATTTAGAAGCAAAAACAAAGATTTTACACACGAGTTTGATTAGGGTAGGACTTTTTCACAGTGCTGTATGTTAATGTAGAGAGATTTTATTCACTGCAAAAAAACTGTACCTTGCCAAGTGAAATGATCTAAAATCCAGTCAGTCTATCTACTATTTCCTATTTTCAGATGGCTGTGCACTTATTATAAGATTATCTAGCTTATTTCTGGGTCATTCTCACTATAGTGGCAGATAATTTTACTGATTTAAGCACATTTCTTAAAACAAGCAAAATAATCTGCCAATATACTGAGATCATTTTACTTAGTAAAATTACCTAAAAAAATAAGGTAAAAAAAATAAATTCTAGAAATTTAAGTTAAATAATCTCATTTGTTTTGTTTTTGGTGCATCACAAATGTTCATGCAACGTAAAAGTCGCCTGCTGTTTTCAAATTTTGCTAAAAATAAAAAAATAAACAAAAATGAGAGGGTTTTATTCGCGACACCATACATGACACAAATATGGCCAAATATGCCGTAATTATTAAATTCTCTGTATCAGCAGGTTCACAGACTAATAACAGTGAAAATGCATTTTAGAGCTTCCAACTAAACCTGTTTCTGCTACAACTTAAACAGATCTATATGGTTATTTACTGTGCTTTACTGTCCCCCAAACACAAAACTTACAGATGAAGATGAGCTGTGAGTGTTTGGAAATCATTTCGGCTCATTTGCCACCCTGACGAGTCTTTCTGCATAAATTAAGCGCTGTGTTTCACTGATTATGTTGTCGGCTCACAGTTGACATCTGTTTGAAAATGAGGTTTTCTGGTTTGTAGCGAGTGTATTCAGTGTCTTAGCACTGATGCGTAAAATTCAGTCATATGATAATCACAGGTACGATTTGTTTCAGGTTCAGTGACGGCAGGAACGTCCCCTGATTGCTGAGCTGAACTGATAGATTTGCATAAATGAACAGATCAATTTGAATAACTTGATTTAATACGTTTTCTGCTCAGTGCATTTCATAATCTGTACTGTGTCTGTGCTGTTGCTGCTAGATGGTCCTTTTGAGGCAACTGTGTGATGATTTAAGCATGCAGTTAGCACAGCGCTAATTGGTGGGGTATACGCTTCCATTACCTGTAAGCAACATTAGCCTCATAGCCCCAGTGCTAAAACTATAGAAGCAAACTTCAGACACCAAACATGACTGGGTTGATCCACTACATTAAGGCCCAGTCCCATTTCTTCTGTTTACCCCTACCCCTTGTTTTCCAGGGTCTCCTTGTCTCTTGGAGCTGAGTTACAGGGTAGTGGTTGAGATCTTCCCTCTGAAATGGGAGCCCTCAAATAAAAAGAGCATCACTTCATTAACAGCTACCAGCGCTGCTCTGTAGGCGACCCTGCCAGTCTGCAGTGACAGCAGAGGAGGGTAAAGTTCAGCTCCTCACTGCTGGGCTTTAGTTACATTTAGGGCATCATATGACTTCAAAGAGGGGGGCAATTATTTATTATCACCCACCCCTAATTCTTCAGTGATATGAAGCTGAAGTCAGATATTCACCAGATTCTTGTTCAAATTTTCCCAGTTCCGCCTTAAATGGAGCAGCAGTTCTGATGCCTGAGGTGCCAGAATGTAACCATTTAAGGTAGAACGGGAAAGTTAGCTAGCTACCGAGACGTCAGCACTGTTAGTGATTTTTTATGTTTATGAAGAAAAGGATAATTATACACAAACGACATTAAACTAAGAAAATACAGTGGTTATTGTAATTTTTTAGAGTAAATTCTCACATTCGTGTGTTTCTTTGGTCTCTTGTTCAGCCATTTTCTGTTTTTTCTTTTTTCCTCATAACTCTCAATTTGGAGTCTCTGAAAACCCTCCGTTTTGAGGGTCACGTAGCCCCAACACTTCACCCCCCCCCCCATCTCAACAAGAATCAGGACACCCTACCCCTGGATGTGAACGCGCAAAACAGAGGGGTAGGGCTGAGTGGTAGGGGCGAGGGGTGAATGGGACGAGGCCTGAGACTAAGAGGGCTGAGAATGAGAGATTTTGCCAAGCTGTCGCTTTAACGCATTTCACTTCTTCCTCCTGTAGGGTCCCATCGGTCCAGCCGGAACTGAAGGAAAGCAGGGAGAGAAAGGCGCGAAGGTGAGGCCGAATCCGCCTGGCACATGCTGGAGATCACACGGCAACACATTGAATCCGTACTAGCCGAGTAGAAACCACAGGATTTTCATTACTGTGTGGAAAGTTTTCTTGGTCTGAAGCTCTGCGGTCTGTCATGCGTGCAGGCTTTTGTCGTCTGACGTCAGGCGTGACTCTGTACAGACGAGCAGAAGCCTCTTTTCAACTTCTCCGCACATCAAAGACTAATTGGATGCCAAGATAGCTTAATCCGCTCGGTGTGTTCTGTCAGGGAGGCTGATAGAAAATCTATATCTTCTTTTTTTCCATCCAAAAAGACCCAATTTTCAGAGCAGCTGCGTGAACTGATGATATTAACCATCCCATCAAAATTTTACTTCACCTTCGCTCAGACGAAAGAAATGTTCTAATTGAGATCTGCTCTTGGTCTCGGGTTCTTCTCCTAAAGCCAGTTCGAATCAGAGTGAGACTGAAGCTGTTTTCTCCTGTTTCCTGAGAAATAACCTGGAGATTTTCTCACTGTCACACATGTGGATTAACTCTTTAGAGTCGGACTCGTCTCAGCCCCGTCTCAGCTGAGTAATTTCTCCATAAGAACAGTGTGAGATCTCATCATTCTCTTATTGAGCTCTGTTCTAGATCACAGAACCCTCTCAGCAGTCCGTCAGTGCAGGAGAAGTCACGCTTTTCTCCTTCATCACCAGAACGTCTCACAGTGAGACGCTGATGTTGATCTCCTCTTTTCTCTCCTTGTTTAAGAGAGAATTCAGAAATCAGTGATCCTTTATTAATATGATAGAGATCTGCTTTACTTCTCTGAGACGATCTCAAGGTTTTCTCAAGATCGTCTCAGAGAAATTAAGCAGATCTCAGTATCATATTGATGAAGCGTCACTGATCTCTGAGCTGTTTGAACTCCTCAGGAAAAAGAGGAGTCAACTCAGGTCTCACGTGAGAGTTCTGGTGATGAAGGAGAAAAGCATGAGTTCTCCTTCTGCACTGACGGACTGTTGAGAGGGTTCTGTGGTCTAGAACAGAGCTGGATAAGAGAACGATGAGATCTCACACTGTTCTTATGGAGACATTACTCAGCTGAGACGGGGCTGAGACGAGTCCGACTCTAAAGAGTTAATCCACATGTGTGATTTTGATCAAAGTGAGAAAATCTGTGTTTTATTTCTCAGGAGAAAACGGCTTCAGTCTCACTCTGGTTTCAAACTGGACTCGACTGTGTCCAGGAGAAGAGCCTGAGACCAGGAGCAGATCTCATTTAGAGTATTTCTTACCTCTGTGTATCGACTTTGTGCCATACACTCAGTCTACATTACATAATTAATTAAATTTAAACATTATAGCATTATCATCACCGGAGATGACCAGCTTACTCCAAAAGTAGAAAACTCATGAAATAAGAAATATAGTTATAGTGTGTATATATATATAAAAGCTGTGAGGGTTATACATACTGATTTCTCCTCTCTCCCTCAGGGTGACCCGGGTGCTGAAGGGCCCGTGGGTAAGACTGGACCTGTTGGCCCTCAGGGACCCCCTGGAAAGGCTGGTGCTGAGGGTCTAAGAGGCATCCCTGGCCCTGTGGTAAGAGATAAAGGATATTTTAAGGATATTTAAGATGTTTACAGAGAAACCTCCACTTCCTCAGCTCTGATTGACTCTTTAAGGCGAGATGCAAGGAATGTGCCTATTTCTGGTGTCTTATCTCTTAAAAGATGGTTCTTCAGGGTTCTTTAGTAAAGAAAATGGTTCTATATAGAACACATGAACACTCAAAAACACTTTGCATGCTTAAATGGATCTTTGCATGGTGAAAGGTTCTTCAGACCGATGGAGAATGTGCTGATTATAGAATCTTTTGAAAAGGGTTCTATATAGGAACAAAAAGGGTTCTGCTACTGTTACGAGCTTATGTAACAATAGAAGAACCCTTTTAGGTACATAGAACCACATACAACACATTCTCCATCAATCTGAAGAACCATTTCATGATTCAAAGAACCATTTAACCATGCTCATGGTTCTATGTAGAACGATTTTCTTCACTAAAGAACCCTTAAAGAACCATCTGGTGTACCTTTTTCATTATGTGATTTTTGAGTGCTGTTGTTTAGTTGATGTGATCTAACAGGCAGAAATCAAAAAGATTGTTCTTTAGTACAGGAAGTTCTATATAGAACCATTTGCATGTCTGAAATTGTTTTCAGATTGATGGAGAACGTGTTGTTGATGGTTCAATATAGCACCTAACAGGGTTCTTCTATTGATGCAAGCTTGACATCGCAACTACAGAAGATGGTGCTATATAGAACCACTTTGATAAAGGTTCTATAGGGAGCCAAATATAACACAATCATTACATTAATCTGAAGGACCATTTCACCATGCAAAGAACCATTCAAGCATGCAAATATATAGGACTCATGGTTCTAAACAGAACCATTCCCTTTACTAAAGAACCATGTTTTTTGATAGTGTACCTTTTTAATTTAGCATGAATAGGAATATAAATCAGTCACACTTCAGGCCAAAATGCTGCGTGTAAGGATGGCGGCGATTCGAGCTGCGCAAAAGCTTTTTTACACACTATTGCATTCTAAAATTTGTCATGATGCAGTTCATAATGCGACGCAAGTGCAAGCTGCATTCTGAGCATTACAGCAGGGGGCGCTATAGTGGCAGCCAAGCCTAGCTTAACTGTCTATTCTCGTCTACTGTTCACATGCTTAGTCACTGTGGCTGTTGGAATAGCAGTAGATCCCGTTCACGGACACTCTGATTTTTCGTCTAGCGCCCCCTTGAGTGCGAAGTGTTAGCCCTGTGTGACATAAGAATGCACAGTGAGTTTGTGTGTACAGTAAAATAAGCCTTAAGAAAGGATGAAAATGAATTTGAGTCTGAATGCTGTCGAGGGTAAACAAACGTACCGTGCTCTTTCAAAGTGATTGATTGGCCTGTTTATCCGTTCGGTAAAAGAATCTCATAGAACGTTCTTGCAGTGCTACGTAGAACACTGTGTCTAGCATGTGCAAGCTGTATGTTGTGTGGGTTTGTGCACACATTAGAAACTCTAGCACACTGGTACTGGTTGAGAGCCCCCTAGTGGCCGGAGCTTCTAAGCCAGTAGACCCAGTTTGTAATTTGCCCCCGTTAAAAAGCCTGGAGCTCAGTCAAGCTGTTTGATTAGATCTAATAGATGTTCTACACCTTCACAGGGTGAACAAGGACTTCCCGGAGCTTCTGGACAGGACGGACCCCCTGGACCACTGGTAAGAAAACATTGCTAAATCTGCATTACTCACCTCAACACTTCACACAACTATGTTGAATCACTTGATTTAACATTACTGCTCTTGGTGTGTGATGATGTCTTTCCCCCTCATGTTTAGGGTCCTCCCGGTCTGCCCGGTTTGAAAGGTGACCCCGGCAACAAGGGCGAAAAGGTACGGTTTATTCACAGTTTCAATACAAACCTCCTCTGTTTACCCTGAAACAAAAGCTTAAAATGTTTGAGCTCTGAATCACAGCAGCTCACAGCAGCTGAAGAGGATGTTCTGATGGGAGTTTTGTGCACACAAAGGAGCCGTTTCTCTTATTGAGCATATTTCATTGTATCGTTTATTATATTATGGAAAACAGTGTCGACTTGAATAAAAATCATCAGTTTCTCAAACAATAGTGCTGAGCTCTGCCGACGTTTGAAGCCCTGAGAACTATACATTACAGAGCTGTGCTTTCAGTCTGACAGATGATGATTAAACTGTTACTTAGCCTGCAATTCATAACCAGCACAATATACGCTCATAAATCTGTTTTATGAGCAGACGCCGGCGCTGCTGAAGTGTATCAGAGTTACAGCGAGCCAGGAGAAAATAACTGATAATGAATTCTTCCAAACACTTCACACATCGCACACTAAAACCACTATAAACACCTCTTTATACCAAAAAATTATGACCCGTCTTTATTAGAGATAAAGTTCTGTTTATCTGCTCTGTTGTGGGGAGAAGGTAGAAAACAAAGGGTTTATTGGCTGATTTGTGCACTCGCTGTAGTGCAGCAGCTTTCCAAGCCATTTAGAAGTAGCCTGTATTTTTAGCCCTTTATGTTAAACATAAGAAAGAACACTAAGTTCCAGGATGTTAAAGAAAGCAGATTATATTGAACCAAACAAAGACAGTTAAATCCTGCTGATTGTAAATTAAACAGCTGTGCTGGGGTCTTAAACTCTTCCTCCTCCTGTATGAAGGATTTAGCTCCAAAATGCATAAATGCCACTTAATGAATTTTGGGGTTGAGCTTCACACATACAAGAAATATCAGTGCTATATTAATGTAAAAATGCATTATTTGACAAAGTGCATTATACGCCAGCTGTTATTCCTCATTCCTGATATAAAACCTTCCTCATTACAAATTAATGTATATGGCATTTTGGAGTTAAACCATTTAAAAAGTTATTTATCTTGGCATTAAACGTGTTTGTCCAGAAAAAAAGAGCAATATTAGAATAAATGCAAAAATATTAATACAGTAAATAGATTTTCTGTGTGTCAGTATGCCGTCTAACCTTATTTCCTGTCCTCTCCTCCACAGCGTCCAGTGTTTACAGATACCGTTCAGTGTCTGCTTTATCTAATCAGTACATCATTAAATTAATGATTTGAACGAATCCTTGTGAGTGCAGGGAAAAGTCAAGAACCAAACCTGTGTTCTTCTTACCTACATATACATAACTTTACTGGACACAGCACATTCTGACCACTGTATTTATATTTATGTGTATATATTCTAATGTTTTATACTGTTTCACTGGCAAAAACACACTTACTGCACACAGATAAATCATTTTAAACCATGTTATACGTTGTATATAACAGTGGGTGTTTAGCACTGAGTGATTAGACCTTCAGAGATGCCTGTGACACTGTTTGGTTCTCCCTGCTGTTCTTCGGTCTGTAGTTGTGTTACACAGTACTGTAATATACTGTCCTGCTCTGTTGCTCCATATAAAGTGGAATTTAACCTGTTCTAGATCACTGTGCCAATACCGACACCCTTCTGTCGAATCATTCACTTCCGGTTTATTATACATCAGTTTTATGCATCAAATGGTTCAGCAATGATTCAGTCAGCTGTTAGAAAGCTTCAAATCTCAGGATTCGACTCCCACAAACCATTTTATGATCCGTTATTCACAGCAGTGTCTACTGACTCATTTGCAGCATCAGCACCAAATGAGCAAACAAATCTGTGTGTCCTCACCTTCAGAGCCTCATCGCCTCCACAGAGGCACCATCATCCAAAGCATGTGGTCTGATAACACAGCAAGAGTCAGAGATCAGTCTGGAGATCTATGAGTCAGGAGGAAATAAACTCCTCCGTTCTAGACTCTGTTACTCTGAGTCAGTAATACATACTGTTACTCTAAAAAAACTTGAGTGTTTCCTTTCAAATGAGACCGAGATCGTGACTGTAGCCCAGAGTATGTGGGAACAGCGCCCCCTTCACTCTGGGTACACTGTTACAGGCTAATATGGGGTGACAGTTAACAGCTTAATGTGTTGTCCTCCCTCTGCAGGGTCATCCTGGTCTGATTGGTCTGATTGGGCCTCCAGGTGAGCCGGGAGAGAAGGGAGACAGAGGCTTACCTGGACCTCAGGGAACAGGTGGAGGCAAAGGTGACCCTGTAAGTGATGCACCAACCAGCACACCTGCAAACACCATGATATAAATCATATAAAAACTGGTTTGTGCACCTTAACGCTGATGTCTGTCTAAACTATGTGAACTTTGTTCATCTTCAGATGATGGTGTACGTTATTACCACAGTTATTGTTCAGAGCCTTGATGTGGTGATGTGTTGGTTTGTTTCTGAATGCAGGGTCTCGGAGGTCCTCCTGGTCCTGTTGGTCCTCCAGGTCCTCCTGGTATTCCTGTAAGTTTAATTCAACTTCCTTTAGAGCTGCTCGATTATGGCACAAATCATAATCACGATTATTTTGGTCTATATTGAGAGTAAGATTATATGCTCTTATATATATCATGCATTCACTGAACTTTAAAAACTAACTAAATTAACGTTTTAACAGTGGAACTGTAAATATACTGTAACTGAACTGTAAATGTAATTCAACTGAAAAACAAACAAAAATAAAGGAAAGAGGCGCTGGATTTATAACACTAGACAGAACAAGAGTGTCATTGAGAAACAGAATGCAGCACAATAATTGTTTCATCTCAATTATAGTGTTTTCATAATTGTTGGAAGCCAAAATTATAATTAGAATTAAAATGAGATTTAATAACCCAGTCCTAACTTCCATACACAGTTCCTGCTTTTATTCCTGCTTTAAACCTTTTGCCGTCCATGATTTATCTTTTTCTCTGTCCATAATTAGGGAACCCAAGGACAAAAAGGATCTAAAGGATCTACTGTAAGTAACTGAGCCTCTATAATATAATATTTTGTATATATGTATATTTTGCTGCTGTCTGTATAAAACCTTGCATCTCCAAAATGGTAACTTTACAGGAGAAGGAAAAAACATACTTTACTTTTAATGTAAGTCAATGGAACCAGATGTTTTCCATGTAATTTTGGGTTGTCTTCTTTTGGTCCATTGATCATGAAATTTACACACAATGTAAAGAACAACAGGCATTTTCAAATTATGTCAAAAACTGAAAAACGACAAAATTGGAGATACGATGTTTTGTTCCAACAGCGATATGTATATTATATTCATACTTGCACATCTATATTTTGTTTACCACTCTGCTGTCTACATCATCACTTACCACTGTTACTTTCCTGCACTTTATATGTAAATAATACTGTATTTCGCACTTCTGGTTAGATACTAACTGCATTTTATTGGCTCTGTAACTCTGCACAATGACAAAGTTGAATCTAATCTAATCTAATCTAATAATATTCACTACAGGGTTGGATATTAGCACCACCATCCGCCTAATACGGGTGATTTTGTGTACTGGCGGGAGAATTTGCCCGACCTACCAGCCACAGTGGCAGATAAACAAAAATACACACAAATAACGCAACTGTAACCTAATACAGACTGAATCACGAGTCTGATGTTTCACTCAGACACTTTAACAAGGAGACTCAGGAGGTTACAGAGGCAGCTAAATGCTAATTACCAACAACGGTTTAAAAAATCGCTTCAGATCCAGCAGCCTGGGCTAACGCTGCAGCAAACAAACAAAAACAGTGTGGAGTTCACACAGGGGTCAAGAGGTCTGAAGAGAAAACCTCCCCGGAGGAGACAGAGGCCGAAGAGGGGAAGGTCAACAAAAACTCATTTTCTTTAATGAGAAAAGCCAAAAATGGGGAGTCCTGTGATTGGCTAGTTTACAAGACAAGCCAGATAATGTTTCTTATTCAGCAGTATCTCCCTGAGTCTGTTCTTAAGTGTGTTCTTGATAAAGATCCCGAGGCATGTCGTGTTCTTAAAGCGCAGAACTGTTCTCACCTTTGTGCTCTTGAGTGTGTGGATTCTGTTCTTGACTAAGAACAAATAAGAGAACACTGGTGAGTCAGAGTCTTCGTTAAAACTGCGTAAGTGGGTTTAGGAAGAAATTTCTTCTTAAGAACGGTTGGTGAACGAGGTCCGATGTTCTGTTCAGTATGTCGTCAACGCGCTTCGGGTGCTAATGAGGCTGCGTTCACACAGCAGGTTAAAGGGTCTGACATCCGGGCCTGAATGAGTTCCAGCTCGCTGTGAAAAAGGCCATGTTGTCCAGCCGCGGCCACTTCTCTGGTTTATTTATACTTCGCTTTCAGCCTTTTTTATTTTTTGGATTTTTTTCCAGTTTTCTCATCAATTTAGTCGTCTCCAGTTCCACCCACTAATCAGGGCTCCTCCAATCACACACTACCCCCAGCTCTAGGAGGGTGAACACAGTGTTCCTCTGAGTTCTGTGAAGCTCCAGCGCATCTTTTCATGCAGCGTCACTGTACAGCTGAACGCGCTCGGAGGAGACGCTGACCACCAGATCTGTTACATCAGCTAACAGTGATGTAACGCCTGTGCTGGCTAGCTTCACGCTGAGTGATGGGGGAGCGAGGACAGTTGTGCTCTCTTGGACTCCCGGACACAGACGGTTGTAGCATCACCAGGGATCGAACCCGTGACCTCCTGATGGTGTCCTGATGTGGGTCGATGCTTAGTGCTTTCAGACTTTTCACTTCAGACATTTTGCTGGACCACGTGTTATTTTCACCACAAATTCCTTTGGAAAAACTAAAAGCAGAAAAATTGACTTTTGGGATGGTGACGTTAAATTCAGGTTTAGGTCTATATACTATTACTGAATACAGTAATACACAAATCAATAGAAACCTATAGAAGTCCTCGCAAAGACTGTAAGACAAGATGATGTCTGTGTGTCAGAGTTTAAATATTTACGTTATGAAAGATCTTGTATTATTTTTCATACGCAGTCACACCTTCTCGTTAAAACAAAGTGTCTGGTAAACAAATTAAGTGGCAGGTAGATTTGGGAATCCAGCTGCTGCTGTGGCAGACGGACAAGAGTTAATATTGAGCCCTAATTTACGAACACATCAATATTCACCTCTGAGAGTGATTTAACTGTAAACATACAGTGCTGTTTAAATGTCTTGATTCTGTGAACTTTTATTGTTTTTCCTAAAATATGAGCAGTTTATCATTTGTTGCTGCTGCAGTTTCAGGATTAGTATGTTTATCTATGCATGTGTCTTTCATTAACTGTTCAGTCCAAAATGCACCCTCATCTGTGTTTCTGAAGGGTCCAGCGGGTCAGAAGGGAGAGCCTGGACTGATAGGACCCCCCGGAGCACCTGTAAGTAAAGACTCCATAACCTTTGGCTTAACATGATATTTATTTTTTAAAGCAAGAGAACTTTTCATAAATCTGAATGGCAGTGATGGGTTAATATGAGTCAGAGATAATTAATATGAAATTACAGCATCACAACAGAATCATGTTTATAAATAGAACCATTACTCTCTTGAAAAGGTGGTTCTTCGAGTGTTCTTTTTACAACTATGCGTTCTATATAGAACCCTTTGCCTGGTGAAGGCGTTCTTCAGATTGATGGAGAACATGTTGTATATGGTTTTATGTACACTCTTAAAAAAGATGCTTCAAGGGTTCTTTAGAGAAGAAAATGGTTCTATATAGAACCATGAGCACTCATAACTGTTTGCATGATTAAAGAGTTCTTTGCATCATAAAAGGGTTCTTCAGATTGATGGAAAATGTGCATGAATGTGCTATAGATGGTTCTTCTGTTGTTACAAGCTTGACATCATAAAAACAGAAGAACCTTTTTTGGTGCTAAAAGGAACCCTTTTCATAAAGGTTCTATATAGAATCATATACAACATTCTCCTTCAATCTGAAGAACAGCTTCGCCATGCAGAGTTCTTTGAGAGTTCATGGTTCTATATAGAACCATTGTCTTTACTAAAGAACCCTTGAAGAACCATCGATTCTGTTAACTTCTATGTGATATTTATATCTCTGGTATTTGGTGTTATTGATCTGTGATTCTGTTTCAATCAGGGTCCTCCTGGTGACATCATCCAGCCGCTGCCCATCCAGATGTCCAAGAAGTCGAGGAGGTCACCAGACATGCAGGACGACGAAGCGGCCGGAATGATGGACTACGGCGTGGAGGGCATGGAGGGAATGGAGGACATATTCGGTTCCCTCAACAACCTCAAACTGGACATTGAGCGCATGAAGTTCCCTCTGGGCACGCAGGACAATCCGGCCAGAACCTGCAATGACCTCCAGCTCAGCCAGCCGGACTTCCCTGACGGTGAGTTCACAGAACATAGGGACGGGACGATTAGCACACTTGAAGACGGTTCTTCAAGGATTCTTTAGCAAAGACGGTGGTTCTGTATACAACCATGGTTCCCTGCATGGTGAAACGGTTCTTCAGATTGATGGAGAACATATATGGTTCTATGTAGCACTAAAAAAAGGGTTCTTCTGTTGTTACAAGCTTGACTTCATAACCCTAGAAAAACTAGGTTTTTGGTGCTATATAGAACCCTTTTCCAAAAGGTTTATATAGAACCATATACAGCACATTCTCCATCAATCTGAAGAACCATTTTACCATGAACTGGTTCTATAGAGAATTTATGCTTCTAAATAGAATCATTTAACAACCTCTTTAAAAAGATGGTTCTTCAAGGGTTCTTTAGCAAAGGCAGTGGTTCTAAATAGAACAGTGGTTCTTTGCTGGATGAAATGGTTCTTCAGATTGATAGAAAACATGTTGTGTATGGTTCTATATAGCACCAAGAAAGGTTCTTTTATTGTTACAAGCTTGACATCATAACACTAGAAGAACCATTTTTGGTGCTATATAGAACCCTTTTCCAAAAGGTATATAAAGAACCATATATAACACATTCTCCATCAATCTGAAGAACCATTTCACCATGAACCGGCTCTATATAGAACTTATGCTTCTAAATAGAACCATTAAAAAGAAGGTTCTTCAAGTGGTTCTTTTTAGAGCCATGAGTTCTATATAGAACCCTTTGCTTGGTGAAATGGTTCCTCAGATTGATGGAGAATGTGTTGTATATGGTTTTATGTACACTCTTAAAAAAAGATGGTTCTTCGAGGGTCCTTAAGAGAAGAAAATGGTTCCATATAGAACTATGAGCACTCAAAGAACCCTTTGCATCATAAAAGGGTTCTTCAGATTGCTGGAAAACACGCATGAATGTGCTATAGATGGTTCTTCTGTAGTTACAAGCTTGGAATCATAAAAAATAAAAGAAACTTTTTGGTGCTAAATAGAACCCTTTTCACAAAGGCTCTGTATGGAATCATATTCAACACATTCTCCTTCAATCTGAAGAACCATTTCACCATGCAGAGAACCATTTAAACATGCAGAGAGTTCATGGTTCTATATAGAACCATTGTCTTTACTAAAGAACCCTTGAAGAACCATCTTTTTTAAGAGTGCACAAAACCTAATGATTATATTTCAGATCTAATATAAATAATATACGAATCAGTTAAATTTCTATGAGTAATTAATGAGTTTCATGCTGTTGAACTGTGTTTTGGTGACAGGAGGATCAGTATCTGTGTAAATATCAGTGTTTAATGTGATCTGATATGGTTGGATGTTGGAGTTACAGTGTGCTGTGTGTTTGTAGGGCAATACTGGATCGATCCCAACATGGGATGCATAGGCGACTCCTTTAAAGTGTACTGTAACTTCACTGCGGGAGGTGAAACCTGCATCTACCCTGATAAAAAGTCCTCTGGAGTAAGTACTGTCCATTAATAACACTGACCTCTAAGCTCCGCCCACAAACGCTTTCCTTCATAGGGACTGTCGTGAGGTCAGACGACGTAACACTGAAATGACATCTTAAGAGAAATCATCTTAGATCTCATCTGAATATCTAATGTTTCTCACTCTGAGGTGATTGTGTGAACATTATACGATTATTCAAGTTAATTCTGTTTTTTTATTGAGTAAAAGTATCTCACTATAGTGGCAGATCATTTTCTTAAAATTAAACAAAATGATCGGCTTATATAGCGAAAATATTGCTTAATAAAATTTCTCAAAACATAAAAAAACATGTAGAAATAAGATAAATAGTCAGTGTAATGAGAAACATGGCTTAGTTTATATCACCTTTAATACCATAATACCTACATTTAGAGTCAGTTATTCGTTCAGCCTAATGAGAAACTGTAGAACAGACTCAGTTTATATCACAATACCTACATTTAGAGTCGGTTATTCATTCAGCCTAATGAGAAACTGTAGAACAGACTCGGTTTATATCACAATACCTACATTTAGAGTCAGTTATACATTCAGCCTAATGAGAAACTGTAGAACAGACTCGGTTTATATCACAATACCTACATTTAGAGTCAGTTATTCATTCAGCCTAATGAGAAACTGTAGAACAGATTCAGTTTATATCACAATACCTACATTTAGAGTCAGTTATACATTCAGCCTAATGAGAAACTGTAGAACAGACTCGGTTTATATCACAATACCTACATTTAGAGTCAGTTATTTATTCAGCCTAATGAGAAACTGTAGAACAGACTCAGTTTATATCACAATACCTACATTTAGAGACAGACAGTGCAAATGTGCAATAACAGGCATATATGGTGAGAGGCAGATGACGTGTATCTCAGCCCCTCTTCATAGGCTCATAACTCCGGATGTGAGTGTCGTATGATCTCGTGATAAGATGGAATGGAAAGGGCGACTCTACAGATTCAGAAAGTGTTTGAACTGGATTTCTGAGCTGGATCATCACAAATAAACACAAACAGATACTGAAACAGCCTGTGGACCTCAGAGGGTTCATGAATAATGAATGGAATATTTACAGCTTGTCTAAACTCACTTCAGTAGCTGTGAAAGAGCACACGTGTGGGCAAAGTCTGAATAACGCAGATTAGATTTGTGTTTCAAACCAAATCAAACGATTTGCCGTCATTACTTTTGTATCTAAGTCTGTTTATTTTTCTCCACACAGGTTAGAATATCTAACTGGCCGAAGGAGACGCCAGGCTCCTGGTTCAGTGAATTCAAGCGTGGGAAAATAGTGAGTGTCATTTGTCATGGATTTGAAAGGAGAAGCGAGAACAGACAGACGGACAGACAGACAGCAGCTTGTTTTTTGTTTAGTCTGGCAGATTCTGTCAGCAGCTCCTTCTTCTGTTTGTTTCTGTAACCTCTGCTCTGCTCCACAGCTTTCCTACGTGGACGTGGAGGAGAGCTCGATCACCTCGGTCCAGATGACGTTCCTCAAGCTGCTGAGCTCTTCAGCCCGGCAGAACTTCACCTACATCTGCCACCAGTCCGTGGCCTGGCACGACGCCAAATCCGACAGCTACGACAAAGCGCTGCGCTTCCTCGGCTCCAACGACGAGGAGATGTCGTACGACAACAATCAGTTCATCAAGGCCCTCTCAGACGGCTGCTCGGTAAACTGTCACAGAAATATACTGTCAATCACAGTCAGAGCTGACCTTTTAACCACAGTTCATCACCAGCAGGGACAAAAGCATGCTGAGGTTTCAGATTATTTCAAATCGGATTGGATTCAAATCGGATTAAAGCTTTTTAAGTCCATATCGTGTTGTGTTTAAGTAGAAGAGATATTTTATGATTTGAATTTGACAAACCATGATTTTGTCATTGAAACAGAGGAAGTCAGACTGTAATGGTGATGCTGAATGTAAATCAAATGCACATGTGATTCATCAGGGCCGGTCTAGATCATTTGAATACTGGAATAATTGAATAACGAGTAATCGTTCATTAAATTCAATTCTGTATTTGGTTTTTATTAATAATTTAATCAGTGAAGGACTTTAAAACAGTCAGTGATTGTTACAGTATGGAAATTGTTGGTGATAAGTCGATAATTCTAATTTGCTGCAGGGATGCAGGAAGGTGTTTTAAGTTCTGGGTGCTGAAATTTTAAGCAGAGTATTTGTGACGTGACTGATGATGTCCTGCGAAACATAATTTGCATCAAACAGAGGGCGTCAAACAGAGGGCGTCAAACAGAGCGCGTCAAACAGAGGGCGTCAAACAGAGGGCGTCAAACAGAGGGCGTCAAACAGAGGGCGTCAAACAGAGGGCGTCAAACAGAGGGCGTCAAACAGAGCGCGTCAAACAGAGGGCGTCAAACAGAGGGCGTCAAACAGAGCGCGTCAAACAGAGGGCGTCAAACAGAGGGCGTCAAACAGAGCGCGTCAAACAGAGGGCGTCAAAGAGAGGGCATCAAAGAGAGGGCATCAAACAGAGGGCATCAAACAGAGCGTGTCAAAGAGAGGGCATCAAAGAGAGGGCATCAAAGAGAGGGCGTCAAACAGAGGGCGTCAAACAGAGCGCGTCATACAGAGGGCATCAAACAGAGGGCATCAAACAGAGGGCGTCAAACAGAGGGCATCAAACAGCGCTGTAATGTCACGAATGTGCTGGGGTGAGCAGCTCCAGAGCTTCGGACCTGATGCCCCAGGAAGACAATCTAAGCCGGCAGGCAAACAATGAATCATTTAAACCCTATACTTCATTGAAAACAGTAAAAACTGAGAAATTTTATTGTGTTTTTACAAAAATATATGCCTGTTTTGAATTTAATGCCAGCAACACGTTCCAGAAATTTAGGACAGGGCCATGTTTACCACTCTGCTGCATCACCTCTTCATTATTTCAATATTTTATATGTTGTCTTTGTATTATTTTCAGTTAAATATAGGGTTTGAATGATCTGCATCATTGCATTCTGTTTTTATTTGCATCCTGACTTTTTAGGAAACGAGGTTGTAGTTATGTGATCAAATAATGGTATTTGCTTACCAATTTAAATAACGATGCAATGTAAATCGAATTCATAGCAAAACAACAACAAGTCTAGACTTCTAAGGGTTAAAGGCTGTTAATGTTGGTTTTCGGGTTATTGTTATTGATCGTCCACTGATGGAAGCGTCTTTTTTTGTTGTTTTTAGCTGAAGCAGGGCTACGCGAAGACCGTGCTGGAGATAAACACGCCCCGTATCGATCAGGTGCCCATCATTGACGTCATGTTGAATGACTTTGGAGATGCTAACCAGCGGTTTGGTTTTGAGGTAGGCCCGGTCTGCTTCCTCGGCTGAAGGGCTTCCTCAGGTCAGGACGGGTCGAGCAGTGTGGACAGCTAACATCGCCACACACACACACACATACATACATACACATACATACACACACACACACACACAGACACCCCTACACACACTTTTGTTGGCTAACACCAGCGCGGTGCAATCACCATGGGAATGTTCACCGTCCTCGTGTGGCCGCAATGAAAACGACTGAAACCTGCAACCGGAGAACCAACGTGAGGAAAGACGTGAACTGACTGGAGAACAGTGGTGCACTTTCAACTAAAAAACGGAGGATCACTTCCTTTCTCCATCCATCCATCCCTCCATCCATCCATCCATCCCCAACCAAGCCGAATCCCTCCATCTGACCCCAGCCAAGCCCAATCCACAAGCCCAATTTTACAGTTATGCAAAATTACAGTGCTAATCCCAGTGCCAGGCTTAATCCCAGCCTCAGTTTTATTCCTAATCCCAGTTTTATCTGAAACCCTACATCTCTAAAGGGCTGAACCAACACAGTTTCATAGTAGATAATAAATAATATATAATATATACTGAACAATAAGTCCAATCATAAGAATAATTCACCAATTAGGATGATGTTATTTGCATAATGCTAATCGGTGGTTGTTCACATTCATTGATTTATTGCCAGCTGTCCCTTTAAGATTAATAACCAAATAATAAGACATTTCCTCTCCCAATCCCAATCCCAATCCCAATCCCACTACCCTTGGATGTTCCTCCAGGTGCTTCCTAGAAAACACCCCCAGCAGCAGCTCTCGTCCTAAATACCCGAAAACTTGAGGTGCTATGGAAAGTGCATTGTTTAAATATAACTGTAATTATTATTTTGTACATTTTCTTTCTGATTCAGTTTTCAAATCTTGCATGTGTATCAGAAATGCATCTGACTCTTTCATCTGATGAAATGTTGGTACCTATACAGAGAGAGTTTTTCTCCAGATATGGTTCGTTTTTTAATGTTTGTTTTTTATTTTTACCCTGATGTCCCTGTCATCACTCCAATAAAAGCAGCATTCAAAAGCATCCTATATTTGTAATGATAGAGCATCCCTCTTGTAGATATTGACCACTTTAAGCAAAGACGGGTGTCCAAATTTCCAATTGGCCGGCTGCAGATTGTGAAGTAGCGGCTGGAAGTGAGATGTTTGTGGACTTTGTGATTTGACCCAGTAATGTTCTGTGTTCTTACGTGGAGGCTGTGCTGATCACTTCTACAGTGCAGTCCTGACTCAGGAGAACTCCACCCATCTTCTCTCAGTGTTTGAGTGGTTTGGTGTGAAATGGTTCTCAGATTTCTTCACAGCGTTGGTGATATAATTATGTAATATCAATGATGGTAAAATCGTGGTAAATCTGGATTAATACGTTTCTCATTAACTGTCCTGTGATCTTTGACCCCTTCAGTGTTTAGAATCTCTAAATAAATGATTTTTTTGCTTCATATTTAATGACTTTTCCTAAATCAGGGCTGTCAAACTCAACCAACTCAACTGGCCATCGTTTGTTCAAAATGTGCCAAAACTACATTCAACTACAATACTTGAGCGATTCAAGAGCAATTTTAAATAAAAACAAATTGTTTTATATAAAATAAGACTACATTATATGCAGACCACTGTAAAACCAATTTAAATGTCCACGGTAGGTTTATTAAAACTGCCCATTCGCTTGAACTGGACACCTGACCTGGCATCTTCATTCTGTTTGGTTTGTTTTTGTGGTGCAGTCCCATAGATCATTGTTGGGGAGGAGGTGGGAGCACACACTATGTTGCAGTGCATGCTGGGAACTGTAGTGCAGTTCATGGTGAAATGAGTGAATATTAATAGAAAATGAAAATCATGCTGGCCGAATACGACTTGGCCCTCGGGCTTTGTGTTTGACACATGGGTCCTAAATTAATGAGGACAACTGGGTATAAAATTAACATGTTTTCAATATCCTGTACATATTTTGTACGCATCATCTGTGTTCTTTGGGGTCCTGTTGACCACAGACTGTTTTAGCTGTACAAAACAGAAATGTCAACATTTTACGCACATTTGGTTGTTTTAGATGACATTGAGGCCACCGTTACATGCAATTTTATAATCTTCCCTCTGCTTTAGGGCCCAGACCTAACAGAACCGCACCTGTATCAGCGCTAGAACCACTTATAGTTAACACCACAGCAGAACTTTGATTTTTAGATGTTTAGATTTAATCGCTGAGTGCAAGAATAAAAGATCTTAGTAAATCTGAGAGCTGTTTCACATCAAACCACTCTGACCGACTTTGTTTACACCTTAACCATTAAATTATGTAGAAATTTGGAAAGATCAGTGGAGTTGTCCTTGTCTCAGACTGACTTCAGTGGTATATACCTCTTTAAGGAAGTGCGAGAAACCCTGTACACACTGAAAAACGTGACGAATTAACTTGATTGAAATATGTACATCATTTCTGCATGAAAGAACACAGTTTGTTTACTTTTATTGTGTTTTATTCACGTGAAAATGATGGGAATCGAGTAATTCCAGCACATTGCTTCAGTTTATGTCTATATATTTTGGGAGGGGAGTTAATAAACACATGTTAAACATCTGCTCTGCTCTGTTGTGAATGGCAACACTGCCCAGCTCTCAGATGCTCTGTGATCAGAATTGGAACGTGATTTTCGTCAGTTCATCGATATTAAAACTGGATTTTGACCAGCTCTGTATTAGATGTGTTAATTGTGGACTGTGTGTATGAATCAGTCAGCCATGCATTTTTGTTCTGTGTTGCTGTATTTGCTCCGAGGCTTTGCTGCATTCCTCGTATTTAAGCTTCTGTGGTACGATGTGTTCAGATGGTGTGGTTTTATCTTGCAAGGCTCCGGCCGTTTTGTTTGATTTCTTCATATTTCTTTTGTTTCCTCTCTCTGGATCTGTGTATGTCCCTCAGTCCCCCTCCAGATACATGACAGTAGACTTCTAAATTTATACGCTCGTGTAATTTTGCCTATAATTTATGTAAAACCTGGAATAAATGATTGGTACAAAGTAGGTAGTTCTGCTCCATTCTAGTGCTGGTGTACTTTCTTCAGGAGTCTTCGACCCACTTGCCGTGAAGATGAAGCGAGTAAGTAAACACCATTATGTTTTATGCCGTTTCGGCTGGAACGCAGCTGAGGACAAACAGTCTTTTGTTTTGTTTTGTTTGGTCAAATCACTTGGAATTGATTTTTATTTATTTATTTATTTTTGTGCAAGAGAATTCCATCGCGTTTCGATCTGCACACGTCTGCGAAGTCAGACAGAGTTAAAGCAGAAAAAGTGGAGTTTTTTTTCCCCCCTTTGGTCCAGAAAAAAGTCCAGAACAAAAAGAACACAAAGGAAAGTCCATCTGTAGGTTTACATGCATTAAGATCTCATTCAATTCCAGCGTGTTTGTTAATGAACGGCCTAATTAAACATTAACTTGTTTAAAATGATACAAAACATATGTGAGAATGAGGTTTCAGTGCTGTGTGCTCTTAAAAAAAGTTGGTTCTTCAAGGGTTCTTCGGTGAAAACCACGAACAAAAACCATTTTAATGCCTAAAAGCTTCTCTGCATGGTGAAACGGTTCATCGGATGGATGGAGAATGTTGGAGAAACAGTCTTTTGTTTGGTCAAATCACTTGGAATTGATTTTTTTTTTTTGTACAAGAGAATTCCATCGCGCTTCGATCCGCACACGTCTGCGAAGTCAGACGGACTTAAAGCAGAAAAAGTGGAGGTGTTTTTGTTCTTTGGGGTGATTTATGGGTTTTACAGCAGCTGTGGACAAAATCCAAAGTCCAGAACATCAACAACACAAAGGAAAGTCCATCTGTGTCCTTCCTCCATTCCTCCATCCATCTATCCATCCCTTCCCAACCAAGCCAAATCCGTCCATCTGACCCCAGCCAAGCTGAGAGCGTACTAAATCCACAAGCCCCATTTTACAGTTATGCTGAATTACAGTGCTAATCCTAGTGCCGGTCTTAATCCCAGCGTCAGTCTTAGTCCTAATCCCAATTTTACAGCTAAACCCAAACCCAAAACCTCTAAAGGCTGTATGTGGGTTCACACTTTAATTCTTCACCCTCATAACTACAGAACCACCGCGGTTTCATAGTAGATACTGAATAATTTATAATATATACTGAACAGTAGTATATTAAGTCTCATAATGAGGATAATTTGCCAATTAGCATGATGTTATTTGCATAATGTTCATCAGTGGTTGTTCACATTCATCTCATTTTGGAGCGCATTTCCAATCCCAATCCCATTGTCCTCGGATGTTCCACCAGGTGCTTCCTAGAAGTCCCCCCCCCCTCTCCAGTCAGTCTTCCCTGAAACTACCACCACCATGTTGAAGGCTCAGTCTGAACTCGCTGAATGTGGCTTTGCTGAGCAGTGACTGAACAGCAGCAAGTGCTCCTCTGTTTGTTCAGACAGACAGAACTCGAGATGTTCATAATGATGTTCTTCAATCAGGAGAACCTGCGGCCGCTGTGACTCTCAGCTTCTCAGCACCGTCAGTGGAATCACAGGAGCACATTAGAACCCTCAGTCCATCAGTGTTTACTCTGCTCTTCCTTCACACTCTAAAGCCACTTAAACACACTTAAATACGGTTCTCCAAGGGTTCTTGGAGTAAAGGCAACGGTTCTAATTAGAACTAATGTTATCATGTGTTTTCCTGATGGGTTGATTTCACAGTGTAAACGGTTTAACGGGTGCATTTGATGGTTCCCAAAGGGATCTACCATAAATAAGTGGTCTCTAATGGTAACCATCGAGCCAATTCCCATTAGAAAGCAAAACCATCAGGTTTTTAGATAATGGTTCTAATGGCATTTCTTCAGCAGGGGTCAACAACATTCAGAGCATCTCAACGTCTGAATATTTAGAGGTAAAGATGGTTCTTCAAGGGTTCTTTAGTAAAGACAGTAGTTCTACATAAAAACATGAACACTCAAAGAACCCTTTGCATGACTAAAGCGTTCTTTGCATAATGAGAGGTCCTCTTCAGGTTGAGAGTCAATGTGCTGTAGATGGATCTATATAGAACCCTTTTTGAAAAAAGAGCTCTTCTATTGTTAAAAGCAAACAATAGCAGAACATTCTTTTGTGCCATATAGAACCACATTCAACACAGTCTGCATCAGTCTGAAGAACAATTACACAACGCGAAGAACCATTTAAGTATGCAAATAGTTCTTTAAGTGTTCATGGTTCTATATAAAACCACTGCCTTTACTAAAGAACCCTTGAAGAACCATCTTGTACAAGAGCTGTGGA